GGTTCTATATAAGACTGGCACGTCTGCCATTAGATAGGAGCTTCGTGCTCAACTTAGTTATCAATCTTATCATATTTGTTCGACATCTTTGATACAAGTAACGAGTTCACTTCCAAGTGAACAACCCGATAGTCTTCTTCTTATCATAGCATACCAACCAGCGAACACCCAGCCAAGTTTAGTTAGCCAGTTTGAGTATTCGTTACAAGTAATAATATGCAGTCTTAGGGGTCATAGAATGATTCCAATTGCCCCCTAAAAACATACATAACGGCGACTAATCCCAAGAAAAGCTGAAGAACCAGTTACAACAGTCTGCAAACAAATTCGAAGCTACATCACCAATAATTCCGCCTTCACGAAAAGGTAAAAAGATGGCACCAAAAAAGACATGCAATCTTTCGTACGAAGCTGAGATTGAGGTGGATAGTAATGGTAAAGGGTACTTTACCAGGCCCAAAAGTGCTGGTAGAATGTTTCGACCTCAACAAGAGGAACCGAAAAATATTTAGGAGGTGCGGCTAGGAAGTCGTAGGCAAGGAACTACTCGAAAAGGAAATGATAAGTCAACAGCCCAAGACATGGTTGGTAAAGCAGCAGAAGAAAGAAGAAACGGCTTATCATCCAAGGGACAGAAGGCTCACAAACCATCGAAACTTGGGATGTTATTCCTCGGTCCCTGGAGCAACTCTAATTATATAACTGGAAAGAATCAGCGAGTTGTCACAAATTCTAAAAATAATAATAGAGAGGGAAGTCCTGATGAAAGGAACAAGAAAGCAGCGGTGGAACTGCCATGAAAGTCGTATGAAAGATGAATAAAGTCATAATTTCCAAAAACTCGGCGTACTACTTTGGCTTCTTGTTCTAAGTACAAATTGCTCATAGCAAGAAAATCGTTGGCAATCTTGAAGAAGGCTTAGTCTTTAAAACATACCTTAAAATGAAACCATCGCAGGCTAATTGCAATTTACAACGCTATTGCTTGCGTTTCGCATTTGTTGTTGAAGTAACAAAATTAGTAAAATTCTAGGGTAGTATAGCAAATGAAAATGCCTTTTCTTTTCTTCTTTACTGTATACTATACGTTTGATACCTGTGGTATCACCCCTCCTACGATAAGCGAAAGAAAATGCCAACTGTATGCTTTTAAAATGGAGTTCTAGCTTAAGTTTCTCATAAGACATGGTTTCTCTGAACACCAAAATAAGCAAAAATCAACTATTAGACTTCTCTTTCTGCCACTTCTCACTAAATACAGACATAGATATGGTGAGTTTGACGGAGACTTGAGATGGGTGAATGCAAGCTTGTAAATTTTTGGATTCTACTCAGAGGCTAGGGTTTGGCTTTGTCTACATACTCATCGTTCTTTTGGAACCCTTCTATTCGGCAATCAACTCAAGTAACGTCTTTGACTTGCTATTTCTGTACACAACTAGCATACTGAAAGCTCCGAAGCCAGCAGCCTAAATCCAAACTTCAAGAGTCACTACCAACTCAACCGAGAAAGATAACATCCTCACTGGGCGAAGGAGTTATGTTCTCACAATTTGATCCTGAGATATGTAAAAGTAAGACTCACCACTCTCACTCCCCCCACTACCTTTGCTTGTATCATGCTGCTGATATTGAGAGCGGGCAGACGATGCTATCATTGCGGCAATACACCACATCAACGCAGGGAGACGAGATCAATTCCACATTTCTGGAAAGAAACAAGAAGAAACACGTGTTATTGCAGAGATACAAGATAAATTCGGTGGCGTACATGGACGACTAGATTCAGTCGAAACCAGTAATACTGAATATCAACGTAGCCTGAATGAGCGTCTGATTTCAAAAGTCACTGCCTCAGATGTGCGAGCTACTTCTTTAGATGAGGCCGAAAAGGCACCTGGAGGCGATGGAAGAACGAATTCGCCTCACGGTACCAGTAGGACAAAGCTAGGAGGGAGACAAAAGGAAGCATCAAAACATCAAAGTCTCTGTCGGTGGATTTCCGAGAAGCTTTGTATCAATGGAAAGGGTGGAAAGGATGAAAAGGGTGGAAAGGGTGATGTGTGCTTCGCTAAGGACGGAAAGGCAGAGGAATAGGGGAAGCTTGGCAAGAGGATCATAGGGAGGTTGAGGGTATTATTGGGTGACTTTTATAGCTGGTGACGGAAAAACTTTCTGTGAAAAGAATCATAGATACGGGGTAGGTGAAGAGCAAGGATTATGAAGCGCATACTTGAGTAGATCATTGCAGTAAACTACCACATCACTGAAATACTCTAACGTGAGAGAAAATTTCTTCAAGATTCACTTCAAAAGTTTTCCAAACTCTAAAATATAGCGACGTTCGCGGCGTCCAAGCTACATGTGCTTCGGCTATTTCTAGGGTCCACAAACCTAGACTGTCTCAATTCACTTCCCAATATTTGGGCCATTTGCCTCTTCGCCCAAGGACTCGCGTTCTCCTGATCAACAAACCCAAAACAAGTCGCGCGCCCGACGCATACCAAGTTATGGAGAGAATATCAAAAAGCTATATATTCAGAATGACGCCTCAAAACGACGTCAGCAAGACTTCGCCTGACAACCCAGGTTCAACAAGTTCTTCCCAGCCAGGCATTGCGAAGCCATCAATCACCAAGAAATTCGGCAGGAGGGCAAGTGTTCAAAATAGCAAGGAACTTGTCAAGGAAGATCAAGATGGTAAGCTGATCATTCAAAGTATCTCACAGTGCCCACTCCAACAGAGATCATTCCGAAGAATTGATGCTGACAAAGATATAGCCAGGATTTCAGACTTGGAGAGACGCGTCTCGCAGATGGAGAAAGTGAACAGAGCTCAGGCGATGTTGTTGGAAGCCGCGGCAAAATCGATGAAACTTGCGGGACGATTTGGGACGGAAGCTTTCAGTGTCGATGACGATGATACAGAGCAACGAAGCTTCTCAGGTCGTGACAGTTCCAAGGACCAAGCGCACAACGAGTAGTCTCGCAACGGATTGAGAGTGGTACCACGGCGAAGAATGTGCTTCCTGCGCGGAAACTAGGGCGATTTGTCAGTAGAGGAATAAGATTCCATCAGAGCAGGTTTGAGGAGTCCTAGAAAAGCCTCGAATATTCTCTGGAGTCAGTTCAAATATACCCTTCTGCCGCAACAAAAAATGCTTCAGGGACTTGTGAATTTGCGGTGAAAGTTTGGGATGCATCTAGAGGCCGCCCACTTATTCTGAGACGCCGAAGGTCGGATGGAACTTTCGTGGTAAGAAAACCTTGGAATGGAATTATATACGATTCCTTATACCAACTGCCATACCCTAATAAGTCTCATTCACAATACTTGCCATGAATGATATCGCAAACCAACAAAACTACAAAACTGCATTGAGACTGCGATAGGTATCAACTCACCAAAAGAAATCAACCAAACAACCCCGTTCTTCATCTTCTTGAAATGAAATCATCCATGGGAAAAGTAAGTGACACTTCGCCTTTACCTTCAGCCAAGTCCGACCAAACTTGATCCCAGCTACGAAAGGACATCACTTCTTCTAGTAGTTTGGCGACAATTGAAAGCTCAGGTTCACGGGAGACAGCTCAGTTACGCATATACTAGGCCCACTTATCAGCACAGAATCATGGAGTCTAACCAGCGACGGGAGACTAACAGCTAGAAGATAAAGGTATTCTATTCATGCATGCATTACATTCGAGTTCGATCCAAGTTGCTGACATAGAGAAAGTCCGTATCTCATTGGAAAACCTCCACCAAAGCCTTTCGAAACTCGAAGATTACCTGAAAAAAAGCTTCAAAGACCAGGAAATCGCAAACGCTACGATCTGGGCTCAGTTTGAGGAATTGAAAGACGGGGCCAAGCGCCTGGAGCAGACGAGAGGTTCGAAAATTGGGTTTCAGTGCTCTGTGTTGTAGCCAGATTTATTTCATATTGTTCGGCAATGGCAGGTTCATCCATTCGGAGACGGGCCTTTGGTTTACGCCTATGTTTAGGAGGTTCTTCTAAGCACTGTTATGGATTGAGATATACTTTGCAATTAGAGAGCTTCGACGAGAAGAGACCACTTTGTGTTGTGCATAATTTACTTCAATGTGCAAAGTAGTAAGACAGACTCTGTAGTGCAATTTGCTATCCCTTGATTTATCACAGTGACTACAGAATCCGCACTCATATTGGTATTTGAGCCAGAACCTCAGAACCTAGAAGGAAGATTATATTTTCTTTGCACCCATGATCTCGATAGTGTTGATAAGCCTAGCAAGACGGTGAGGCATAATACCGAAGGGCTGAAGTGTCGCAAGTAGATTATCTCTCAAAGGTTACCAGAACCTTACCCTATAGCCATCTTCGCGCATGTTTCATTTGACCACTGTTGATGTCTTTGCGAAGAGCATGTACGGACGACGGCATTGGGTCATATTTCTCTACGTGTAGAAATTATCTCAGTTAACTTTTACTTGATCATACAGTATCACACAGTTCACGAATTGTTAGAGAACCAGTCTACAATTGCACTACCATTCCGCATGGTACGCCTCCCTCTCGTGGGCCCGTGGCACGATACCATCCACCTGTCCAACAGCAACTTGCAAACCCCCGAAGTTCCCCTGCACTAGCCCCTTCGCTTAACCACCAGACCCACAAAACCACAAAATAATATTGATATTCCTAAATGACACATCTACCACCATCGAAAACTGGTACCTGCCCGCCTGGCCCAGTTAGTTAGTATGTGATCCCATATGCTCCAATTCCCAAAAGTGCCACCACCACGAAGCTGTTTCCTCCCCACAATTTGGACGCGCCCTGGTCAAGCGTCTGACCGCTCGAGGGTCTGTAAAAGTAAGTTCCCTTAATCCCCAGAAATACGATAATATACTAATGTTCTGTAGGAAAAAAAGATCATAGTATATCTTTTTTTGGGATTTTTTTGTTGATTCTTTTTTTTTGGTGTTGTGTGTATTATGCCGTCGTCGGAGGTTTATTTCTAGACCCTTCTTGGTTTTGTATCTCGACGTTTATTTTTTGGCCGTGATTCGAGATGCGCGGAATAATTGAAACCAACTGGAAAGTTTATGGAACAGAAAGGACTCTCCACACGTCGAAGAATCAGCTAGAATAGATCGCTTGATATAATAACTTCTCTCTTCCCACCGTGGGCTTAACATATCCTTCGCGTGCAAAACTCCAGACCTCAAGCCTCGAAGCCATAAGCTGATTTTTATGTTGAGAGAATGGAGCCTTCCAACTCCAGAGGTGACGAAAGAGGGGAAGATATCCCGCCGTCTCCCACTGACAAGCAAAGCGAAAACGATAGCAACCTTGTAGCACAATCTACTTTAGGAGAAGACCCTGAAAACAAACCCGAAAAACAAGAACAGATACTCTCAGCTGTTGGAGCACCAAAAGGACCCGAGGGATCGAGCGCAGAAGGCTCTGATGAAAAATCCCATCAACCTTTAGGTGAGTGCGCAGTAACAGCAGAAAAGCTATCAACAAGAACGGATCTCAATTCACTGACCACTTGAAGAGAAAGGAGAAAAGGATGATGAGAACCGCGAGCGTGGGAGTCAAGACGTGCCGGCTCCACCATCCATACCTCCTACACTACAAGAAACCGATCATCCAGAATCAAAAGAAACTCGTGAGTACCCAAAGTCAGAGGAGCCCTTGAGCGCTGCTATGGAGACGCATCCTGATGTTTTGCACTCATTAGAGCAACAGCGGGGAGAAGATAACCTTTTGGAAGACGATGGAGATGAAACGGATGGAGAGGAGTTAGAGGGAGACATACCTGACGGAGATAAATTCGATGGGGACAAGCCAGATCTAGAAAAGTCAGACGCGTCTAATCATACGGCACCTACTGCTATATCCAGTCCACAAACAGACCAAACAGAGGAAGTTTCGGAAAGTAACGACAACCAGAGAAAACGGAATGGGGCTATCAGCACTCCAACGACCGGTCTACAACAGAAAATGGAAACTGACGATTCGCCACGAGAAGTCCCAGTTAGAGAGGAACTTTCCACAAGTCCGAGTGATCAAACGAATGAGACAAATACCGAAAAACCTGTAAAGGATGACGATGAGGACTCACCGAGAGTACCGCCTAAGGGGGGCTCGAGTAAGGATGATGTTCAGAGCGAAGAGGATGAGCTCTTGAGTACCTCGGAGACAGATACACACCAGGAAAACACAAGTGGAGGCCCTGATAACTCAAGAGAGGAGGACGAGGACGAAAAGACCGAAGAGCAGAAAGCAAGCAGACAGTCTACTGTGTGGGAGCGAACTAGAGTACGTGCAGCGATGATGTACGGAGGGATACCTCAGTACCAACTTCTACGAAAGAAGCGTCGCGAAGACACAGAATGATAATCCTAGAATCAGAAAGAGAGGGTGTGACCATGAACTATAGTAGGGTTTTACTAGGTAGGATCCATGGGTAGGAATACAGGAAAACTTACTTCTTTACTGGATATGAAACTTTGTTTTTGAGCTCTGCTCTGATACGGAAGTACTTTCTGTTAACTAGGTGCTAGCGGTCTTGATATGCTGTACCCCAAATGGAATTATCACCGTGATCTAAGGGTGTCATAGTCAAGGACTTCCTATTTCAAGTTAGTGTTAAGGGTATCTAGCATCCCACCTAGATGCTGAGGACAGAGAAAAGAAGAATAACTCGATTCAATGGTATGTTAACGTTCCTTCCCTTATACATCTCCCACTACCCTACACCTGAACTCTTCCCCTCTAGGGTTACATGACTAGACCTTAATACTGTATCCTGCCAAGTTATACCAGACCAATAATATTTATAATTCTGGATCCACTCCCTTGCCCTAAACCAAGAACTAAACACAAGACCAACCAACCATCGCTAAAAAAACCATTCGCACACCATCCACATCCACATTGACTACTCCCTCTCATCCACTACAAAATTCCATGTGCCCCTAAAAAACAGTAAAAAGCAGCAAAGAAACCAAATCATCAACGCATCATTTCCCCTTTATATCCTCACCCAATCAACAAAACCACACCACTTACCCGAAAAGCCACAAGGCCAGAGCCAGAAAGCTACTACTTCTCCACCTAAAATATAATTTCACAATAAAGCTAGCTAGCTATTAATGTATCAACACCCGAACCCGAACTCCCTCTTTCCATCTCAAACCACAGCAATATAACTTTCTAAATCCTACCTACCTAACCCTTCCCTTCTCACAAGAAAAGCAACAAGAAGCCTCCCCCAAACCGCTGTCAAGCCCAAATCCGATCCAATCAACCCAACAAATCCAGCACCTCAACGCCATGATCAACACGTCTAACCCGCCTCTACGCTTGTAATATATGCTCGTCACGGCCGAATTGTAAATAGAAGTATGATCCCTCCTACCTTTACCCCGTCCCCTCTTATATTCTGTGGGAGCCTCGCAGACTCTCGCTAATCCCCCCTTTTACCGGGAGGTAGACAGAGAATACCACGAGCATGAGCACGACCACCGCCGCCGCTACCACCGACTGGCTCCTCATCAACAGCCTCCTCATCGCCCCTCCACACCACTAAGACGTCGCCGAACTCCAATCCCTAAGCCCCCTACCCGAAAACGAAGTGACCAACCCCCGAACGGAGGGGGAGGTGACACGGTTGGATGAGAGGATTGGCCGGGGAGGGGGTTTGGTTCGGGGTAGGAGAAGAAGGTGTGATGGGAATAGGAGACATTATAGGGTTATGTGAACTTGGAGATTGTGTGAGGGGCAGAGGAATAGGATTGTGGAGTGTATGTTAAGTGGGAATGTGGATGGGGATGGTGATGGGATGATAGGAAGCAGGTCGAGTTTAGAAATCCAGATTTCCAGATTCAAACGAGAATGAGAGTGGGTATGAGAGTACGAAGGAGGTGTTTGGATGATATGCATCACGATTCTTAAACACATTACCCATATATTGAAATACTTCTCGTTCTGAGGCATACTAATGCACAATTAAGACTTGCTCCATTCAGTACTTGGATTCTTCCCCATTCGAAATGATCTTCGTACTCTAAGAGTATTGGTGCCAATAGGACGAAATGATTCGACGCTATTGATCCATCCCACCTAACGTGCTGTAGTAACAACTCTGCCAGTCTCAAAGAGCAGCTGAATCATCCCACAGATAGGGGACACTGAGACTATCTAAGAAAGTGTAGCAGAACTTGCAACAATGTACTGGGAGATTCCACACAATGAAATCTACACAAGGCATGTTAGAACTTCAAACATAAATCTGCCTCCTAAGTAACAGTCAAAGGAACCCCTCAAAGCGGAATTGGACTATGCATGAGGACTGATGCGACACAGCACCCCTTTATTTGAGCCTGACCGCATGTGCTTAACGTTTGCTGGTATGCTGCAGTATTAGGGACTGCAGAGCGAGGAACACCGTCATGGTGCAGTGACTGAAGTTTAGACAATAAGAGATGAAGGTATGTAAGAACCAGCTCCTCAATCAAATCTTGGGAAATTCCATCTCAACTTTTGTGAGGGAGAGTCCACAAACCTTCCAGAGCGCGAGCTATATGTTGGACTCAAACCCAAAGCTTGGGTTGAGACCAGCTCCACCCGAAAGTGCAATCTCGAGAATGGAAGTCTTTTACGGATCCTCTTCCGAAAATTCTCTGGATGAGCTCAATGCAAGTCCTTCCAGTTCAGAACATGAGACTGAAGAAGATCAGTGGGCCTCTCCATTTCCCGAAGAAGCAATTCCGTACACAGAATCACCGGAACAAGGAGTATCTGCCTCTCCAACATCCCAAGGATACCCGCAAAGATACCAAGAAGCTCTACGTGGTTTTCAAAAACCCCTCTTCAACAACCAAGCCCTCGCTGGTGGAATCCACAAGCACAAAAAACAAACAGCCTCCAATGAGATGCGGAACTGCCGGCAAGAGAGGGAGAGAGAAAAGAGGAAGTTTTTGTTGGCGGAGAGAAAGGAGTGGATGGGTGCTAATCAGGTGTTGGCGAAAAGGGTTCAGATGTTGAAAAGAGACGTTAGAAGGTTGAAGGAGATTGTGACGTGTGAGAGGCCAGTGTACCGAAGAGTAAAAACAGAGGTGGGGATGCTGAGAGGCGTAGTAAGGAAATTGGTAGGAAGAGGAATGTTTTTGAGGGAGGAATTGAGAAAGGCAGAGGCAGATAAGCTCAAGCTGCAAAGGGTGGTTCGTAGATTGGAGCAAGATGATGAGGCATTAAGCGAGCAATGGATGAGCCAGCAGGAGGAATTGAACAATGTTCGTTGAGATTGAGTGGGATGGATTAGATGGATATAATGCGGTTTTGGTATCTTGGGCCTCCATCGGCGAGAAGGGTTTTCTGCTCGATGTTTAATTCTCCATTCTTGGCATCTGTTCAGCGACATCATTCAATCAGGCTTAGATATTTAGTTGGAGTTTAAGATTAATCCCAATCATCCCCATCGTCTTCTTCCTCTTGTGCCTTTCTGGCTCCTCTACCAGCATCTTCTTCCTTGGTCGCCTTTGCTCTCTGTAGCACGCCGGATGCCAGTAATCTCGCCTCCAAATCTCGGGTCGTGAATGTATCCCGTGTATATCCTAGGCCTTCAAAGCCAACAATTCGATCAACACTTTTGCCACCGATGAAAGCCAGAACACATGGGAGGACTTGAATCTTCAGTTTCGTAACCAGAAACGGGGCGTTTTCCACGTTCATTTTCAAGAACCGGGTATCGAAATGCTTGGGAGCCAAAGTCTGCCGATCATCAGCGCTTGCTCATGATCTCATCCCGCAAAGAAGAGCGTTTCACACCTCGAGATGCCCGTCCATGACCCCGCATCGTGCAAAATCGTCCTTTGCGAAATGAACTACGGCGTATTTGACTTCGGTGGTTAAATCCATCAGAGCCTTTTCTTCCTTGATCTCGGTATAATTTCCAAAGCCCTGCTTCTTCTGCGACTTTGCGCGAGAGAACTCGGCGTGCAGCTGCTGGATTCGTTGTTCTCGGAAGGCATCCATCGCGGGCGAGTCCTCGAGGGAGGCAATGAGGGCATCTTCATCATCTGAATCTACGGCCTTGCGGTCGAGTACCGCCGCGACTTGAGAATCGAGTTTGGTCATTTTTGGAAGAGTTTGTGATGCGACGGGATTTGCAGAAGATCGCGGGCGCGGTTGATGGAGGAGAGTTCGCGGTACTCTACGTGTAGCCAATGGGAGGGAGAAAGTCGATCACCCGTACCTGGCAGAACCAGCGCCAGAACCAGAACCACCGAAAAAAAAGTTGTAAAGTGCACCTACCTTTTTTGAGTGGTTGATATTGTGATTGTGTAGATCCTCCGTAGATATCGTCTTTGACGTGATGCGATGCGATGCTTTGCAAATTAATCCCAAGTTTGGTCTGAAGTTCCAATTGGCAGCGGTCTGCACCTATGGAAGCGATAGAAGCTTATCCGGCCCCTGTGACCCTGCACAGCCCAGTACAGTCCAGTACTGTCCTCCCTGCCACCGCCCCCAGCTAAAATTAAAAAGGGCGCGCTAAGAAAGTCGAGCTCTCACCTCAAGGGGAACCAGAAACACGAGAGGCCACGGAACTTGATCCTCTAAGGCACACCTGCATCCATCAAAGACCCTTCCAACAGACATCTTCAACACCACCATCCCCTCCATTATCCTCCCACAGCCCGATCACAGTCAAAGGCTACACTTGATGCGCCTGCGATAGCATAACGATACCATCCCCTGTCGGACAACAGACTAGATCATCCACTAGCAGTAATCGCGAACATCACCAACCTTCCAAAAACACCCCTTACGAAGTCCCCTTTCCTGGAGGTACCGAGTCCTCCTATTCCCAACCGCAGAGATGGACGACAAAAAGAATGAAGATTTCAACATCAAGATGCCAGAGTTCAATTCGGGGAGGTCGTCGCCCTCTTCCAAAGAACCCTTCCTTGCGAGATCCCCCAGGCACAATTCGGCTGGTCCACCTGCCATGTCCAGCATTACGAATAGTCCTCCCATCTCTATTTTGGCATACTGCTTAGCATCGATTTCCATGACCGTGACGAACAAATACTGTGTTTCGGGAGCAAACTGGAACCTCAACTTTTTCTACCTAGCGATTCAAGTATGCCAATCCACTCTATAACAGCTATATGAAGGAAACTAATCAGAAATCAGTCTCTTGTCTGTATTATCGCCATTATTATCTGCAAGCAAGTTGGGATGATTACAAATTTGGCGCCATTTGACGCGAAAAAGGCCAAGACTTGTCAGTAAACTGTTGAATTTTAGAAAAGTCGGAGTATTAATTCTCTGCAGGGTTCCCAATCTCTCTCCTCTTGGTTGGAATGATCTACACCAGCACGAAAGCCCTCCAATTTCTGTCCGTTCCCGTCTACACCATCTTCAAGAACTTGACCATCATAGTCATCGCATATGGAGAGGTTCTCTGGTTTGGTGGAAGTGTTACGGCATCCGCCCTGTTCTCCTTTGGTCTTATGGTTCTCAGTTCCGTGGTGGCTGCCTGGGCTGATATTCAACACGCGCTTTATGGAAGTGCAGCAAAGAGTGTCGAGGCTGCTGAAGCCATCTCAACATTGAACGCAGGTTATATGTGGATGGGAATGAATGTTTTCTGCACTGCAGCATACGTTCTCTCTATGCGCAAAGTTATTAAGAAGATGAACTTCAAGGATTGGGACAGTACGTTGAAATCCATTTTTTGAGTTCGGTATTGAAAATTTGCTAATGTTGCATAGCTATGTTCTACAACAACCTCCTCACCATCCCTGTCTTGTTCCTCTGCTCCTTTATCTTCGAGAACTGGTCTTCAAAGAATATTGCCTTGAACTTCCCCGAAGAGTCACGCAACAAGTTGATTTCCGGCTTCATCTACTCCGGTCTGGCCACCATCTTCATCTCATACTGCTCCGCTTGGTGTATTCGTGTTACCTCTTCTACCACATACTCCATGGTTGGAGCACTCAACAAGCTCCCAATTGCCGTCAGTGGTCTTATCTTCTTCGCTGCACCAGTCACTTTCGGAAGTGTGTCGGCAATTATCATTGGGTTTGTTAGTGGTATTGTTTACGCTTGGGCCAAGGTCAGACAATCTCAGATGAACAAGATGTCTTTACCTACATCGCAACCAGTCATGAGTGCCAGCTCTCAAAGCAACCGGGATGCTTCAAGCTCCTAAATTTAATACGCATGCGCCTGGCTGTATTCTTCCTTTCCTCGGCTTAGCGCTATTCGAGACTCGATTCATGTCTCTTTTCAAGAATCTAATTCAACCATACTCTCCATTGGGAAGAGGAATGAGAAGTTTCTGATTCGAAGGAATCAAAAAGAATCCTTTTTTTGCTTATGTATTATAATTTTTCCCTTTTGTGTTGAGTTTTAGATGGTGTGATTCGGTATCATACGAACTAAACCGGGTAGAATCGTTGCAGGCTTTCTAAGGAGCGTGCATGATATACCGATGAGGCGTCATTCTTGAATCATGGGTGCATTGTAGGGATTGTCAACCAAAAACGAATAATGGAACCATAGAATATTTAGTACCTATTTGTGATGAAAGTTTAAAAGTTATTTTTGATTTCTTTACATATTTTAATAGAGAACTGAGGTACAATTCTGGAGAAAATAGGGTTCAAATAGAGTAGCTGGATATAATACGTGAGTGAAGCAATGTATCACAAGTACAGTCCCTGTTTTCATTCACTTGTTGTACTTGTGTAAGGTGAATTTGTGGTGATACTGAACTTTGGCGGAGAAACGATTGGCCGGCATGACGTTGTCGGCGCGTTTTCCCTGCGCGTTTCAATTATTTGACGACCCCTCGCATTTGAATGCACAATGTGTCTACTCCAGCTTTTCGTAGACTTGAACTACCAACCACTCCGCCATTAAATGGCAATCATTTCACGGACTAGACATATACTGCAATGGCAAACACAGAACCGCCATTAAGAGCAGAATCTTCGTTTGTTGTTCCCTTCAAAAATCATCCGCATAACCACTAACAACATCCCAGACTATCATTTACCCAAGGCTTCGTCCTCGGCCAATTATCCATCGTCATCATCCTAGGAGCCTTCATAAAATTCTTCATCTTCGGCGACCCCCCCTCCCCCGATGTCACAGCCGCCGTACGCGCCACGGAGCGTCGTTCCCTAACTCTGGCCCATAAACGCTCCCTCCTCTCCCTGCGATCGACTCGCCATCCCCCACAACCCCTCAATAAAAAGCGATCGCAGATTCTCAGGAATCCCCCTCCGCTGACGACGAATGCGATCCTCTCCAAGACATATTACAACGTTGATTCCCACCAGCCCGAGAGTTTGGATTGGTTCAACGTCCTGGTTGCGCAGACGATCGCGCAGTTTCGAAGTGATGCCCAACACGACGATCGGATCCTTACGAGTCTCACGACGGCGTTGAATGGAGATAAACGGCCTGATTTCCTGAGCGAGATCAAGGTTACGGAAATCAGTCTAGGCGAGGACTTTCCCATTTTTAGTAATTGTCGTGTTATTCCCGTGGACGAGGATGGACTGAGTCTCGGGCCTGGACTACGGGCCGAAAGAGGGGAACCAGGACGTCTGCAGGCGAGGATGGATGTCGATCTGAGTGATTTCATCACGTTGGCGCTGGAGACGAAGTTGTTGCTTAATTATCCCAAGGCTGGGATTGCGGTCTTGCCTGTTGCGTTGGCGGTTAGTGTTGTGCGATTTAGCGGGACGCTGTCGATCTCTTTCATCCCTGGGAGTCCGGACACAGCCACGACACTAGCCTTCTCCTTTCTAGATGACTACCGCCTCGACCTCTCGATCCGTTCCCTCGTCGGCTCCCGCTCCCGTCTTCAAGACGTCCCTAAAATCGCCTCGCTTGTGGAAGCGAGATTACATACCTGGTTCGATGAGCGCTGTGTGGAGCCGCGCTTCCAACAGATTGAACTTCCTAGTGTCTGGCCCCGGAAGAAGAATACTCGCGGCGAGGCGCCGGGCGAACGACCGGGTGAACCGGTGGGTGTTGCGGGCTCGAAGGGGAAGGAGGTCCAGCGGGATTTGAGGGAGGAGGCGAGGAGGGAGGTGGAGGCGGAGGAGAGGGCGAAGAATGATCTCGAGGAGTTGGAGAGGATTGAGGAGGAGGGGTTGAGGTGGAGGAGGAGGGCGAGGGGAGAGGATCTGAGTTATAGTATGCCGGGTAGTATGCCGGGGTTGAATATGACTTGATATGCCATCTTTTTTTTTGTGTTTGGTGGTTGTGAAGTGGTGGGTGAGATGTGCTTTTACCATTTCCTCTCGCACTCGAAAGAAAGATGTGGGGTTTACTTGGGATTGAGATACGCGAGCTTTCGCAAGTCGTTGCCTGTGAAAGCTATAATATCTGAGCTGAGCCGTCCTGACCATCCATCTCCTCTCCCTCAAAGATTCAATACCGCCTGAGATCGAGACAGTGGGAACTGTACAACTTGGCGTATCTGTTGTTACTGGGATTCGAACCACTGTAGCCGAGCCGAGCCGAACCGTTCCCCCTGGTTACGAAGTGTAAGATTACTGTAAGATTTATTTACTGTATCCCATCCATCCATCCATCCATCCATTACTTTCACAAGATGAGATAAGTTTCAATGCGCCATCACCTTGTATGGTATGGACCTCTGATATCCCTCAGTACGAGTAGGTAATCAAGAACTTAACCAAAACCTCTAGATCTCGAGAGGATCCTGGAAATATTTGGATGCTATAGTCAAGCTATAGTGAAGAAAGCTCCAGGAATGAAAAATGAAAAATTAGGGTTGGGGAATGGGATAGGTGTGTTGAGTTGAATGTTACGTACTCGTACGGTGTAATCTTGGTTCTGCGTTGGGATTGTTGTTTGATTGGATGGGATGGGGTGGGATTGGTTGAGATGGGAGGGGGTGGGTGTGGATATGGTGATTATTGATGTAGAAGTCTTGTACAGAGGAAGAAATGGTGGTTATGTATGAGGAACTTACTTAATAGCTTCCTATCGGATTTTCCACTGTCATAGTATCTTGTAAGATTACTCGTTGGAAGTGGGTTTGGTAGGATTGTATAGTACTATCGTTTGATGAGCAGAGATGGTTGCGTGTTATGCGCATGTACAGGACTGCCTAGCTAGGCTGGGCTGGTACGCAGGTTTAGGGGTGTTAGAGAGGGATTTTTGTTGTGTGGTCTTACTAGAGGGGGGTTTTGCTGTTGTTGTGCTCTTTGGGGGGAGACAGGGGAGAGGAGTAAGGGGGTTGGATGGTGGTGGGTAGTAGGTGTTATTGTTCTTTTTTTTAGCGATTTCTAGGTGGTTCTCTTTTCGGGATGTGATGGGGGTATGTTATCTTATGGGGGATGTGGGAGGGTGGGAAAGTCGATACGGTGGAGAAGTTGTGTTTGGCTAATTGTGTAGAGGGTTTACTCGTAGGAGGTATAGACTTAGTACTCTTACTCTGACTTATAGGCTAAGTAGGTAGCTAATATAATATTAAAGAATAAAAACAGGCTCTTACATAAAGAGCTAGGTTCTTAATACCTAAACAAGCGAGGAAAACGCTATAAGGTCCTAGTATCCAAGGATAAATTCTTTATATTTTAGTTACGTTTTATATAATCAACGTTCGGCACTTGGAATACGATTCCAATGATTCTAAGACTCTATTCTAAGGTAGAATATTCCAAAGGCTCTTTAATTTAGAACGGAATATTCTAAAGGATAAGGCCTTAGAATTTAGAATTCTAAAGGGTATATATATTACTATTTAACTAATAAGAAAGCTCTATTTATTATAAAGTAAATATTGAAATTGTGAATTTTTACCTATAATTATTATTGTCTCCTATATATAACTAACGTGCATGTATAGCGAACCGACCAAACAAGCGAACCGGCCAAAACCCGGCGACCCCACCACACCTCCACGAAATATTAAATTTCTCTACAACGAAGGATGCCTCTGAAAAATGACGAAAGCCGGTTAGTCTTAGCTATCCAAGCTATGCAAAAAGACCCAAATTTACGTGCTCGAGCTGCTGCCAGGACCTATTCTGTAGACCACCGGAAGCTAGGTCGACGTTTGCTTGGTATACCTTCACGACGCGATATTTTAGCCAATTCACGGAAAATGACCGAGCTAGAGGAATCAGTACTTGTTCAACATATCCTCGACCTAGCTACAAAAGGATTTCCTCCGCGGATATCTGTAGTTGAAGATATAGCAAATCGACTTCTTGAAGCACGCGACGCGCCACGCGTCGGGACGCCTTGGGCTTATAACTTTGTTAAGCACTGCCCAGAACTCCAGACACGCTTCCAACGAAAATACGACTATCAGAGAGCTAAGTGCGAAGATCCAGAAGTCATTCGTGGCTGGTTTGAGCTTGTACGAAACACAATGGCGAAGTACGGAATCTACGATGCAGATATCTACAACTTTGACGAGACTGGGTTTATGATGGGCGTTATCTCAACTGCAATGGTTATTACAAGCTCAGAAGGACGTGTAAAAGCAAAAAGAGTACAGCCTGGTAATCGGGAATGGGTTACAGTAATCCAGGGGGTTAATGCCCAAAGCTGGTGTGTTCCATCGTTTGTGATTGTTGCCGCAAAAAATCACCTCGCTTCTTGGAACCAAAACAGTGGATTTCCACCTAACTGGGTGATTGCTATTACTGAAAATGGTTGGACAACAAATGAGAAAGGCATGGATTTCTGTGTCTGTGTCTGTGGTAGGTTTGTTGTTTGTGGTTACCGATGCGTAGCTTCTTTTAGGAAGGCGCCTTGCGATGTTCTCTAGGTCGTTGACTGAGTTGGTAACGGTGGTAATTGTGTTTTTGAGTGGTTTTCCCTCGGTATAGTCCCGGAAGAGGTTGAGTAGGTCCATGAGAGCGAGTTTCTTGGGCTGGTTGTCTTCAAGCTCAATCGCCTTACACAGAAGGGACCTAGATGCTATAATTGCGTCATCGGAGGTTTCTGGGTGGGACATGAGAGCGTATTTTGAGGTTAAGTTCAAGGATTGGTTGCTTCTTTGTCTTTTGGCTTGAGGCTGGGTTTCTCTGATTCTTTGGAAGTTGTTTGGCGTGCTAATGTCTATAAAGCTAGGGTTGTTTTGGTTTCGTTGGATGTGGTTAACTGGGCTGGATGGCGCATAGCCTNTGATTCTTTGGGAGTTGTTTGGCGTGCTAATGTCTATAAAGCTAGGGTTGTTTTGGTTTCGTTGGATGTGGTTAACTGGGCTGGATGGCGCATAGCCTCCTAGGAGGTAGTCTTGGCCATTGGCGCTAGGTGTTTGGGGGATTGGAGTTCCCAGGGTGATAATTGGGTAAATTGGGCTGATGGGGAGCGTGGGCTCGTTGAAGAGTTGCATGGGTTCGTAGGCTGTTCCTTCTATGACTTCTTGTTGCCATTCCGGGTTTGACTGTGTTTGGGTCGCCACAGTAGCGGCGTTGGTGGTGGAGCGGTCGTGTAAGGTCGGAAAGGGGGCGTGAAATTTTTTTCACGTGATCTTTTAACGGTTATATCTCTGCCACCAGAGGGGCAGGCCTCCTGGGAGGAGAGGGGAGTAGTTGAAATTCTAGCTGCTATCGTTTGGTTAAGCGGGATTGATGGAATTCGAAGAAACTTTTGTCGACGTATATCTAGAAAGGATATTATTACGCCTATAAAAACTAATACTAAACTTATAGAGGAAGTAGAGCCCTTTAATAATATTAAGACTAAGTTTCTAGCTTTAGGTAATACTATTAAGGAGTTAAGAGAACGTCTAGCTACTAAAGGTAATAATTAAATATAAGTAGTAATTTTTAAAGGCGTTTTAGGTAAATAATACCCTAGAAATAAATTAAATAAAGTACTTTACTATTTCTTTATAAATAACTTTAAAGCTGTTATAAGAATAGTAATAACAAATAACTCATTTAAAGTTATTATAAAAACTATAGTAGTTAAGTACTAACTACTTAAGTTAGTAAAGTATAAAAAAACAGGTATTTATATAAAGAAAGCCTAAATAAAGAAATAAGTCTTCTTTAAGCTATATATAACCCTTAATTATAACTCTAGTAGTATTCCTTTATTAAAGGACTTAGATTAGAGAGTATAACTACCCATTAGGGTATATTCCCTAGGCTAATAATGTAAATAAAAAGTACTAACTTAATTATAATTGTAATAAGTTAGTTAACTTATAAGTTTTTAATAATTAATAAATAAAAAGATATAACTTAGATTTAATAAAAGCCGAATTTATTGAAATAAGGATACTATACTCTAAGTAGTATTACCCCTTAGCTAGAGTAGATTCGATTCTAATTTTAGTGTCACGAATCACGTGTTAGCATGTGACGAGTGAAGACCAGGCGGCGTCCTGACAGGCTCCACGTGGGAAATAGCGAAACGTCAACAGTATACGCCGCAGAACTTCAAGGCATCAAGCTAGCTCTCCAGATTGCGGTCCAGGATCAAGAGAGAGGTAACGAAAGAAACAAAGTAGCCATCTTCACAGACAATCAGGCGGCTATTAGGACACTCCAACACCCAACCGGCAGATCAGGCGCATACATAGCTATCGAAGTAGTCGCCCTAATAGACAAGCTACAGAACCATGGAATCCAGGTCGANCAGATTGCGGTCCAGGATCAAGAGAGAGGTAACGAAAGAAACAAAGTAGCCATCTTCACAGACAATCAGGCGGCTATTAGGACACTCCAGCACCCAACCGGCAGATCAGGCGCATACATAGTTATCGAAGTAGTCGCCCTAATAGACAAGCTACAGAACCATGGAATCCAGGTCGAGATAAGATGGATCCCGGCCCATATAGGCATNCGCATACATAGCTATCGAAGTAGTCGCCCTAATAGACAAGCTACAGAACCATGGAATCCAGGTCGAGATAAGATGGATCCCGGCCCATATAGGCATATGGGGCAATGAAGCAGCAGACAAGGCGGCCAAAATTACAGCAAAATCTCAATTAGAGGAGAATCAGGGAAACCCAAACGTCGTCCAGCCCAAGACATACCACCTGCAAGCAACCCTAAAGACGTGGATTATGAGGCAGACAAGAGCTGAATGGGCATACACGTTCTTTTTGTATGAATATACTCTGGAAGGGATAGGTTATAGGAGCTTTAGTAAGGTTATTTAGGATTTTATGTTCACTCGTTAGTCGGTACACTTCACATCAATCAAATGAGGCTTATTGGTGGTTTTCTTTTGTATTACTAGCTAGCTTTAAGTGCTTATAATTCGCCTATATAGAGTAGAAAGCGAAGAACAAGCACCCTCGGCCACGCGTCTTTTACAGGAGTAGGTTTAACTAACTAAACGCTAAGTACTCGAACTTCGACCGTATTATAGACTAATTAAAAGACTCTATCTGGCGAAACACGAAGTACAAAGTAGGGCGAGGCGCTTATAGCATTGCCTATATATAGAGAAAGCTCCTTATTCTAGCTAGTATATTAAGCTAGCTAGCTAATCAGGAGGCTTAATAGTGGAAAGCGAAGCATAAAGCGAAGCGAAAGGAATAAGCGCTAAGTACTCGGACTTTGACTATAGCTAATTCGGAGGCTCTATGTAAAACATAAAGTATAGAGTAGGGCGATAGCTTCTACTAGATAGGTAAAGAAGTATAAAAACTAGGGTCCAAAACCCTCCTAAATCGCAAGGCGAGCCTTCTAGCGAGGGGAATATAGGTAGGATAAAAGAGCTCGCAAAAGTGTAGCTAATAATATAGTAGATATTAGTAGTGGTATTAAAGGCATATGGTAGTAGCGGGGTAGGATATATCCTACTATACGAGTAGCTTACTAAGCCTTCATCCTCATTCACTATAAATCCTGCCATTAATCTTTAAAGGTAGATTATTCATGGGCTTACATAGCCCGAAATTACCTCATATTTGGAAGAATGATACTACTATATACTCGTATCTATACTCTGAATTAGGGGAAAGTGTAAGGTGGCAGTAGAAGTAGCTGTAAAATGTCTATTTTTCACTGTGGAGGCAAGGTGGATGTGGGATTAGCGCTCCACAGTCTTAACATATTCCTTTAACCAAGGCTGTTTTCTCACAGTAAGTTGCTATCATTGGATCCTGAGGGGGTATAGTAACCACTGACTGCTTGCTTCTTTCTAAGATGCTCACATGCGATTAATTACTTACACAGAATTCTAGATTACCATTTGTTTTTAACTTTGAATGTGTTTGTGCTGTCACAATTGTTAGTTTGTTCTTGTGGTCACGTAGGCCTACTGTATAATATATATAGTAAGTGAAAAACTGTGCTTTTCAGCTGGCTAAGAGTATTAACATAAAGTATAGTGAAATCAGAAATTGAATATCTAGTGAAAAACACATATAAAAGAAGTCAGAGTAAGAACCTACGTTTTAGTGATCTCTGGGTCTATGCTTGTGCCTTTCACCCTAATCCTGTCTCCATTTCCGCTACATAAACACGTGTGTAAACTCTACAGATTCACGGATCGTTTGTGTGAATATGAGCATCTTTGATATAGTCCTATAAGCTTCAAGTGAAGTGGTTTATGCTATTCTTTTTCCCTATGACTCAAAGTGCATGGGCCATGAGTACTAGGAACCTCTTATAATCGGCACTTCCAACCCACGCCAATGACACTTTCTAAGAATTCTTGACATCAAACACTTAATCATAACACCACCTCATACCCACACCACTCCTGAAAATACTCCACCAAGTGTTTTCTCTCCCCTAATCGACCGAGACCACGATTTTTAATTTTCTCTCTCAGACACACACACAACACTTCACAAATTCACGGACCAGCATGGATTCTCAAAGTCTGATGAGTGTTCCCACAAAAGACGCATCATAGGCTGCGTGGCCTAAAAGAACCGCCATTAAATCGATGCTATCTTCTGAGACCTCCCAGAGGTAAGCACCCTTTCAAACCCAATATCATGCACCACTAACATTATACTAGAGTTGCGAGATAAAATCCTGCGATATCTATTATATCAACCTACCGGTATCGTTCCATTTGTTCCAGACTACCAACAATGGGGAGGACCAGTACCCTGGGAGATATACAACTTCAAGCATAGAGCTGGTCAAAAGACAACAGCGCACTACTGCTTCGACGATCAGTGTGACTACTGTTCCATAGACTGTAAGGTGCTTGGAATCACGTGGACCACCAAACCCAACCCCAAACAACGAGACATCGTCACTCGAGGGGAGCCTCATCTCTTAGAGAGCATCGATAGACATCCTGGCTCAGCTACACACACTCCGCATGTTGTTCTTCCGGATACAACCGATAAAGAGACGGGCGATCGAGTTCAGCATTACCTGCATCGACGATTTGACGGAAGCCTAGAAGTCGTCCACCGAAAGTATATGACTGTACTCCCAATCAGTGGTACTGAAATTTTGAGAACCTGTAAGCAACTCAATTTAGAGGGTTCCAAAATTCTCTACGGTGAGAACCTTTTTGTCTTCAACAACATACGACGAGGGAGAGAAGAAGGCATCTATTGTTTTGACCCCGAGAATGATCTCACAGAACTTGCATCCTACCTCCCAGGTATTCCACGAGAAGGAGCAGCAATCTCAGAAAATCAGGTTTCTGTGGCCTTCCAGAAGTTGTTTGCTCCCCAAAAGCAGCTGGGTCTCAACGGCAAAGGAGAGGAGATCTTACATTGGGATTCTCTTCTGAACGTCTTCCGAAAGATTGGCATCCGCAATGCTTCCATGTTGACTCGACTTAAGCTCGAGGGCCATTTCCAGGAACAGGAAGAACAAGATGTGCGGTCGCGTCTTGACTTCTCCGACATGCTGCGATGTTACCTCACAGTTATGAAGCGTGTGGGGTGCAACATTCGAAGTCTTACATTACATACAAGAGACGCCATAGCCGAAGACGAGGATGCAGCAAAGAGAGCTGAAGACTCGGTAGCTATGCTTGTGGACGGGCTTCCCACTCTGCAAAAGTTACAGCTAGGGCAATATCGATTCAACGTTAGGCCTAGACCGGTTGACGACTGGGGAAATACCGTGAGATGGTCAAAGATAGTCGATGAGCGAGATGCTGTTGACTCGCCCGCTGTTCAAGAATCAGCCGAGAGCATATTAACGGATATCAACAGAGAAGCTGAAAATTACTTCCAAGCTATCGCTCGCGAACTTCATGATCTTCCATTCCTAGATGGGTACGAGAGCTCATTCAGACCAAGAGAAAAGGCGAGACATCATCGTGCGTCCTATGCAGCGGAAAATGGGGGGTACATGATTTATTTGGGACCTGCCAAGGGTGAAAGACTCTTCAAATGGATGGGAAGGCGATATAGCGGGTATCAGTGGAATGCTACCGGCGAATTGGTATGGCGCAGAGGTGACTGGGAACGTATTGCCCAACGAAAACTCATCTGGGGCTCCCTTTGAGAACGATGTCTAAGAATCCGATGAAGAATCGGAACGAAGTAGCTGAGATAGTGACACGGATCAGGGTTACAATGGGGAAGATAATAACACTTATCACGAAGAGGACTAGAACGATGAGGGTGCGGAAGACCCCCAAAATGGCCGAAAGCATGAGGATAATGGTGCAGATGGGAAGGAATAATGTAATGACGGGGATGATTCGCAGGACGAGTCCCAAGATGATAGACTAACACATAAGGACTCGGATGACACTTCTGATGGCCAGCCAGGGTTTAGCCATCGTCAATCAATTTATCACCTTGACCTTTATCTGTATCTGATCAGCAAGAACAGATGCTGATAAAATATCACTGTGAAACCTATGAAACATCATACTCTGTGGATCTTCGGTAGCGTCATGAATTTCACTTCCAAACTTTTGTGTGAGATATCCATTAGTTAGTAATCTAGTACTTGTTTTCTACCAAACGAAAAAAAATCTACACAATCTCATTTCTGAATAGTGATTTTCCTTGTATGATAGCTGAAGCTCGAATATTAAAGCCTATTGCTTGGAAACTCAGGGGCTCGCTTAAATCGACTCCGTTAAATTTCCGAGTTTTCCTCATCTGTACAGTACAGTCAGTAAGCACACCAGATAGGAAGGGTTTTAATAACTAAACAAGCAAAAATAAGAAGAAACCCCTAATCCTCCTACTAATGTCCATAAAATTCTTAAGTTTTGACCGATTTTACCTTACACTTACGTTGTCACTTTACCGGGGTATAAGGGTTACAAAAAGTTGCAAAGTGCCTCAACCCCGCCGGCGAATCTCTAAGAGATACTTATTTCTCCTGTTTCTGGCTGTGAAAACTAATATTTAGGGTAATTTAGGTCTCGCGAGCTTTCTTATTCACCTCTGCGGGAACGACGTTCTGTTACAAGAGCGGTACAGGTGTGTAGCGATATGAATTTAGGAGATGTTTTACAACCACACTTGGCGTGTTTTTCAAAGCCTGCTTAATATCGATAAAATGCTGCCTTGAGTACCTCGTCACAGTATAGTCGTGGCGGCATTAATCAAGTTTTGTTTCGACGATCCAATTTTCTTGTTGGGATCATCGGTTAGGGAGGTAGGAGCCTCATTGCTTCTACTCGGTCAAGATATGCGCTCAGATTTAGCCCGGCTAAATATGGGGCGAGTTAGTAACGGCACAGTACCTTGCAATGTTAGCATTTTCTCGGCTAACCGTTGTTGGTCCAAAGTCCAACATACTAACTTGTTGGCTTGGGATGATTCCCTACTACAAATACATTTGCACATTATGCTTTGAAATCTCGAACAACTTGTCTTGTTCCTTGATACTTGATTATACACTGTCCAATCCCATAGCTCCCAAACCTTACCGAAGTATATCATTTATCACTTGAGCCTCGCCCAATCATCATGGCCTCTCTACCAACAGTAATTCTTGTTCACGGCGCCTGGCACACACCACCCAACTACCAAACCTACACCGATGCTCTCAAAAAACAAGGATTCAAAGTCATATGCCCCGCCTTGCCTTCTTGCAACAACAAATCGCCTCCAGAGGAGTCTTTCGAAGATGTCGCCCTAGTTCGTAGTGCCGTTCAACCAATTATCGAGGCTGGGGAGCGGGTGCTGATGGTGATGCACTCCTACGGCGGGGCTGTTGGAGCCGATGCCATCGAGGGGCTCAGCTTCACGGAGCGTAAAGCTGCAGGACACCCCGGGGGAGTGGTTCATTTGATGTACATGTGTGCCTACATCTTGCCATCTGGAAGTACTATATGGGGGATCGTGAAGGAAGCTGGAATTACTCACCTTTGGACTCAATTTGTGAAGAACTTCCCCGACGGCTCTACCTTCCCACAAAATCCGGCACAAATGTTCCTGGGCGGCGTAGACCAGGAAATTGTGGACAAGGCACTTCCACACTTGGTGCGTTCTCCAATGTCTGCTTTTGAGACAGAGACCAAGGGAAGCTCGTGGAAAACGGTGCCTGTGACTTATATTTTGACGCAGCAGGATGCGTCTGTATCACGGGTCTATCAAGAGATTATGCTTGAGAAAGTGAAGAAGGCTGGGGTAGTGATCAAAACTGAGGATTATGGTACGAGTCACAGTATTTTTATTACAAAGCAAGATGAGATGGTGCAAGCAGTTGTGAGGGCAGCAGAGGATAAAAGGAATGCTCAGTAGTAGAGACATTGGTACTATGGCATTAATCAAAGAGGAGGTGACATGTGGCAGGAAAGAGACCAACCGCTATATGAGAAATTTATTGGAAACTTCTCTGCCACAAAATCCTTCTACGAAATAATGACCGGTGAAAGTTCCCAACCTATTTCTACGTAGGAAAACCAGCTTACTATCGAAGTTTATGTTGATTAAGTTGAAGATTTTCTACGAAGGTTTCGCTTAAATCTGAACCAGGTTTTGCTGCACCAAATTGTACGTGACAGAGCAAGTAGTCTGTTTGCCAAACAAATCAGTGGTGCATTTATAGCGATCTGCACTATCCACTTTTGATTAGCTAAACAAGCGAATTGGTCCAGTCCTGTACTGTTGCATAACATGTTTACAAGTAGTATTCTACCTGAAAGATTACCTTTGAGGGTCGTATAGCTTATTGTTAAAGTTATCTCACTCGCCGAGGTTTTAGACCTTACGCCTCAGAAGAAGCAGATACCTTTTGAACCCGTGGTATCTTTTTCGTCCCCCAACAACTTTCTCGTACCACTGCTCTGCAATTGTAACTTGGTGTTTCAACAAGCTTTGAAGGCTGATTTGACAGCAGCTGTAAACTTCTCAAGATCTCCTCTCTATCTCCAGCCAAACTTAGCTGCGAGAGTGCTTGGTCCATGCCCTAGTAGTCCATGCCATTGTTGACCCAATAGTTGGCACCAGCGTTGGTGATGGATTAACTTTTCTTTCTTGGGTGGAAGGTTGTTGGTTAAAGCTTGATAGTGGCCTCATCTTTTGGAGCGTAGAGATTCTGGCCTCCAGAGCAGTGGTTTTTAGGGAGATATCGAAGAGTCATTGTGTACTGCAAGGCATTGTTTTCTAGTTGGTGATGTCCTCATTCCCTCTGGGAGCAGGGTACGGCTAATTTGGTGCACGTACTACCAATAACTGAAGCTAAGTGTATCTACAGTATAGTAGACTTTCATTAGTTTAAGCTTAAATACTTATGAAGTTTTGGCTAATTATCTTATAATATGGTAAGTAGGGAAAAGAATTCAGCTAATAAGGATACTAGAATCAAACAGCTAACAAGATTACAGGGGTACTTGAGCATATGTGCAGCTGGGAACAGAGTGCACTAGTCCCAATGGAGCGATGCATCGTTACTAGGGGTAACACTCCAAGATGAACATAAGGAGTTCATCGCCATGTTTTGGGTTTGGTCATTTGTCGCGCTGTCACCTTTCTGATTCACTTTTGGCTAGTATGAACAAAGACAGTCCAGATCCCTAGGTTCTGGTGAACAGGTCTATGTAGTCTATATACCCGCATATGACTCAGTCAAATGTTGGCCCATGCACTCAGAGGATTCAAGCAGCTACTGAGAGTAATATCCTCATCTTGAACTCATGATATTTCATCTGACACACAGATTCCCACTACGTGGAGGTCACATATCCATCAATACCCTTACTGTTTCCGTTATTCCACACGCCAACCAGCGCACCCAGCCCTGTATTCAGACCTAAGTTCATAGTTTCCCACGAAGGGAAGTCTCCACATGGACTCCCAAGATTTAGTTCTTGTTGGTGTATGGGATGATCGCCCTTGGGCACCCTGGGCACCCGGACCAGGTATCAATCCTTTGCCACCAAAGCATGTGTGGCCTAAGCCACTTACGACAGCCTGCTTTCTCTTGGAGCGTCTCCCCAAAGGTATGATCAGACCTTAAGACTAAATGTATCCCAACTAAAGCTAACAATACTATAGAGATCAGATGTGCAACCCTTCGTCTTTTGCTGTACCGCCCTACAGGTTTTGTACCTTTCACTGCGAACCACAGAGTTCGAAGTGGACCCGTACCACGTTATATCTACAAAAACAAACATTATCCGGGCATAAACTATACAAAAGAGTATGGCTGGAAGGGCTCGAGAGGTTACTATTATGACGACGACTATACTGGTCATCCTTGGGGTCATTCGCTTCACCTGTACTCTAAGTATCCTAGGTGGGATTGCGGGCCACTCAAGGTTATCTGGACAACACCAGCCTCTGGAGCACAGCTTCGACTCATTCGGCAAGCCCGTAAACGTACAGGCGACCGTTTTCCGGATGTTGACCTTCCTGATTCCATTGACCCAGAAACCGGTACGAGCATGACAAACCTTTTACATTATCGACGCGATGGAAGCATAGGAGTCATCCATAGTAGAGAAGCCGAAGTCACCCCAATTGCCGGTGTGCAAATTCTCAGAACCTGCCAAAAGCTCTATGCCGAGGGCTCAGAAATACTTTAGTATGTAGCTTCTTTTCTATATCCTGTTATCCATCTGTATAAAGAGCTAGTTCATTATCACACAATGTTCTGGACTCCTGACCCGACAGGAAAATCACGCGCTAATCTCTTCCAGTGGCGAAAACCTATTTGTGTTCAACGGTATCAGAGAACCATATGAAGGCGGCTTCAAAAACTTTCGAATCGATGATGATCTTACCAGACTTGCATATCATCTCCTTGGAATATCACGAGATCCGACATTGGTATCAAGAAACCAAGTTTCTGCGGCTCTTCAGGAACTATTTAACCCTTCTATGCCATGTCCCAAAGTCGTGTCGGAGGCTAATACGGATCCGTTTACGCAATTTATACCACCACAAGTATTCCAACCTCCTTTTACAGGATATAGCATTATTTTCTGGGACTCATTTCTCGCCTTTTTCAGACAGATAGGAATTCAGAACGCGTCCTTGTTGACGAAGATAAAACTCGAAGGGATCTTCTATGGGCATTGGCCTTTGCCTGGCGAAACCACCGCTCCACTGGATTTTTCTGACATGCTTCGGTGTTACGTTACTGTTATGAGTCACGTATGTGTCAACCTAAAGAGCCTCACACTACACACGCCCTATTCACATGCTCAGGACTACGATGCAAAAATGAGAGCAGAGGAGTCTGTAGCATTGATTGTTAATAGCCTTCCTGGACTTCGAAAGATGAAACTAGGCCAGTATCGTCATCGCAATCTCAATCATCAAGACAACTGGGACGAAACGGTAAGATGGTCGCAGGTGGTCAGTAGACGTGCCCAAGGTCGTCAACAAGTTCCTCAGCGATCAATTGAAGACATCATCGCGGAGATCAACAGAGAAGCTCAAGAGTATCATGAAGAGACGACAAGTCAATTCGACGAACTTCCATTCAAAGAAGCTGGCTGTGTGGATTACGAGTTTACCTCCAGATCACAACAGAAGAAGGCGAATCGCGAGCTTTTTAAACTTATTGAGTTTCATCCAACGGCACGAGTCAAGATCTATCTTGGACCTGTACTTGGATATAAGCCATTCAAATGGTCGGGTTGGCAATATCCCAATTACCGATGGTTGATTGATGGCAGCTTTGCATGGACTAAGCAAGACTGGGAATCGGCCAGTGCTGCAGATACTGAGAAAGATCTTGGTGGAGGATATGAAAATTATGAAGTAGATTATGATGGCTAAGCTGATGAGGTTTGAGACACTGCAAGTATAGCCCCGCAAGGAATACGGCAGTAATGAGAAACTTGGGTTGCTCTTGGGTTGCTCTTGGGAACGAGCTGAACCAAGCAAAGCGTTGTGCTATTCAAGTAGTAATCATACATACATTGACATCTTTGTGTTGGGCACTAGAGTCTTAAAACCTGTGAAATGTTTGTATTACATGATGCCTGTAAGTAAGTGCCATACGCAATCGCTGTGCAAGATCAACCAACTGGACTTCGCTTAAAAGATGGGTGAAACTCCGCGAGCCCCTCATTTCATGCTTTTTTGTCCCAGTAAATTAAAGAAAGGATAAAGAGTATGCACCCAGTCTCAAACCTTTGCTGTTAGTTCTAGTGCTTTAATGAAGTAAAGTTGGAGTTTTTGAATTTTAGTACTCAGGGGTTATCTCACCAAGACTTTTATTATCTTGAAGTCCTTTCTGGAGCTTGCAGGCCCGTAATTTTCTTTCAATTAATTTGATTGTAGGCTTACTTAGACTAAGTACGGGAGCAGTGAATATTAAGCATTCAATTGTCATATGGGGCCCCATATGGCGTCCTCTCAGAGACGATGCAGCTGTATGGGCATTATCCTTCTGAGATGGGTCTCTCAGTTATTGGAGTCTGAGATACTGTTGGTTTGACTCTATTGAAGAGTTTAGACAGAGTTGATGGAAATGAAAGATTCTCGTGTTTGACTATTAGATATGTACACTGAATGAAGGTTGTAGGTGTACGCTATAATGTAGCAGTAGCAAGGCGCTATTGCCCTCCTAGCTCCGCTCAATCAAGCAATCAAGCGTAGCAATCTAGCATGTGCTATTACTCATATACATACTGAGTATATTCACTTAGTATTCGTATATCGACAGATACTGTACTTGGCTTTCAGCTTAAGATTTAGTGAATGAGAACTAGCCCTATGATTATTTCTTCTGGCACCTCTGTCCCACCTGAGCTTGACAAAGTTCCTACGTCTCCAACACTCCTGAACACTGTTCTGCTGCGACCATCAAGACATCAGCAAAAGCTTCCCTTCCAAGCACAAATATCGAGCAGCATGACGTCCGTTTTTCCCAGCAGCAAAAGGGCCGATGCAACCATGGAGAGCATTGTTGAGAACCCAGTTGAGAAGAGTGCGTTTCTTCGACTACCACGAGGTATATCTATGAGGTCTTATATCAAGCACCTTGTTTTCTAATGAATTCTTAGAGATTCGAGACATGATTTATGACTTGCTCTTTGTTCGACCTACTGGTATCGTCCCTTGGATATACACGGGCAGACCTAAGAAGCCGATACCTTACGCGGTCCAGGGAAAACCCCACAATGACGGAAAGCATTATTCTTTTGACGACGTGAGGAATTCTTATACACGCACATCCCCTGGAAAGGTCCTTCTTGATGTCACCTGGACCACACCAGTCACCCTCCAAGAGATATCGCAACTTTCGACACTAGAAAAGGAGCCTGGTTGTACAATAATCCCGAATGGCTCGCTCCTGAATGATTGCAGAGACGACCAAATGAAAAGATTACTTCATACCCGCTATGATGGGGCATATGAGATTATTCGCAGTGTCCCAGTTATGGTTGAAATTATCCATGGTGTTGCATTGCTTGCAACATGTAAAATGCTCAATGCGGAGGGCAGTCAGGCTCTTTACGGCAAGAATCTTTTCGTATTCAATAGAATCAGCAATATTCGAATGCGTCAAGGCGCAGACGTGTTCGTTATAAGAGAAAATCTTGCCCCTTTACCGTCTAATATCCCAGAGATTTGTCGGTATGCCTGGATAGCCCCGATGAAGAAATCTCGGTCGCCTTGCAGCGACTCTTTACTGAGTATACATTGTATGACAAAGAGCCAGGCGCGTGTCGTCAAGATCGCAAACTAGCGAAGTTTGTCAGGCAAGATGCCTTTTTGACATTCTTGAATCGAATTGGCATGAAGAATGCGTCCCTTCTTACGAATTTGAATACAGAAGATGATTGGTATTGTGGCCACCCGACTCGTAAATCAAGGCCATTCTTGGCTGGGCCCTATACACAATTCAACATTGGGGATAGATTGAGAATCTACACAACCATTTTCAAAGCACTGGGCTGTAAGATTGAAAATCTTATTCTTCATAATTCGAGAGCAAGCCGCGATCGCGATTACATTAACTATGATGGTCGTAGCAGAACTCTTATAGATGAAGATATGGAAGGAAGTGTTGGACTTTTAGTCAATGCGCTCCCTACGCTTAAAACCCTTCAGCTTGGCCGTTATACGTTCGAAACGAAACTAAGGTACATCGACGAGTGGAGAAAATGTGTACGCTGGTCCGCCTTCGTGCGGCAGCGTGCGGTTGAAAACCACTCACAAAGGGTACCTCGAGGCATCGAGGAAATAATTGAAAACATACATCGTGATGCTGATGCATACTATTCGAAAATAATATCTCTCTTCGAGACTCTACCCTTCACATCTGACGCCTGGGACGAGTTTGAGTCCCGGTACACTCCTCGAATGAAATCTGGATCTGATCAGAGAACCAACCGAATGTGTCAAAAAGAGAATTGGAAGCTATTAAACCTTGGTCATTCTGAATGTAGGAGGTGGATGGGATTCCAATACCCTCGATATGATTTCAACGATAGCATGGTGGGGTTAATGCCAAAACGTTCACAAAAATCTCCAATGTCATTGAGCTCTGACACAGGAACGAGGGGGATGGAGTGGTGGATGAAACTGGCGAACTGATGGGAATAAGAAAATATGACAGTATATCTCTCGCACTGACTGTACTCGAAAGGAACCTCGAATCGAGATTGGCAACGGACATCAAGCTTTGGGCTCAATTCTAAGGTAGTCATACACGTCGCGGGTATTCCAATTCGTTATTTACTGCAGGCAGTAATACCACAAACGCTGTCCACTTGAGAAAGACCAACTGAACCAAACCATAGATATAAAGCCTCCAATACAGGTAGGTGTGGTTCGTGAACATAAGTATTTGCCCCGGTTACGACCGAAAAGTGACCAACAAGTGGCCGAAAACGTGCTATGCCTCATCCTATAGTAGCATTCTAGTTTATAGCTTGATCCCAGAAGGGGGCTCCGTCAAATCAAAGGACATGAGATTGCTAGTTCACATTCCCTACGAAGTCCTTAGAAAAGTTGGAAAGAAGTCATAGGCCATGCCGGCTCATATGCATGCAAGTACACAGAAGCCATTTGTATAGGAATTATTTTGAGTCATTGAGAGCTTTGGAGGCTTGAGAGAAGGAAGTTCATTTAGTGTTGTTGCATAAAGGTTATTTGGAAGGGAACGAGAAGAGACTTGCAGCGGTAACCGAGTTCTTGGCGACATTGGAGTTGCTTCTAAATGTGGACTTTGTAGAACAGATTACGCTGAATTAAATTGTATTCTGAATATAACTAAAACGGCGACAAGTAGTTGTTGGCGGTTGTCCAAATACTATTATGATGATATTGCGTTGACAACGAATATTCCAGAAGAAAGGAGAGAATGGCTGAATGTAGTGGCAGCATAGGTTGAGATTGATCTTTCAATAGGCGAAGGTTCCTTTTAATACAGTACTCTGAAGTATTCATTTTTTAATTGTGAGTTTGAGGCGAACAGATAGTGATACATGACACTTGCTAAATAGCCCAATTCAATTCCTTCAATCTGTTTTGCTGTGAGGGTCTCAATGGTTAGCGGTCAAGGGGGGTTTCCAGTTCTCCAATGCTGCTTTAAGGTGGTTAGTATATCCAGTCCTTTTCCACCCCCGCGACGTTTGTTTTGCACAACCAGGTACCCACGCGCAAAAGCAACACTCTTATAATCAAGGCCACTTGAAACTATTCCTGGCAATAATTTTTCTCGTTGATTGACCATGGTGGACACCGTTGAGCATCCCCAATGCGTTGCGACACCAACAGACGACGTCAAGGACCAGAGCAACAACCAATTTCTGCGACTACCAAAAAGTGAGCAACATCGTTCTTTTGAAACTCTCCCTTTCATTCAATTGAGTCATTCATGGCTAACGTTCACGTAGAAGTAAGAGATCGAATTTACAGTCTTCTTTTCGTTCGCCCGAGTGGCATAGTCCCATGGTTCCTGTGGGACTATGGCAACCGATTCCATGGCCTATTTGGAAAACCAAGCACGCCAATCTGGGTCAATATTCTCAAAATTACGCGTTCGATGATGTATGCTCCTGCTACAGAACCGGGATCCAATGTCACCCCAATTGTCGAGTCCTCGACATAACGTGGACAACACCCGCTACCATTGAAGATGAACTTGCCCTCTTGGGTTTGAAGACAACCTCCGAATTCTCGCAGCTCCCTGATACAGTGAACTTGGTAAATGGAAGGGAAGAGAGAACGAGCAACTACGTTCATATTCGCGGCGATGGCAGTCGGGAAATCGTGCACAAGGTGTCGAGAACTGTCAATAATCTTGAGGGAATCAATTTACTTGCTACGTGTAAGCAGATCAACGAGAAAGGAAGTAGGGTGTTATATAGCGAGAATCTCTTCGTTTTCAACATTGTTCAGAACATTTATGAGGAAAAAGACATCTGCGAATTTGCGATCACCGATGATCTTTCGAGCCTCGCAGACATAGTTCCAGGTATCTCGCGCCATGGATACCGTCCCATTCCATTTCAAGAATCTGCAGCAATGAAACAACTTTTCACCAAGAAAACTCGCTCTATACAGCAGCAGGATTATGTCAGACAAGATGTTTTCCTAAGCTTCTTGAACATCATTGGAATGAAGAATGCCTCATTTCTGAAGAAGCTCAAAATAGAGGATAAATTCTTTCCTATCGAAATTGACCACAGACCACAAACTTATACCGTCGGGATTGACGATAGGCTAAGAACTTATACTACCATTCTCAATCGGCTTGAATGCGACATTCAGAGCCTAACCTTGGACATCTATAAAGGGTTCAAAATCTGTGCTTTATGGGAACTGTCTATCCTTGAAGACCCAGATTTCACTCGACGTGCCCTCCCACAAGAAGCGCTTATGATGCTGGATTACGTTGTAGGTAATGTAGTTCAGCAACTACCTACCCTGCAACATCTTCAACTGGGAGCCTATGGTTCAAAATTCAAGTTGCCTCAACAGTTTGATGAGTGGGGTTGTGTGGTTAGGTGGATGAGATTTGTTCGGCAACGTTCCTCAAGGAAGATTACTCCACGGCCAATTGAAGAAATCATGCGTGAAATCGAAAGAGAAGCCAGTTACTACTTAGCCTCTAATGCTATCGCTTCCACCACCACAAAGGGGGACGAGCCAAGTACGGAGAAACTCCCAGATGAGGAACAGGGTCGAAGCTTGAAAGACGAAAAGTGCCATGAGCCAAATGAGAGTGAAGACCTGATTGAGTTTTCAGACAACGGTTCAATAGCGTCATCAAAAGTTATTGATGAAAATACAAATGATACGACTGCAGTGACGGAGGTAGAGAACCAAATGGGTCGCTTGGGCTTGGGACCCTGAAAAGTGCACATGCGAGTATTGTGCTGTATCGCTTTTACGTGTTTGATGACAAATTTGTACTGTAATCTTAGCTTCTAGAACTAATAAATGTGGATTCAGCAACGTTGCTTCGCTCTACCTGATTCTTCTATAGCCTTATCATCTCCTTGAGTGCCCTCTATCCCCATAGGACTCCCACACACCAGGAAGTCTTTTAGATGATGGGTATGTTTGTCATAACACCTTTTCTCAAATGCCAGAACAACTGAACCTCCATATGGATGCAGCATTGTTCCGACCCGACAGCCAATAATATTATTTCATCCATAAAACAGCTTGCACCACACCCCAATCAAGTCCCTAAGGCTCACGATTCACGAACTACAATCAAAAGCCAGTCACTGGACCACTTTGCAGTAGGTGTTCCTCAGATGAGTTCCCATCCCTGTCTCCCTTCTCCACATCCGCATTGCCATTGTTCTTCTCAAGATTTCTTCCTCCCTTTTTAAGGGCATTCGCAGCTTGGATCTCGAATCGTCTTCCCGGAATCCCAATAAAAGACTCTGTCACCGCCTTGACAACAGCAATTGAACTACCAGCCATCATCAAGATTGGTAGAATCTGCGAGAACGTCCATTGGTTCCCCTCCACAGCTCTATAAAGTGCGGGAATCTCCATTTCACTTCTCAAGCTATTGTACCTGGTGAACGACAACACCACGATGACTGTACTGGCAATGATACTCATGAAAGAACATGCTATTGAAGCCCGACTCATGCCGATGCGCTTTCTTTCGGTTAGGTTTAGTTTTTGTTGGAGGTATTCGCTTGTGACAGAAGCGAGTGCTATGAAGAGAAAGACGGCGAGGGTTGTGTATTCTCCTATTCCGCCATTGGCTGTTGAGGAGGCCGTGAGGTTGTCCAGAATTTGTTTTGCGTTTGCGGTTGTGTTTGATGCTACCCCGGCAGTGGTGACGCTATGTGCGAGGGTAGACCAGTTGGATACGCCTAGGATATCGGTACTGTTCATATCTTCGAAGCAGGCGGCGGGGATAATTGACAGAAGGCCGGCTGTGGTGGGGAAGTTGTTTGACATGCGTGCTTTGAGGACAAATCCTGAGAGTACCATCTGTGCCAAAATTCCTACAAGCCGGTAGAGCGCCACAAATTTGCCTTTATTGAGAAAGTCGGTGATATTCATTAGGAGATTCAAATGGGTTACAACTCCGAGGACAAGCATGGTGCAAACTAGGTTATAGTGGTATGCGGATAATTGACATGCTTGTTGATTGACTGCAAGGAGGAGCGCGATGCTTGCGATGAGTTGTTGGTCGCTAAACGTTTGGAGAAGAGTCTCGATGGTATGGATGAGTTTGACAAAGCGTTTATGTTCTTCTTTGTCTTTCCGCTTAGGTCGACTATCGTATTCGTTGACTTTGACTTTATCGACAGATAGTGCAAGAGAGAGGACAATGGCAATGAAGGCATTGATGATAAAGACTTTGACAATCTTATGTAGATATTAGTAAAATTTCAAAAAAGAAACCATGGTATGGACGAACCTTTTGACCGGTGATATCCTCGTTTGGTGCTAACCTTTGAACATCTAGCAGTGGACCATTGCTTCCATAAAGCTCAAAATTGCAAGTGACAGCTTGATTATGTGCCGCGCAAATCTGCGGGCTACTTGGAATCATCCACTTCATCTTGAAAACTTTGACTTTGGAAAGTGGACAGGAATGAAATAGATATAATATTAAGTAGGAAGAAGTAAAAAAATAACGAGTGTGTACGTTTGTAGTAAGGAAAGAAGTATAAGAATAATGAAAGTCTTTGAGGGAAAAGGAAGGCCGAGAATGAAATCGCTGAAGAACTAAGATGAGCAACAACATACTCTACCTCTTGTATTATATACATGAACTTGAGGCTCAAGTGCCAAACTATTCAGCCGAGCCTCACGCACAACATCCTTTCATGCTGATGGACTGCCACCGAAAAAACATCAAGCCACCGGCCTCCTAACTTGGTGAAATCCCTACAGCCATGTGTTTCAATATGCACCAAATTTAAAATAGTCGAAGAAATAGGGCTATGGAGTTTTAATCTCTACACTCAGAACCATACGCGATGTAAGTACAGGGATCAGAAAACCCTCCAAGTACAGATACAGACACAAACGTACTTATCCCTTACCGAAAAGTCTTCCATCAAGCAGCGTTCCCACGTTGTGTGGAGGCCATTCTCAGCCTCAAGATAAAATTACCACGTTCCCTTATGTTTTGGAAGCAATAGGAGACAAAAATAAGTTATGCAGTGCTTATTACTATTATCGCTGATGTTACCTTGTGCTGATAAGAAGCAAAAGTCTGAGGCTCTGTTTCCTAAAGCGTTGGGTATGGGGGCGGAGCTGCACGTGGCTTCGCTTCTATTGCAGGGACAGTCTCGTGGCAGTGCAGCTACATACTGTATGCGACGCTGGAATCTCACAGTTTAATTTGAGCCAATGGAGAAGGAAATGGCCGGAGCAAGCCCCCAAAGCAGCAAGAGCATGTAGATCGGACTCAAATCAGCAAGCCTTCTCCAAAATTTCGGGCTTCCATTGAAGCCTCCCGCGGTGGCATTGCCATAGAGAACTCGGGAAATTCAAGAAAATCTTGGGGTATATTCTGAATTCGCGACCGCTTCTGACCAATGTCGGAGGGGAAGATGTAAAACTTGGAAAAGGAGACGGCGCCAAGCGTATCTTCCAGTGCTACTGCACTGATTTTAGCCCCTACCTAAATACAGCCTTGCTAGTGCCGAAATGTTTTTTGGTGTAAGACTGAATAAGAAAATCCTCGGAGTCTCATGGTAATGGTTCCAATAATCTAAAGGATCAGGACTCTGTGGAACATACAGTGCTTCCTAAAGACCAGAATCCTACTTTCCGGGCTATCTCATACCCGACCAATTGCCACAAGTAGGAATGAAGCTCTGGGATTATAGCGAGACCGGACTCGTTAGCTAAAAGGAATTGGTTTGATGAGCGCCAGATGCACTTACACTTCGAATGCGTCACACGAAGAGGAAGCGAGCTTGGGTACGGTAGCTGGTCAAGGGAATATGTACTTACGCAGTTTACCTAGTGATTACCACCAACATCTTGGTATTACCATTCCTCATTACCATTACTAATTATTTTGTTCCTCCTCCTATCAAGTTCACTTAGTCAATAGTCAACTTGCCATTAAGTGGCAAATCTCGACTACTTGATCCAACCCAGATCTCATATTCCCCCTTTTGCAGAGTCCAAGCTTGCTGAACAACATTCCACTCCGATAGATCTCTTCTCTTTAAATTAAAGGAAAACGTAGCAGTCTGTCCCGGATCAATACTGACTTTGTCGAATCCACGAAGTTGTCGGATTGGGCCGCCTGGGATGCCAATGTATAATTGTGCAACTTCCATGGCTCCTACATCACCGGTAGTTGTCACACATGCTTCAACTCTTGCGATAACGTCGAAAAGGCTTGCAGTTCCTCCCTCGATGATGGAGGATGATGGGGGGAGGGATGATGTCGAGACTCCTGGGAGAAATGCGGCACTCAAATTGGAGAAGGAGAAGGTAGTGTATGTCAAACCAAAGCCAAATTCATAGCGAGATGTAATATTCTTCTTGTCGAAATCGCGATAGTCGATATATACTCCATCAGTGAAGTTGTCTTGGGGGAACAGTCCATATTCTGCTTCTGGCTTCACGGGAACGATATTATATTGTGATTCGTTACGAGCGACTGTGTAAGGTAATTTTCCGGAAGGTGACTGCTGTCCATAAAGAATGGAAACGATGGCTCGACCTGCATCTTGTCCAGGGAGATGTCCAAAGATGACGGCCGTAATATTTTCGTGATTAATCCATTGGTCAACAAGTCGTGGTCCAGCATTGTGTATAACAACGACCGTGTTGGAACAGTTAGTAGCAACATTTTTGATGAGTCCGTCAGAGAAATCATCTACTCATAGGTCAGCATCCATGAGGAAATCCAAGGTGAGAGTAGAGGACAAAAGCTTACCATGGAAGTTGAGACGATCGCTACCTTCAGTAGCCCAGGAATTGACAAAAACAAGACAAGCATCGCTCGAAGTATCAACGAGTAGATTCGCACTCTGAAAATCCCAAAAGAGAGTTGTGTCATCCTCATAAGCTTTATTCTGCAGAGCATCAAAAGGCGAAGATATGTACGCTGGAGAGCTAGCACCACTTCCCCCACCCACATACAATGTTCCATTTACATAGGCAGTGCCTGTAGGGGGTCTATTGCGTTGAAACTGGGTACTGGCACTAGTGGCGATGGCATCATAGCCGAAAATTGAGAGCATCTGAGGCTTTTCAAAAGGGAGGGTTTTATTGACGTTTTTGACGAGGACATGACCTTCGATCGCACCCTGGAGGAGGATTGGCTTGGAAGCAGGATCTCTAGCATTGACAGTTTTGTGGGGGCCATAATAGTCGGCAGCCTTCCACAACCCAACCTCTGGGAAATCAAGCTAACAAATTCGTTAGAATATCAGAGATAACCGGGCAAAACTGTAAGGCAACACGTACATCTTGACCCATCTGGTACCACGAGGCAACAATTCTCGTTGCCATATCAGTGACACGAGCTTCTGGAAGGCTGCCATTGGTTATTGCTGCGGCTAGCAATTCACCCTTCGCTCCCCAGTAACGGTTGGAATTGGGCATTGCCACATCCAGACCACCTTCAGCGGAAGTCCAGCCAGTATCTGTGGATGTCAGTAATTTTAGAATACGATAAGCAAGTAGGACATACGTTGGGCACCCCAATCACTGACTATAAAGCCTTCGAATCCCAATTCTCCTTTCAATATCCCATTTTGAGACTTGCTGTTGTGGCATGCATATGAGTTGTTGATTCTCTGATACGAGCACATAACTGATCCAGTACCTATTCACGACTTTGTTAGAATGATACATGTATTGAAGCTTGGGGTTACTTACCAGCTTGGATTGCATCTACGAAAGGCCAAAGGTAAAGCTCGTGCATCGTCTTGTCATCAATATTGGTAGGAACAGAGGCGACTGTGATATTCAATGTAACGTTCCCGTAAACAGTGGGATTTCTGAAGTTCTCTTGCTCATTTACAATGCAATGCTTGACTGATGTAGTAACACCTTGATCTTGCACACCTCTAATATTCTCACCTACAAGCTCTCCAGAAAGGTATGCTAATTGAATGTCAGCTTAAATATTCCAATTACACAACATGATAACGCACGATCATTGCTGAACCCCTCCCAATTTCTGCCTCCAAATGCAACTCTTCCCAAAGGGCCAACAACTGGACCTAGCAGGACATGAACACCCTTGGCTCTATACTCTCGTCCCATGTGAGCTGCACACAAGTTTGTCAAAGCACGGTTCCAGCTAGCACCAGAATGTAAGCCAGCTGGGTAGGCATTAACCATGTCAGTAGCTCGAACACCATTTCCGGCGTCCTGCATACATAAGCCAGTCCAATTGAGACGAGACACTGAACCAGTAGCACCAACACAGCCAGTAGTTGTAGAATATCCGACAGTGATATTGACTCGTTCTTCAAGAGTCATTTGAGAAACAAACTTTACTGCCGTGGAATATGCTGTTGCCCATGGTCGCGAACCAGGCATTGGGGCTATTATTTAGTCAGTGAATATTACTTCATTATCAGAGAGTGGTAGCTTACAATATGAGACAGCAGGAACTTGTCCATAGAAGTATGCATCATCAGTGATATTCTCGGCATTGACGATATAATTGAGGATCGAAAGGGCCAACCACATCCAATTAAGAGACAACATCTTTGCTTTGGTCCATGTTGTTTGTGGAAAGAATTGCTTCTCAGTGTTTGGGGGAAGTGGAGCTAGAGGTTGGAGTATTTATACTTGGACACTTTGGAAATGGTTACACGGAAAAGTACTTCCGGCACAAGATAATGACATGGTGAATTTCCCTTCCATAGTCTACCGAGGACAGTGAACTCGATAATTTTCGGTGATGACGGCAGTGGACTTTGAACATAAGCATCTTTTCTTTGTTGCGTGAAAACTACCTAAGCGAGACAAGGATTCCCATTGGCTCTCACTATCCCCCGCACGGCCTTGAAAATAAAGCCGCCTTCAAGAATGATCAGACGATGCATTCACCGACTATTGAATCTCTCGCTGGGTTGGCCTATACATCATACTTTTGATTCTGAAAGATGCGCTTTTTCCCGAGTTTATAAATCTTCTGGTGGCTCAGGTGGCAAGATGGAGATTGCGGATATAAGTATTTGAGTATGAAACTTGAGTTGGCTATTAAATGGAGGCGCTTGAATCACAACACAATTAAAAATGACAGAGGAGACTTCAGTTACCATGAATTCACAGAGTGGATTGTTATTGGATTAACACAGTATATACTGGTAGTGCTTAGATCGGGCCTTTGTACTGCATAGACGTTTGGATTCAGTATGCAATGGTTGGTCTGAGAGAAGAGTACAAGTCATTAAATCAAGGAGGATACAATCAAAGGTACATTATACGAGGTACCGGGACGAAAGATTCGGTTTCCCTCACGATAGCTTGATTTTATCCCTTGCAAATGCATCTCTACCCCGCAAAGTATGACTTGATGACATGCAGTTGTGTTTGTGTTTGGTCGCCAAGTACAACACGCCAAGTAAATCCAACCCGTCCCTTTCGCTTAATTTTCTTCCAGTGAATTCTCTCCAAAATAGGACAGCGGTGAGCTTGCTGTGTTTCTTCTACATTCTTTTCTTTCTATCCTACCAGCTTTTGCACCTAGTCTCCATCCAGGGTATTCTGACGCTTGGGAGCTTAATGAACTAAAATACCTCTAAAAAAAGTGCTGACAATAAGGTCGCCTATATGCAAGCATCATTACATGCTTAAGGGAAAACAATAACATGGGTTATTCAAAAAGAGCTGCTTGCTCCTGCATTGTGTAAGAAGTACAAATATGTAGGGTAGTGGTATATAGCATTAATTATTAGTAAGTAGTGAGTATCTGAACTTTTTACCGTGCAATTTTATAACAACGTTATAAGAGGACTAGCTGCATAAAAGATTTATTCGAAATCAAGACAAATATTAGGTAATCTCTTAACTCATTCGGTATATACGCAGTACAAATTATCACAAAAGAAAATGTACTTAATAAATTGACATTGGATAGCAGCTCTATGTCATATGTTAAACGGAAGAGCGAGGTATCTCCTTGGCGTCTACGTTGGGGGTGTTGCAGGTGAGGCTTCCCCATTTTTCGTGACCAATTAAAAGCGAGTCACGTGGGCTCGACTTTTCCCTTGATCTGTTGCATACGAGTACGAGACACCCAATAGAGGTTTAATAAATACGAGCATCGACTTTATTGGTGAGCTGCTGCTTTTCAATATCACCCTGCATGAGGGCGTTCAGGAGACGTTCATGATGTAACCTAACCTTTTGGGATACATGTACGTAAGATCAACATTACCGACATTCGGCCAAATGAATTAGGCCAACCTATTGGCAAAAACACACAGGAACGAGCACCTGAGGCTCTGATATTTAACCTAGACATGCTAGTTTTTAGATAGGGACTGTTTTGAGGCTGGCAGAAGTTAAGCGAATGGCCTCTGGCTGGCGTGACATTTCCAACCAACCAACCAAAATGCCAGCGTCATATCGCGAATTGGCTTCTTATTTTTCTCCCTCTGAAATCTCACACTGCTTTTCTGAGTCCTGCTCGGTACGACATTTCCAGATCAGAAATCCACAGTGGTACCTTCCCGATAATTAAGATCAGCTCGACGTTGCGATCAGGAATCTAGAGGTCTATAGATCGCTTCTGTAATTCACTCAGCGAATACCACTTGTATTGATCAGTCAAGTGATGTCTATTGATTATATCCACGTCCCCTTTACACCTTTACATAGATGTGTCTCAGCACCATGACACCCTTCTCATCAGACCTTGAACTCATCCCACCATCTCTTCTCATCCAGCAACTTCCCATTCCCATCAAAAAAACGCTCTCACTCTTCAGAAGTCGTAGTTTCTCCGTTTGATTTATTTTGGATGGCGCATCCTGGGCTTCACCCTTGAAACCACCAATGTTCTGCATCGATTGTTAGCTTTGGCCTTCGTTGAAGTAAAAGACTCAGCTGTATTTGATACACTTTAAAAAGACCAGGAGAGGAAGTAAAATCTCACTTACTCCATCTGCGCAGATATGCGGTGACAAGGAACTTCTGGTGCGAAGGGATTTCTTCTCAATGCTCCGCCGACGGCTCTTGGTGAAGACGAGAGGGCTCTGGATAGTGCGGCGTATGAGGAGATGCGACCCGATGGTATTTGGTTGAGGAGTGTGTAAACACGCTATCCGGCTGTTAGATCTGCTTGGTTTTGACTTCAGGTGAAGGGGCTTTACTTCTTGGAATGGAGTGACAGCCATTGCGAGATCCGGGAAAGATTTGATTCTTGTGATGGCAGACTTTGGTTATGTTGATAGCCTGGTCGACTTGTGTTGAGATATATATGTGGGAAATTGAGATGCAAACACGCTTTTATTGAAATTATTTGGTTTACCCCCTCCAAAGTTAAATGCTCTTTGCCAATAATCATTTCAAACACTTGTTTAAATAAATTATAGTCAGATCATTTATGTGTAATTAAGGGGTAAGATTTAAAATGATTAATAATAATATGCAAATCTTTAATAGAACCTACCCAGTATTGAATACAATCAGATTCTCTAGTTGTAACTGTTCCAACACAAAAAAAATTACGAAGATCTTCTACTAATGATTTATCCTTTAAATGGTCACTTCTAGAGCAGGACTTTTGAGTCACTACCGCCTTCACACCTGCGCTCCTTGTTGGCGAATCTGATCATAATTCAGCTTTGTGAGACCATGATGAGAAATCACTCACAGTACTATGTATAGCTTAATAGTTAATCAGGAAGTAACATCATGTAGAATATGTGAAGTTTGAAAAGGGAGAGGCAAAACAAGCGAAATGTGTTGATTGGTCAATTCCAAAGCAGGACCCATATTAGCTGAACAACCATTGACTGCAACCTCAAATCTCTTCTCAACCCCAACAACCAGCTGAAACTTATATTCATTCCACATCATAGGAAAATTCTCTCTCATTCTCATCGTTTTGAGTTTACAATAAACCTAAGAGCAGGAGAACGAACATTCATCAGCCACTGACGCAATGCCCCACTTCTCAAGCCCAACCTCTCGCTGGTCCGCTCTCCAGTCGCGCAACCCGCTCGCAGCAAGCTCTTTCATCTACGCTGTCACAACAACCAAAATATACTGCCGACCAACCTGTCCCTCGAGATTAGCTCGCAAAGCCAACGTCAAGTTCTACGACTCAGCAGATGAGGCAGAAGCAGCGGGATATCGCGCCTGCAAGAGATGTCGACCAGAGTTGAAAGAGATTAATGGCGATCCTCAGAAGGTCTTTGTTGATCGCGCCTGTGAATTGATTCGAAATGAAGGGGATGGGGAGAAGTGGGGTGTTAAGGGAATGGCGAAAGACGTCCGGTTGACGGAGAGTCATTTTTGTTGGGTTTTCAAGAAGGTTGTGGGTCTGACGGTTGGAGAGTATCGAAGCAGTCTTGGAAGAGGGATAGAGAATCAGGTGGATGAGTCCGCAGATGGTGGTGGTCAGTTGAGTAATATTGACTTGGGAAGCTTCCAGAGTTTAGATTTCTTGTGGGAATTAGGCGATGGGGGAGAAGGGCCTGCCGCGTCAAGCATCGATCATGGTGGACTGTTCGAGTTCTTTGAGCCCCGGTTCCTGGAATATGGTAGCGATATTTTGGAGGTCCTGACTTGGAGCATACGGTGGATGAAGGCTTATGCACTGACTACTTCTAACTTGTAAGTACTAGTACAAGGGTTTTTAGAAAGACATAAATTTCCAAAATCATGTATCTCAGTGGTTCGATACTTTATCAATAACTTCCACACCCTTCTTAGTCGTTGGGTTTCTCTCTATATTGAGAATCCACTGAGCCAGTCTCTCTAACAATGGAAGATTTAAAACAGGTCAAGACAAGCGTCCAAGTATCAGAGGTGAAGAAAAGGGAACCCCAAGAACATTTGAAGGGCGATATATAGCTATTTCTAACCCCGTGGCAACTTTTCGCCAGGAAAACTGCTCCGACGACTTTGAAACGCGAAAAATTACAATCACAAACACCTACGTTCACCACCACCTCCATTTAAGAGATGTCGTCACCTTCCAAAAACAAGAGGAAGGAAGACACAACTCTTCCCTCAACATCTCCCAACACGTCCAAACCAACAGCAGAGTTTACGCCACTTATAGCTCATGGAAAGATGGACACTTCAGGACCGTCTGGACTAAGTCAACTACTTTCCAGTGAGGAGGCTCATAACCCGGCTGTCAACCCTACTCCACGCACCGATGCTCCTTCAAATACTGACAGAAGCAGCTTGGATTCGGGTCCACCTGAGTCTCTTCTGATTGTGGCTGACCCGCCTGGACCGACTCCACCAAATGCTTTGTGTCGGTTGTCAGTGGTAGAAGGAAAGGTCAAAGAGTTGGAGAGGAGGGTCTCGCACCTTGAGTCTTGCTGCTGCTTGATGATGTAGGATACAAATACATTGGATGGGGGTATTGTTGATTTTGAGACCCGGGTGGAGATTGTCGAGGGCCAGTGCATAGAATCTTTGTTGCTGAAAAACTAGAAGCTTCGCAAAAGACTGCGAGTTTATTGAAGATACCATGGAGTCTGCTCCTTGAAGATATAAATACTAGGCAAGGAGAGAAGTGTCTCTGATTGGCTGAAGTTTAACTGGGTCTTGGGGTTAAGTGCGTCCACCGAGGGGTTGATAGTGAAGCGAGCCTTGTTGTTTTCCTTCACCAGTGGGTGACAGAATTCGTGGGACAGCACAACTTCTAAATTACGTAATCAAGAACACTAAAAATTACTACTATTCAAACTTTTATTACCACTTCGCAGTCTTTATAGGCTTCCCACTCGTTTTAACTAGTAATTTACATCGCCGAGGCATATCCGCTATACGGGCACGAACTTCCTCCATTGTAATCTTACTCCATTCGTCCTGAACCACCTCCTTAAGCTCCGCAATTGTATTCCATACTCTCCGACGTATTCTTTGCTTAAGGATATTCCAAAGAGCCTCTATAGGGTTGAGATCTGGGGACTGGGGAGGGTGGACAAGGTTCGTGATCCAATTAGCCCTTTTGAGTACTGATGCAAGGCTATCTGGGTTCTGTATACCATGAGACTTGTCCCCATCTTCCTGAAGAAGCCAACTACTGTTTATACATTCCTCTGTAATCCTTAGGTGTTGAATTGCGTCAATATAAAAAGGAAGAAGGCGTTCTACGTAATAGAGGCCGGTCATGGAGTTCCCTTTTGGCTTAACCTCTTTATCGTGTGCCTCGCATTCAGCCTCCCACTTTAGTATTAACTCTATATATTCCTCGTCTGTACAGTACTTGGTTTTGCGAGGCTTCCTAGGCTTCCTAGCTTTAATAACTTCATCCTCTTCGTCGTGGTAGAACTGGAGTTTCTCGCATTTGGCATGCCAATTACACCACCCTGCGATGTGTAGCCGTACGCCCCGTTTCTCCCCCCTTTTGTGAGGGTTAGAACCCATAGTGGGGCTCGGGCCTAAAGCCCTCGCTAAGCTAAGCGACCCCGCCTCTGGAACGCCATGGAATAAGATAGAATGCTATGACGCAGAAGATTGGTAATACTATGGAACAGTGTTGAATGCAATGGAAATGCTACATTTAGTATAAGAGTAGAGGAGGAACATGTATTTACAGACCACTTAGTTCTTAATTGAATATTGAACCCACACCTTTGAGTTGTTCGAGGTCTGGCCTCTCACACCTTTCCTGTATATATTCGGGCTTACAACGCTTCCCTTGCTCACGGAGGTAGAAGTCTTGAACGTTAGAGGTAGGATCAATATGTGCCTCGTCTGTCCAGAGAACCCTACGCCAATGGTTCTCAACTGTCTTGTACTGCCACTTCCTCCCGTATTCTATCCGTTTCTGCCGGTTTGTATTCGAGGTTTTCTTCTTTACGTACGCAGCCTTATAGCGACGGGCCTTGTTTGTATGCCTGAGCAAAGCGCGCTGTAGAGTGCGGGCGGAACCCTTGATCTTGTGGTATTTCATTTGAGCTTCGTAGTGCTGGTTTTGGACGGGGTTTTTGGCTGGGTTGACAAGGAGTAAACAACTCTCTTTTGAGATAAGACGACGCCTCCCAAGATTATTTGACCTCTTCCGCGTCCGCCGGTATGCTGCAGACCCTATTTGAGTACGCTCTTTGAGCCATCGTGATGCCGTAGACCTGGTTACTCCCAAATCTGCCCCAATAGCCTTATGTGTTTCTGCGCCGTGCCGGGCGTCCCAGGCCTCGTAAAACCGGGTCTTTTTGGTAGTAGTAGCTTCGCGGTGGTGTATTTGACGATCTGGCGTGTCCTCTCTACTGTGAGTAGGCGTGTTAGTGTCCATTTGAACGGTTTAAAGAGTATTTATTATTAAGGTATGATATCTAAGCATTTTTGGTGTTCTTGATTACGTAATTTAGAAGTTGTGCTGTCCCACGAATTCTGTCACCCACTGGTGCTTCATTAATAATTCTTACTAATATACGCATGGTTCTGGTTTTGTATTTAAGCACTGGGACCAATGCTTGAGGCTCATTCACGCATCTAACGCAGTTCCAATCTTTTCTTATTAATAACCAAGCACTCTAGAATATCTCATATGTTAATAGACAACCACGCCTGAGTCACATTTCCAGCTAAGAACTCCTTGCTCATACTTTTCTCTGACCTCAACTCAGAAGCATAGTCCGACCCTTCTACAGAGTAAGGAGATTTAAAAACGGCCAGCCACCTTCCTGCGAGTGAGCACAAAACTCCTATTTGTGTATTCAACGTCAACACTCTTATTCCTAAGTCGAAACTACATACACAACGAAGTCCATTATCACCATCTTGCGAACCATATGGGAACTTCCACATCTACCTGCAATACTACTAGCAACGAATATTCAAAGGGATTGGCCTCACCTCCTCCCTCCTCTGCACCTTCTCCAGGGCCAAGCTCAGCAGTTACACCCACGAACCCACCTCCTGAACCCGCTCAAGGGACAAAAAATGCAGTGATAAAAATTCCCAAAGCTTCTCAATCAAAGCCCCGAATCCGCAGCGAAATCATCGACGGGCCCCTCAGTACTGAACTCAAAATCGCCATCGAACTCCAAGACTACAAAAAAGGCATCTACAAAAACGCCATCAAAAACGACAAACCTCCCATCACGGCACTCTCCGAAATTCTCGGCTGCCAACGCCTCCTCCCCGAGGAGCGAAAAGCGATGCAGGATTATCACGACGAAGCGATCGCCATCTACCTCGCCTTGGGGGAAGAGGAGAGAGATGTTTCGGAGAATATCTGTCAGGAGACTTGGGATGCGTTGATGGATGTTTTTGTTAGGAATGCGAGGGTGCGTCGGACGGGGATTGCGGAGAGGGTTTTGAGGGTGTATGATGATGATGAGGCGCTTAGGGGGTGGGCTATTGTTTATAGGGATGGGACTTATAGGATTAACGAGATTAAGTCCCGTGGGGAAGATAGGAAGGCGAGGGACTATGCGAAGTGGGTGGCTGCGGTGGAATATTTGGAGGAGAACTTTGAGGAGAAGGGGTTCAAGAAGAGATATGGGGTTAGTGGATTAGGGTAAGAGGGGAGTACAATAGTGTTTTGCGGTTAGAGTTTGATTTGTAGAGATGATGTGCTTTGAGGAAGGATAGGCAACGTTAGACTTACTAAGAAGTGCATGCGGATTAAATATACTGCAGAATAATGAGAAACAGAACTCTTGTTTCTTTATGCTACTATCTTTCCAATACGTTGTTCTTGCAGAGTGATTAAAAAATCAAATTATTTGTTGATTTTACGATACTTGGTCTATTCTCTCATATGGCTTCTAATGGGAGATATTCATGATGCATGACATTCAAAGTATAGATGGCTTTGATAGTTCGCATAGTGACACAAACTTCAATCACTCAGGAAAGGATAAAAGGAATTATGAGAGGCCTTTTGTGATACGACAACTCTGCCAGTCTGGTGGCTGACATCAAAAGTAGCCATGAATAGCCTTTGAAATGCTGTGAGTATCTCCCACTGATCTAAATCTTCTCTCATAACAAAGATATCATCTCATCTACCATGAAATTCGTTGCCATGAAAGAAGTATTGTGTTTACTTGAACTAATCTAAAAATGGACAACTGTTGGCGGTTAGTTAGCTCTTTTATCGCTTATCAAAAGTCATTTCACATTCACCAGACAAACATGACCCAAGAGGATCACGCTAGTCAATGAAAATTCAAGGCCAACCAACAATGGATTTTCTAGGCCTCAGCTTTGTTATCTATATAATCCCCCATGTGGCCAAAGTTCAACTACCTTCAAAAACTACTCTTAACTCTGCCATCAGCCACAACATCCACGATCCTATCTCTCAGTTTTCTTGCACAACAGTGCTTCCCTCGCATTGAGCAAGATTAGAGCAAGCACCTTCAAACTTCAAACTCGGGTGATATCACAATACCCAGCATCCCCAAAATGCGCGAACGCGACCACCGCAACCACCGCCGCCAAAACAACGGGCCCGGCCCCCCAAACAAAACCTACCCCCCAGGCACAATCCAATACCGTCTCCAACACGCCGTCGACGAAAGCGCCGCCATCCGTCTCAACCCGTCAACCTACCAATTTGAAACCCCCGATTCCAGTCTGCGGCTGGAACTCTTTACCGAGCTGCACACCCACGGCTTCAAGAACGGAGTCTTCGCACAGATAACCATCGATACATCCCCAGAAGACACCTTACAGTTACTATTGGACTCACCTGCTCTTACGGAAGGGGAAAAGAGTAAGGTCTTGCGGTTCAAAGAGGAGTATGAGGATGGGATGGGGGAGGGGAATATCTGCGAGTATATCTTGTCTCTTGATCGCTTCCTCAAGATGCTTAGACGGGATGCGTTTTTGAGGAATGTTATTTCTGAGATCCCCGCTACGGAGATTACGGTTCGACGCGAGGAGAAACTGCCAACGATTTTGAGGATCGATGAGTTTGGCGAGGTGACGTTTGTGGGGATTGGTGATGTGAGTATTCCGAAGGCGTTCGAGGGGTATATGAGACAATGGAGAGTGACTCATGATGTCCCGCCTTGTGAGCCGAGGGGTGAGATGGAGGGTAGTATGGAGCCTCCTCAGACTCCTCAGACGGGGAAGTCGATTGAGGCGTTGCAGAGGATGGGGATTCGTGTTGGGGGGTTTGGTAATGAGACGGCGACTCCGGAAGGGATGAATGGGAATGGGGAGGCGCATATTGATGTTGGAGGACCGGTGGATGGCGATGGAGGGGCAGGATCTGGTAATGGGGAGATGCAGACTGGAAATGGAAATATCCAGACCGTGGATTTGACAACTGAGAAAGATGCCGAAGATGGAGATGAGGCTTTACGCCTCGATCAACTGGATCAGCTCGATAAAGAAGACGAAGCTTACGTAGACAGAGAATCAGATAGTGATTATGAAGATTAAGGGAAGAGAAGAGGTTAGGATCATGTAGGATCTTAAACAATTCTATGCGAGCGAGAATTTGCCATTGTAATTTCCCGATGGAAGCTTTTCAAGGATTTTGAGGTACCGTGAGTTTTGGAAGTAGTGAAATCATAATGTCAAATACGGCTCTGGCTGCATATGTGTAGTACCTTGGTTGGGTAAATGCTGTTTGATGGATGTTCAAACTGCATTCGCTTAGCGAGCCAATCAGGTGCGTCATACAGTTCGGTTCTTCGCTAAAAGACATTTCGTACCGCTGCAAGCACACCAGGACCCAACGTAAATGTCCAAATGAAATTGTAAACAAGTAAAGCCAGCAAATTTTATCCGTGATTCCAAGGATTTGGTCATGGGGGGAGGGGGGACAACTGAAGAAGAGTACGGAGGCTCTAGGTCTCGCTGACAGAAAATCGATGAGAGCCTTCCGCATCTAGCTGCCATACCTACCATACAAGTTCCAAGGAACTCAAAGATAGTATATACATATATTAACTGACTTTCTAAGTAAACTACAGATATCGCTGCGAAGGCCATAAAGTGATGTTAACGGCCTATGAGCCGGATGTCTAAGCACAGCCGACTTTGGCTAATCGGTGGTACTGCATAATAATCTTTCAAAACATACGAGGAAACCCTAGAAGAGTAGGGGTTGAATCAAATACAATCGATAGATTCCCCGGTAGTATTTACGTTCTACTATGCCCCCGAAATTACTACCCATTTGAGTGGGCATATACGTATTTAAGACCTTGAAGTATGTGATAGTTACTTATAGCCTGATGAAAAAAGGTAGGTAGACATGTTTTCTCAGAACCATTCTAGTGGCGATGAAAATAATAAGGCCCATACCTGAATCAATGCTTCAAAGAATTCATCGCATTTCTTGGCAACTTTATAGACCAAAACCTCCGGTCCAACACATACGTCCTAACGCCAGACTCCTTCTCTTCATGGGTATAATACCTAGGTAGTCAACAAACCAAATATTCCCCTCTTTCTCTCTCCTAGAACATGCCATTCCTTTTGATGACCTTCAAATACACACTCACCCTCATCCCCCTCATTTCCTCGCCTTCCCCCTCCCAGCCTTCGCCCCCCTCGCACCATTCTCCTTCCCCTTCTCCTTCGCAGCGACATTCTTTGCCTGTTCCGTCTCAATAAAATCCTTTATCATATCATGCAGCGCATCATTCCGCCGAGTAACAAGGAGAACATCGTCAGTCTGCACCGTCGTCCGACCCGCGTGCTGAGCAAAAGATTCTAGGTCCTGCGCGACGTTTTCTGCCATTGTGTTAGAGGTATTATGATATGGGTGGAAACTGAGAGAATACTGATTTGTTCCCAGACCATTTCTGTTAAGGCGCCGATGAATTGGGGTGTTGCGCTCGTGTTTAGACGTAGGCTTTCTTCTTCGACGATTTTCCCGACGGCGAACCAGAGGGAGGCTTTGAGGCGCTGGGGAGGTTAGATTGGTTTGGACATATGGGGTTTGTACTTGCCTCGGATGCTTCTTCGTCCATGGGGTCCGCCATTGCGATGTTATGGAGTTGGGTTGTATCAGAGCATAGTTGTAGTAGTTACAAGTCTTAAGTCGCGCGGCGCTATATTGAATGGGAGGAAGACGCGTCAGCCGAGGTTTACCCGGATAGTGGAGTTGGCGGAGGCTTATCTAGAGCCAGAATATTTATTTTGGTGCAGGTGCAGGTGCTTGACTTGACTATTTTTAAATCACTCATCACAACTACAAGTCTCCCAACAAATCCGAAATCTCTTCTTCCTTTCTCAGTCACAGTCAATTCATTTCGTGTACCAATAGTTCGATTCAAGACATTCCATACTAATTAATTACGACTGCCACCACCCGCAAAGATGGCTATAGACATGGACACCATCGTGGACTTCTTCGCTCACTACTGGGGCAACTTAACTCGCAACATAATAAAAACTGTCGACGGCATGACATACATCAAATATATCCGTCTCATCGCCATCGTGGGCGCATATGCGCTCCTCCGACCCTACATCATCAAGCTCGGCGCAAAGATGCAGACGAAAGAACACGAGAAGGAGATTGACGTGGAAGAGATCCTGGGCCCCAAGGCGAAGATATCACCCAATGTGCTGCGCGGGTATGGAGGAAAGGAAGTCGAGATTGCGGAGAGTGAGAGCGAGGCGGAGGGAGAGACGACGGGCTCTAATTGGGGGAAGAAGGCGAGGAAGAGACAGCGTGCGCATGATAAGAAGCTTTTGGCCGAAGTCGAGGAGAGGAGGAGACAGTTACAGGAGGATGATGAGGATAAGGATATTGAGGAGTATCTGATTGATGGTGTGGATATTCGAGACCATTTGGTGGATTATGAGGAGGGAGTCGATGGATGGTAAAGTGGATATGCTACTTAGGGGAAAAGGGGAAATGCTGAATTTTGGGATTCTCGGACTCAGCGAACTTGTGCATCTATTCCGAAACTACTTTACACCCTTTCCCCATGATATGCATCGATTTTTAACATGCGCGGATTCCGTCTAACATTTGCTATGCCTCTCGTTTGGGTTCTCATGCAAACGTCAGCCATTGATTCGACCATCCCAGCAGCCCTAGAAAGAGGCAGAAAGAGGCAGTGTCGATCCCATATGTGGTTCAGGGACAAGTAGGTGCTAATTCGTTGAATTCTCCGGTGTAGAGATTAGTGAATATATACCGAATCTCCTCATTCGCCATTACGGGGATTTGAATGCAATGCGAAGACAATCTTATGCAAGCCTGCGCCTCCATACTCGGTGATACCCATACGAACAGTTTTATTTTGATACAGTGTGAGTTCCACCGCTCTTTTGAGGATCTTTGAACTGCTCCATACAAATATCCAAGTTGGTGTGGATCGGATGGTACAATACTGCTGTCGTGATTGCAGTAATGGTTGCGCAGCTCCGTAGAGGCACAGTGACGCACGCAGGTGATATCGACCTCGAACTTTCGATGTGAGGGGCAATTGCCGCCCCCGCCGCCAACCCAACAAGTGAAGGCTTCCATTCGACAACTGCAAAAGTCTACCAATACAAGGGAAAGAAGGATCAACAAGTTTGTCTACCTCTTTGTGATGCTCACAATGTGAAAGAAGCTGAAGATATATTTCTGGTCGAGTACTTTTAACTTTGTCGTTAAGCCCTGTTCGTTTTGCATAGCACAGCACGACCCAACCTCAAACAAGTCATGGATGCATCACAGCGACCAGATATCAATGAGTTGCTCACTCAAGGGTTCTTTACAACTTCAAGAGCAAAAAGTCCGAGTAAATCGAGGTACGACGGCCTTGTACTTAGCCTGTCTTGACGTGTCCGCTAACAAGTCTTTAGCTTCGAACCACCCTCGAGACCGGGCCCGTCCCCATCATACTTGTATGCGAAACATGAACCGACGTATGAGCGAAGTGGTAGCCGGGGTCGCAGAAGGCAACCTCCTCGGCCATTTGTGGAGGATGAAGTGGTCTCGTTAGCTAGGGAAACATTGGCGTCCTCGACACCACCGTCATACGACCCCCCACTTCGAGGGATCATTGATCAAATCCCCATCATACTCGAGGCAGATGTAACAAAGACCGAGGCTGCAAGGCTCCAGACGGATTCTGTATGTAAGGAAATAGATAAGGAAGAAAATACAGAACGGCGGTTTGTCGTTGTACCTAAATCCAACACACAGTCTTCCGGTTCGTCCGAGGATGATAGAAGGCACAGGAAAGAATCGAGGAGGAAGGATACTAGTAGAGCCGCAAATACCGATGATCGAAAGCGACGAGATGAGAGGAAGAAATCTAGGTCCCCGCCGCCTCTGGAGAGACGAAGGAGTAGACAAGATCTGCCTTCTCTTCAGACAAAGCTCCCCAGAAGTATTCCTCCACCATACAGAAGAAGTGCTTCCTCATTTGCAAAATCCCCCAATGACAATGAAGTCACGCCGAAAGCGACAGCTGCTCCTACAAAGGCTTCCGGCGGGGAATACTTTCTATCTCCAGATATGCTGAGAAGGAGAGATTGTGAGAGTAGGAAGGATTGTGTAAGCTCATCTGCATCTGTACCTCGATATGCGACTTCAGAGGGCTATGGTAGTAGAAATGGTTCCACATCTGGCTATCGATCGCCTTCTTATTCAGGAACTCCTATTACTGACCCACGAGATTCTCGCCCTCCGGATTCTCCTCGCTCACGAAGGAATACAAATGAGGGAAAACCAAGGCCCAGGAACTTACCGAAGGAATATGCGTCGGGAAAGATGGAAAGGCGTAATTCGAATTACTCGAATTATTCAAAACGATCCACCGAAGACTCAACAAAGTCGAATCGACCTAATGTTTATTACACAAGCAGTGACGACGAGCTGGCAGATAGTGATTCTGATGAAGAGATGAAGCGAAGACAGGTGGAAAGCCAAAGGAAAAGAATGCCGATGGAACGTCATAACTCTTCAAAATCAAACAGGTCTTCGTATGATGGAAAAGGTTCTTCTACAATCAAATCACCGAAGGTATCTCCAAAACAGGTACCGATAGCGGATGATCTAGAAAGGACTCAAACTTTCCCACGATCATTCAGCAAAAGACCAAGCTCAAGACCTGTATCTCCACACTCAGCAATCCAGTTAACACCAACAGGCGACAAATTGAATTCTTTTGATACATTCCCAACTCGATCAGCCTCAGTGAAGGCGTCCTCAAATACGCCGAAGCAGCAATTTACCCCTTACCCGACTACTTCAACAATGCCAATTCCCATTCCCGTGAAAGTCAATCTCCAGTCTTCAGGCGAAACTCAAAAGTCACCCTCAACCACTTATCAAGAAGACAAATTTAACCCAAAGCCGTCATGGCAGCCAGGATCTTTCCAGCCACCTCAGAATCTGGAAAAGCCTGTTGGGTCTTATCGCCGATTTTCGGAAGATGTCGAAAAAGGTAGCATAGCTCCTCTACCTGCTTGCCCGCGAATGTCACACACCCGCGGCTGCAACGATTGGCTGACTCTACCGAATTGTCCCTCTTTCAACATTTGTCCGTCATGTTATCAAGCTATAATTGCTCGTACTGAATTTGCTCGCCATTTCGTGGCAGCTGCTCCGAGACCACCGGATGCTTCCGTTCAATGTGACTTTGGCAGCTCTCCATGGTATCGTATTGCGTGGCTCCTAACTCTGAAGGAAAAGAGGAGAGATCTTCAGCTGTTCTATGGGCTAGCAGATGTTGCTGCGAGCGAGCCACCATGTCTCGGGAAGCAGGAAGGCATCAGAAAATGGCACTCAATAATCGATCACAAGACCGGAGCTCCAGTCTATAACTTTGATGTATGTTATAACTGCGTCCGGAGCATTGAGACGTTGCTCCCAGTCATGAAAGGAGCCTTAATTCGAAATGACAAAAATGGAGGGTCCCTTCGAATATGCGATCTCAGCGTTGACAGCAAGCGTTTTGTGAAATACTTTGACGCCCTGGAAGTCACAGCCGACCGAGCAAATCGCTACGATGAAGAACCCGATCTCCGAGACCTCGCGAGTCTCGCAAGACGCTTTGGAAGGTTCTCCGAGTGTGAGAAAGACAAAGACCGAATCGACAAGAAATGGTACATGATCACCCAACTCCCCGAGTTCACCGTTTGCGAGGAATGTTACGAGGAAGTCGTCTGGCCGGAAGTCGATGAGAGGAAGGCTATCCCGTTGATGTTCCAGAAGAATATGGTGAGATTGCCCGTTGGGTCTTGTCAGCTCTACTCGCCCAAGATGAGGGGTATCCATCGCATTGCGGTGACTGCGGATGACTATAAGTTATTGGCTAGTAAGGTGAGGGAGCGGAAGATGGTGGAGAAGGCGTATAAGGCCAATGTTGCGGAGGTTAGGAGGCAGGCGGTGTTGAATCCTGCGGCTGCGGGTCAGGAGTTGAGGAGGTTGGAGGAGGAGTGGAGGAGGTGGGAGTGAGGGTTTTTTGCTTTGCGGCTTTGTAAAATGGAATGCGTTGGGATATAGGGGTGGGGGTGTTTGTAGGTTTTGGATATGTAGTTGATGATGGGATTATGGGATGAAAATGAATGCAATGATATCATATAATGTGTTTAGGTATGCTTTCTTAGGATTTGGGAATTAGGCTAGTCACGTAGGCACTCTGGTAGGCAGGTAGTCAATATATGAAGGCGAGCAACAATTCTTTCATTCTTTCTGATTCTGTACTCCACCTCCATTCCTCCAGTGATGGTAACAACAAGTAACTGAGAAAGACCAAGCAAAACAGACCACAACCGAAAATAACTGAGAACAAGGGAACAGGAGAAAGCGACAAGAGAGGAGGACCAGGTAAAACGAGAAGCGACAGTCGACAGGAACGCGATGGTTGAGAGGAGGAAACTAGGCGCCAGCGCCCAGCAGAACAGTTGATCTAAAGTCTTGTTAGTTGTTGTTGCGGGACAAAAGGGGAGTGGTATCAGGGAATGAACTTACGGCGAGAGGGACCCAACAGACAGATAATCGTGCCATCATATCTGCCAGCAGAGAGAGGCGAACGAGAGAAAAGACCTGATACATACACATTAGCGATCAGTTCCCAAAAGAAAAGGTGTGAAGGACAAAACATACAAAGCCCTCAACGTCCCAAACAACAATCCAACGAGTGGTTAATCAACCACACCGTCAGCCGGCGTCTATTAGAAACCGCCACACTTCCCCCAGGAACCACCTCAAACTCCCCCAGCTCCTCATTCCACACAAACTCCGCAGAGTAATCCGGCGTGCCCGTCAACAAATCCACCAACGGCGCACCCCGTGCTCGTGCATCCTCATTGAGGATCATTCCCAGCGCTGCGCGCGCAGCCAGCTGCGTCGTTCCAGGTGTCCCCTGGATCCCCACCGCCATCACCATCTCGCCCAGCATGCGCTTGTCCGCCGCTGTGAGAAGCGGGGACGACGAGAGGTGGAGCGTACTGAGGAGACCCTCTAGCGAGGTGGTGGGGGGGGTGGTGGCGAAGGCTCCGCTGCGGAAGAGGCCTGTTGTGAGGGCCGCAAGGAGTTTGGTGTGGAGGAGGACGTTGGCGTCTTCCTCGATGGAGGAGTGGAAGGGAGGGAGGATACAGGCATTCACAAGGTTAAGGAAGTTAGGGATGTTAGCGATGGTAGAGGTGTTGCGTGGCATTTCTGGAGGGTGGTTAGTTAGATGTTAAAGCGCAAGGGGAAGGGTAGGGTACTGATTGATCGGTTGAATGTTGCCAAAGAGGAAAGAAGAAGAGGGGAGATCGGTGGATGAGAGGTGGATTATATGGATCGGTGGGGGCGGCTGTTCGGCTATTTTTCTTAATTGGGGTGGTTTGTGCATTTCGGTTGTTATTGTCTACTAGACTAATTATTTACTACACCTATTGTCTACGCGACCTATTGTTTACGCTACCGCTTGTCTACGCTACTATTTGTCTATAGTACCGATTATCTGCGGTACCAATTGTCTAAGGTAATAGTTATTTATAATACCTAGAATTAAAAAGAGTTTATAGAAAAGAAATAGAAAAGAAAACCCCCCTTTTCTTCACAATTTTCTTTTTCTTTTCTATAAATTACACTTATTTACTTGATTTCCTTCTTTTCTAAAAGAATATAATAGATTCTTAGCCTATTTTTTAATAGTTTAATTGTTATTTATTTATGAAAAAGGTTCTATTTTTATGAGATTATATTCTTTATTTACTTTCTTTATTTCGTTTAGAAAATAAAGTAAGAAATGAAACTATATAGTAATAATATATTTCAATAGTTATTTAATATTCTTTTAAGTTATAATTTAGATATTCATTATCTATTAGACTAGAATAATAGTATTATATTTATAGAGTTAAAAAGGAAATATGGGAAATATATGTAAACGTGTGGAGTAAACCACTACTTGCTATGATAAGATACCGAGTCAAGTGTAAACTGCTATATTGAGCGAATAACAAAGTAAGGGAAGAAGAGAGTTCCAGAGGAACGGAAGCTTATATACAAGATTTGAGCAACACGCACGTGCCGTGCTACACGTGATCTACCCCTTGTCCCTCCAACTCCGTAACAATATACAGATTCTTTTAAATAAAATTCTTAAAACCTTTAAACCAATAAAAAAATAAGATTTATTAAACGAAAATAACTTATTTAAATACCCGAAATTAATAAGCTTATATATATTTATTATATTATATACTACTAGCTAGGTTAGTAATCTTTCTATTATTAAAGGATATTAGTATATTAAACTTAAGTAGTTAAAGTTAAATAGTATTTACTTAACTTAAGTAGTATAGAATAAAATAGCCTAAGTTATTATGGTTCGCCTAGGGTTAGTATTTTACTTAGACCTTAGCTAAGTATATTTACTATAACGTGGTTTATCAGCGAGTCGATCATATCACCGAGTCAATCACTTTTTCTTGGCACAGAACTTTACACCTAAATAAATCAACCACAATATATTAAATTGATTATCGCTCTCTATATCTGACGAACTAGATATATCTATAACTTCTTGACAAGTTCGCGCGTTATGACCAGCTTTTCCACAAGTTCTACAGCGCCGCCTAGAAGGTTGCCCCTCCTTATAACCAACCCCCGCCTCACGCATGTCGCGTCGTACTTGCTCATCTACATCCTCCTGAGCTAACATATCCTGTACATCCTCTACTATAAGTGCCCCTCCTTGGCGGACACGAGTCTTTTTAGCCCTACGGCGTTTACTTAGGGCTTCATTTGCAGCGCGAAGGGTACGGACCTCAGCAGACAAAAGGGTCATCTCATGTGCCATTCGCTCTGTACCCTTTGCTAACGCAGCAACTGTTTGAAAAAGTGGAGTTGGCGAGCTTCCTTGATGACAGGCTATACGATTTCGTACAAGAGTTGATTGTGAAAGGGCTTCAGTTGGGTTGGAAGGGGTCTGGGACACCTAGGGGAGGGAGTTGGCACTACACGTCCGAGGGGGAGTTGGAGTCCGTAACCTTACGTCAAGCTTTGAAAGCACTGCTTGCGGGTTAAATGGTACTAGGCCAGCTCCGCGGAATCCAGACTGACAGTTTAGGACTGTCATTGTTTCCTTGTATGCTGCTGTAAAGGCTAGAAAGAACTCAACCTTTGTAATATGGTTGATATGGGCCTTGATAAACGTCTCAATCTGCCGACCATACGTTCGTTTTAACACACTATAGCACCCAACATCAAGTGGCTGGGTTAGATGGGATGAATGAGGAGGTAGTCCAAGAGAAATAATGTTGTGTTTCGTACAGTAGTCTTGGAACTCAGCCGATTCATGACTCTCGTGCCCATCCAAAACTAGTATTTGATACAGACCCTTTGCACGAGCTGTAGTGTGTTTATCAAAGTGCTTTAACCATTCCAGGCCTGTTTCATTATTTGTCCAACCATTGCTTGTCGGTTTCATAACCCAGTTAGGTGGGAGGCCGCCGTCGGTATACCAGTTGGAGAGATGGTTCTTGCCCTGAACTACCAAGAATGGAGGAATACTCCAGCCCTCCCCATTAATACAGGCAATTGCTGTAGCCCATTCCCGATTGCCTGGCTGAACTGCCTTGCCTCTACCACGTCGGTCTGCACGAGTAGCACGAGTAACAACCATTCTAGGACAAATAACACCCATCATAAAGCCTGTCTCGTCGAAGTTGTAGAAGTCGGAGTCTGTAACCCCATATTTCGCCCTCATATTCTCTACTAGCCGGAACCATGCGCCTAGCACGTCAGGATCTTCGCATAAGGCCCTCTGGAAGTCGTAAACGCGATTAAAACGCGTCTTAAGGTCTGGTTGTCGTTGTACGAATCGATGGGCCCAGAGCTTGCCGACGCGTCTTCCCCCCCGCGATTCAAGGATAAAATTAGCCATATCTTCTACACCAGCGAGCCGGGGCGCAAATCCTCTGGAATCCATATCCAGTATATACCGAATAATCACTTCCTCTTCTAACTCAGTCAACTTATGACAATTGGCTTGAGAATCTGGGCGGTAGGTTCGGCCAGCCATTCTGTCGGAAAGAGTCGTATATGGTACATTGTAGATCTTTGCCGCAGAGCGTTTGCTTAGTTTTTTGGACGACCGAATAGCCTCGATAGCTAGAGTAATTCGCGCTTCTTGAGTTTGAATTTCCATGGTAAATAGTTGAAGAAAACGTGTGTTGAAGTTTGAGGAGGTAGTGCCAAGGAAAAGTGATCGACTCGGTGATATGATCGACTCGCTGATAAACCACGTTAGTACTAATATAATTTAAAAGAATTTAAACTAGTAGAAAAGAGTACTCTTTATAGTTAAGTAGAACTTTATATCAATCATTATTATTTTATTGCTAGAGATCATATAAATAGAATAGCTAGTATATTATAATATAGTCTTAGCTAGCCGATACTCCTATCTCTACTACCTAACCTATCTCGGTTACCTAGGTAGACGCCTAGTATTCTAGTAGCTTCTACTCGGTTAGGGTTATCTTATAAAAACTCCCTACTCCCTTAGTTAGCTTCTAACATTATACTTATACTATTCCACACTATGTCCTATTCGTCTTCTAACATAGTAAGTTAACAACATATATACGCAAAGAGAAATTAAAAAAGCATAAGAATAAACTAAGTATAAAGAAAGAAGCTACCTAGATATAGAATATTCCTAATTTGCAAGCGATCTAGTTAGATGAAAGTATTCGAAATATAATTTTACCTTTAATAAAATATACAATACTAGACACGTACTTCTACCTCTCCTGGTTCTTACGAAAAAGTGCTGGTTCTACTTCGAATACTTCAAAGTTCTAGCCACATAGGCTACATGTATATCAGCGCTTTTTATTTGTAGTTAGCTAGCTATTATTCTACTCGAAGCTTATTCCAATAGTACTTTCTTTGATCTTCAGTCTTTTGGGGGCAGATTCTCCAGATCTGACTCCATTACTCGTTCTCTTCTCTGCAGTCGTGGAACCATCAGTCTTATAGATGAACCGGTTAAAGGGGATACCCGGGTCCGACAAGCGATGAGGCATTCCGAAGCCTCACGCTTCGGAGCGTCTGAATTTGAGGTTATTAAGAGTCTCATCGTTATCAGCTTCGTCCATAGGTTAATAATTGTAGTTGTTGATGTCGTCGAATTCGTCGGTACCGCCAATATTGTCATCATCGGATTCATTATTCTTTTTGTCGCCAGAGGTTCCCTCTCCAACATTGCTATTGTCATTATCGTTGCTCTGATCAATCAGCTTCATGGCCCTTGGATGAGACGGTGCCGCTGGCTTGATGATCTATACTGAGTGCGATTATCTCTGTCATGAATGGTTCGAGTCTCTTGAAGGAGAGTCGTAATTTGCCTCACGCCATGCGAGGAAGAAACTCCTCTGACAGGCGGGCGTAACTCCCTTCAAAGTCCTTAATACCCGAAAAGACATCATCGACGTAGAATACAAGCGTCTGGGAGTGTATCCTCGTAGTTTAATCCTAGCCATATGATAGTACAACACATGGAAGCCGAGAGTTTCCGCGCCGTACCGAGCGCTATGCTTATTTTGGTTAGCCGTATAACTGTGAGATAAATTTGTATATATCAGGGGCTCGTGATGAATTTATCGGGGAATATTCGCATTCGGAAGGGCAATGATGAATATTGAAAAAGCGGCGCTTTGTGCTCTAAGAATATGGCTAAGTAACAAAAGACGGGCCCGATAAGCGAAGTAATTACTTCCTAATAATATATCTGGGAATACCTTTCCTAAGTCGTTCATTGGCCGTTTTTATCTTATCATCTAGGATAAGAGACATGGTATTAGAATCGGTAATAGGCTGAACTAACTGGATGCTTTGAATTCGGTTAAAAGCTTTCTATGACTTATATTGACCTACAGAAGAATTATCGATGAAACACAAAGTAAGCAGATCAAACGTACTCGCTTACTATTCGACACGTTTTTTGCTACCTTGAGAAGTTACTCCCTTCTCTAGTAAACATCCTATGGATGAAAAAAGAAAAGAAAAGGCAAAAAGAAACAGCTAGTATATGTGTGAGTGGACGCGACGGAACGCCGTTCCCCAAAATGTTTTCGTGATACCGCTGGGTTCCTTAAAACCAACTATAAAGACAGTTGTTAAGGTCATCTAGGTATCGATACCACTTATGAATTAGGGTGTACTTAATTAGAAGAGCGTATATGGTTTTAGGAATAGTAGGGGCTATAAGAAAGTTCTATCATAAGATTAAGTATAGACTTACTATAATCTTAGAATTAGCGAAGGGGTAGAAAGAGAGAAGCGAGTATCTAATATCGGCTATGGTTATACGAATACTATCTAAAGTGTTTTCACTACTATAGTAGACTTACTAGCATGAATCTTTTTAAAAAAGTGGAGTGATTTCCTATTTTAGCGTTAGTAGAATATTACTTCGATATCGGTTCTAATACCCTTAGAATTCGGTGATATATACACGCCTTCACACCTCACTTAAAGGTAAACCCGTTGCCTTATGGAATTATGGTGGTTAGTAGACAAGAGGCTATAATACATATCCCTAGCTTAATCGCTATAACTCCCAAGAGTAGCACTGCCGAAACTACTCGAAATTAAAACATATTACGAAATGCCACTAATCTAATAGTTTAGTCCTAAGATAAGTGGTGATCCAATCCTCACAAAAAATACTAAGAATGGTATTACTAAATCCCAATGAACGCAATTTTCAGCTTGAAGTAACTATCAAGAATAACACGTCTAGAGTATTCCATTGATATCGTCGTCTTCTCAAGATCTTTGGGTGTTTATTGTAGTCCGATACTAGCTAATGAGCTAATCTTGTATGCGTTTCTCCTTTCTTTTCCGTAAAGCGTGGTCTCTTATTTCATGAATCATTATCATTCCAATTGTGGCAATGTAGATATAATCCCAAATGTATGTTTAGGGTTATGCACCAACTACTTGAGAGCTAGTATAACATACATGAATTTCCTATTGAATGTTACTTTTCATGAAGACTAAGTGGTCAATGACATTGCTAGAGTTGCAATTTTCTTTGACATGTAGCGTCATAGTGTTCAGAAGGTGCATATCATTCGGTAGCATATGCTGAATATACAATCGGCAGGTTAGCTTTTTTTTTTGCACCATTAGCGATATGCATGCTCACTTATGTCTCCTAAGAAAGTATTATCTGTAACTGGGGCATCTGTTTCCCACTGAATTTGTTTCTGGCAATGATCTCGTGGTGTGTTGTTAGAGCTATAGTATTTGGGTGAAGGGATTATCCTATCGATTCTCCTGTGTAAATTTTCCTCTATTAAACCTCGTGGATTTTTTTTTTAAAACATAACTCTTTTATCGATCGACGTACTCATCAATCTCATCGCTCATCGATCACATGTAAAACTATGCCAACAGGTCAAGGCTCAAGCACCTGAAGTCGTTACAAACTCTCTCACGTGCATCACCGGATCACTGGGAATAGACAGGGGAAAAAAATTCCCACATCAGCACACGAGTCATGTGTTTGGTGGGGGATGCGGAAAGTGGTGGGATGTCCTCTTTTTTTATTTGTTGTCTTAGGTCGTGTGCAACGCCCATCTATGAAACCGATTTGAAATGGGAATTCGATCAATTATGGAGATAACTCGCTATTACGTCGTAACATGATGTAACAGCGCCTTCGGTGGAGCGGAATTGTAACATTTCGAGGATCGAAAAAGTCGGAAAAATCTTCATCCTTTTGGAGCGTTGTGCCTGGTGTGCCGCAACGGTCGACCCTCGATCTTCCATATGCACAGCCCGCCGTCTTCCGCCGAGTGATGAAGACGGAGTGCGAACTCGGAAAACCATCTCCTTTTAACTGCCATTTCTGTACGATTCGCATGCCGGCACATTTGTGTGTGTTGCATTTACACAATCCTGGTTCTTGAATGTAGGAAAGTGACGACTATTCGTGCTTCTCCTGGTTTTGTATGGCAAAAATCCCATTCAAGGGTGGATTGTTGTCAAGGGTCCACCTATGCAGGTGCTCCCCCAGTTTTTTTTAGAAAATGGAGAAGCGACAAGGAAGTTGGAAAGGGGAGACGGGAGAGCAACACCGTAGGGGTTCTGGGGAAAATGATAGAGTTCGTCATTCAATATTCGTGAAGCAGAAACGACGAAACTGTCGAGTGAACATGTGTTGCCATTCGATGCCATTCAAAATCATGCCTAAAAAGGAAACCATGTACATCGAGATGCTTTCAGTACTTCTCAAACGCTGAGTGGGGTATATGTATGTACTCGCAGCCGTGCGTACATAACGAGAAGAGGAGCTCCCCAGTTATTGATGTAACACAGATCTCTCTGAAGATTATAGACAGTAGTAATTTACGTACTACTCGAGAATATGCTTTAATTCTATTGTTTTCCGTTTGTCATGGTAAGGTTAGTACATACATGGGTTCCGGAATGTCCGTTCGGCAATGATGAGCTCATTATTATATAAAGAGAAGCAGAGTTACAGGTGAATTTAGCTCTCACCTCTCTAAGAGACAAACTTCGAAGGGAAGGCCTGGTAGTGGCCTGCGATACGCTGCAATGAATAACAATGCCTTGATTCGTCATGGAAGGAAAATTGGCTGGAATGTTGACTAGATCCCACCTGCTAGATGTTTCCTGCTGATCCACTTCCCACGCATCCACCTTTTGATTCGCAAAATAGACTAGCTTCATTCCCTGTCAGCTGGGCAGGGCAGGGCAGGGCATGGATGACCTGGACCCAGGACCCACTTCTCCATACTTTCTGCTAGCTCCTGCCCTCCGATACTTAAGTATGTGGATGCCCTTTTGATTATTCCCAAGGCTTCGGGAGTTTTTTTTCGTCCGCTGGTTTCCCTAAAATCATATGCTGAAACCTCAGACTTAGTCCTTTCTTAAATAGGGGTCCAATTCCTTGTCAACATGTTTTTGTCTTGATTCCGGTTCTCGCTGAGAACGAGAACCCTTACTACCATAAATCACATGCGACCTATACCATCTTCCTTCCCCCCACGACCAAAATTGCCGCCGCCATGGCAGTGTCCACCATCCCCCACGAAGAAAATGGAAGCGTCAAGCAACATACTCCAGGATCCCAATCGCCCGAATCCGCCGATTCTACTTTGAAGAAGAGGAGTTCTCTTTCAGCGGGATTTGATAAAGATGGCAATCCTAAACCAGTGAAGAGAAGGTCCGCGAAAGCATGTCGTGCTTGTCGATCGAGGAAAGTCCGATGTGATGTGATGCAGCGGTACCATGTGTCTGCTGAGGGCGAGGCAACTTGTACAAATTGTAACATAGATGGAATTCAATGTGTCATTGATGAGAGCAAACGTAGAAAGTGAGCAATCAATTTATAGGGGTTCTAATTGGCAACATGATTGAAGGTTTGGTGCTAACACTCGCCTAGAAAACTGTTGGCAGAAAATGGGCCTGTCCCTGGTGTCGCTCCTCTTCCCTACCAAGCGTGGTCGAACGGATCAATCAACCCGTCTGATATTTCGAATTCAGAGCCAGAAAATGGGAAAAGTGCTGGTTCGAGGAAGGAAAGAGGAGAGACAAAGCATGTACCTCATGCAATATGTAAGAGTTCCCTAGATTTTCATGAACAGCCTAGTCCTTTTTTTCCAGCCTCCTGGATATTTCGACAATCAAATTAGTGTAAAAAGAGTTCAGAGAATGAAGACCACGTCTCATTTTCTAGTTTTTTAACACTGCTCATTCTTGTTAGAGAAGAGCTTGTGTGTTTCAGTTGTAGCAAAAACAAAAAATACCTGAGTAACTAACCGCACCTAGATCGAAATATAAGCTCGCAGTTCCAAAATCAGAGCTTCAGTCAACCACCGAAGGTATCGAATGAAATGAATAACGATATAAATCCCGAAATTTATCGATTGATGCAGTCCGCATCCGTTGTAGGTGATCGAATCGCAACGAGGTTGGAAGAGCCGGCACTGCTTCCACAGCAGTTGATACAAGCACCTTCACATATACACAGCATGCCACAAATCCAAATGTTTAAACATCAATTACCTGGATATTTGAAGCCACTACCAGCGCGTATGACTTCGGTCGATATCGATTATCTATTTGCGAAGGGAGCTTTGTCAATCCCAGATATGAGAATCAGAAATGCTTTATTACAAAGCTATTTCCAATATGTTCATCCATATATGCCGCTGCTTGATATGACGGAAACTTTACAAATCATTGACGATGAAACTGGAGCGAACGGCAAAATAAGTTTGTTACTCTTTCAGGGAATGATGTTTGCAGGGACAGCTTTTGTGGATATGGAATATCTAAGAGACGCGGGATTCTTAAATCGGAAGGCTGCGAGAAAAGCTTTTTTCCAAAGAGCCAGAGTAAGAGACAATTGTTTGTTCGTGGATTGAAGCACGTTCTAATATTTCCAGGTGCTTTACGATTTTGATTACGAAGTAGATCGTATCTCACTTGTTCAATCACTCCTCCTTATGACCTACTGGTACGAAACGCCGGACGATCAAAAAGATACTTGGCACTGGATGGGGGTCGCCATCTCATTAGCTCACACCATCGGATTACATAGAGACCCAGAAACTTCGAACATGGAAGATTCGAGAAAGAGATTATGGAAACGAATGTGGTGGTCATGCTTTATGCGTGATCGCTTGGTGGCATTAGGCATGCGAAGACCAACAAGGGTTAAGGACGAAGATTACGACGTGCCGATGCTGATTGAATCAGATTTTGAGTTCAAGCCACTTCCAACAAGCAATTCAATCATCCCATTGGATTGCACTTTGATCCGCGATCAGGATGCACAACGAGAATTGGCACAAATGTGTATTGCCAAAGCCAAACTCTGTCTGTGTATTAGTCACGTTCTGAGCGCACAATACTCTGTTCTTATCAAGAACCAGGGTATGCAAGGTCAAGAAGGAAGTACTCGTTCCAGTGTCATGCTTTTCCCAAAGAAACTTGACCAAACAGACGAGGTAAAATGTTGCGATGTGGAGCTCAGCAATTGGATTTCTCAACTACCAGAAACCTGTCAATATTCAACGACTCGGCCCTTGACCCATAGCGCCCAAACTTTATTCCTCCAACGATCGCTTCTCCACATGATCTACTACACGACTCTTTCTGCCCTTCATCGCCCACAGGTACTTCCCCCTGCCACGCCAAAGCATCCTCAGCCCGACTCTGCTGCACGGGGTCTTCAAGATCTTTCACGAAAAAGTGTACGTGAAGCTTCAAGAGAGATCACAAAAATATGCCGAAACCTTCACACATTAAATCTCGATAGATTCCTCCCCACGACTGGTGTCACAGTACTCTTACCGGCAATAATCATTCACCTTCTGGACATTAATTCCTGTAATGATGAGGCGAGGCGAGCCGCTATGGACGGATTCTGTCTTTGCATGAGAGTTCTTGAACGGCTAAGAGATAACTATGCCAGTGCAGATTTCGCTACGCAGTTCCTCGAAGCAGCGATGAGAAAAGCCGATGTCGGAACTGGATTCACTTCAGAACTTGAAAAAAGGATGGCACAAGAGAGAGCACGAGAAGTCACGAGGAGAGGTAACCCCCAGTATGCCTCTGCAATGGCTATTCCCAAGGTAACAAACTCAAATGGGATCTCCAATGGGCTGGATGGCACGAATGCTCGAAAAAGCTCGCCTATAAGGAGCCTGTCACAACACGGCGTGGCGCATATTGCCTCACCAATGTCAACAAGTTCGGTTTTGGAAAATCCAGCAATTCATGGATCCATGTCCTCTGATTTCACCACGTCACCTGGAATTGTACAACAGCGGGAAAAAGGACACCATCCATCCCCACCCTTGTCCATGAATGGAAGTCAACAGTTCCTCCCCATTAACATGAATGAACAACCCGGATCAGGATTTGATTTCTCACAGAGCACAAATTTCGGAACCCAACAGGACGTGGATCTCAATGATTTTATCAACTTCGAAAACTCCGGAGACGGGGCAATGGATGGATTTGGAGGTCTTGAAGGGTTAGGCGGGTTAGAAGGCATGGAGGGTTTGGGGGGCTTGGGAAGCTGGGATGGGAATTTACCCGTTGAAACGCATCCAGAACGTTTGGGGCAAGGCCATGTGCATAGTGGATGGATTGGGGACGGATTTTCATCATGGGGTGGAAACGGCGTTCATGAGCAAATGAATGGAAAGAACACGATGGGCCACGAAAACAATGAGGGAAATCTTATGGAAACTGTGGAGGTTGGCGGGACAGGAACCACATTTTATACTACACCTCCGAGTGGAATGGGTGAAGAAGTATGATTGAAGGGTAACACGCATACCATCTCATGAAGTGGGAAAGAATGAATGGCAGAGAAACTGAACTGTATATTTACGCGATCCAAGATTTTGGGTAAAGGGGTCTGGAATGCCTGGAGTAAAATGGCTCTTCTGTTGGCTACACTTGAGTTCGGCGTTTTGGGTCAATGGATTGGAAATTGTAAGATGGGACGCTTTATTTTGGACGTCACAATCTGGGATGTGGAATATCGGAAAAGTGATAAATGATTAGAATTCAATTGATACCCGCAGAGGGGGTTGAAGCTATTTGCGAAGGAAAGAGGCAAGATACAAATAACATTCATCAATTTCGTCAGTTCAATGTACAAATTAATGCCGACTTCCATCCTCGTATCCTGTCCCGCTACTCGGAGTACGGTCGTTGGGGGCTTGTTGGCAGTGTGCTTGCTCGTGCGCATTCCACTCAGTTTGTTCTACGCACTCACATTTCAAGGCTCCCTCATATGCCAAAAACAACGGGAGAACTGAGATAATGAAATAGGAGGGGAACCTCCATTTGTTCTCTCCACGGCTACCCTTGCGAAACAAACCGGGACACACAACTGTCTTACCAACCCAAACTTGGTGTTGGACCCAAGTTTGGTCCATCACCAACTCCTCCCGTAAGATTACAAGAAATTTACCGTCGTTTACCTTTTTTTCTGCAAACTACATCGAGTTCCTCTCACTGACTTACAGTATTGTTCTATTTTGCAATTCAATGGTCTCTGAAATGTCTCTTAACAAAGAAAAAGCTCCGGATCTTGCAGGAAAAGTCATATTTATTACCGGAGGTAAGATAACCTCTACAAATATTTTGCTTGCTACGTAACTTTCACTGATGTTCACCATCACCAGGGACCGCAGGAATAGGGGCAGAAACCCTTCGTCAACTCTCGAAACGTAAGTGCATCTCGTTTTGCCTAGCACGATATGATACACTCTTACGAAATTATCCTTGCTAACACGAAATTGTACAGAAAATCCTGCTCATATCTTCTTCACGGGCCGAGATTCTGAACGTGCCAGCACACTGATCCAAGTGGTCAACCAACTTGCCCCAAAAACTCAGCTGACGTTTCTTGAATGTGACCATGGGTCGCTGAGTACAGTCAAGTCTGCGGCGGAGAGGTTTATCGCTGCATCGACGAGATTGGACATTCTTATTTGCAATGCTGGGATTATGGCGGAGCCTACGTGAGTCTCGGATCTACTGTGTCCAATTCTTGGAATTTCTTCTAATGAGCGAGTATGCTGACTTAGATGCCTATATTAGGGGGTTGACAAAGGATAGGTACGAAGTACAGTTTGGTGTCAACCACATGGCACACGCCTTGTTCATGAAGAAGTTACTGCCAACACTTCAACAAACAGCAGGAGAGCCGGATGCAGATGTCCGCATTCTACTCCTCACCTCGATTTCCTTCCGGTTTCATCCCACAGGCGGTATCTGCTTTGACGAGCTCAAAACCACCCAGGACCTCGGTGTCACCGGCGCCTGGTTGCGGTACGGCCAAAGTAAATTGGCAAATGCTGTCTATGCCCGCGAACTAGATCGTCGTTTCCCTGAAATCCTCTCAATCTCAATTCACCCGGGAATCGTCAAGACGAATTTGGTGGGCAACCTTGGGTTCTTCGATAAGGCGTTTGTTTACCTGGCGAACTTTCGCCAGCTTGTCGATACGGCTCATGGAGCCCATAATACACTGTGGGCTGCTACGTCCGATCGCTCTAAGATTTGGAATGGTCAGATGTATGATCCTGTTGGTAAATTGACAGAGAAGCTTAATGTTGCTGTGCAAGATGATGGACTTGCTACCAGACTTTGGGAGTGGACTGATAAGGAGTTGGAGGGTTATTGATGAGATATGGAAGTGGGTGCCACTGGGTGGTCACTGTTGGAATTCAAGCTTGAGTACATTCATAACTTATGATAGTCTGAATGTATATTTCAAGGGGTATTTGAACGTAGTTGGGGGCTAGGCAAGAAGCTTAAATGCCATGTTTTGTGCATTAAAAAATAAAAATTGAAACATCTGTGTGTACTTTTACCTTTAAAGACTGGCAAGTGTTATTGTCATAATGCTCGCAAGCGCTTCTATAAATATATTTGGAGGGATCTGAGAGTCAGAAATTCTCGTTGGTCTATCCTATAAAACTATAATCACTTAACCCTCAATTCCAGACACTGGCCAAGGTCACAGTATAACAATTATACTTTCCCACTTGAGTACGTGACTGACAATATGATGTGTACTCTAACCAGCCACTCCTCTCCTTTTGAAAACAATCCAAGGACCTTCGCAATAAGACGTTATATTAGCGAAAAGCTGAAATTCATTTTCACGGCTCCTAAGTCCACCTTTATCTGAATGTCCACGCCCAACAGTTGCTAATCGTCCAGAAGCTAGCCGAAAATCGAAACAAAACAATGTCCGTGCGACCAAGAGATTGAGCTCTAGCAGGGCCATCGAGCGACCTGCACATCCCCTTGGACCCAAAGAGAATGGGTTGAATGCCGTATAAGCGAGACTTTTTTGTTTTTCAGTACCTTCAGCGTCAAGCCAGCGACTTGGGTCGAATTTGTACGGAGATGGAAAATAGGTTTCGTTATGGTGCAGAGAATACATTGATCTTGAATGAAGATTAGTTTCACTTCTGTTGAATTTTGGACGCGGTATACATACGCTCCTACATTTAGTCCTGTGGTGATATAGTGATTGTCTACTATAGCTCCACCGTCCTCAACCTCTCGCCATGGTATGCCAGGGACAGGAGGACATATGCGAAGTGTCTCTGTCACGCAAGCTGAAAGGTACGAGCAAGATAATAGCTTCTCTCCTGAGGTTACTTCTGATATATCAGAGAAAGTGCTGCGGATTTCTGAAGCTAACTTGTCGTAAATGCTTTGATTGTTTGCCAGGTAGAAAAACAGGGCACTCATTGTAATTGCCGTTGTTTCAGACCCTTAACACCAGTTAACAGAATCCAGAGCTCGCAGAAATGACAAACCTGCTAAAATCAAGAATGATCCTTCAGCCAGCAACTCTTCGTGGGGAAGAAAGCTTCCATTCGAGGTTTTGAGATCACGAATCAAGCCAAATTGACCTTTAGGTAAACCATCTTGTCGATTCATGACAACTTCGGAAAACCTGTCACTCCATTCTTCAAATTTATCTCGCAAGTCATTTCCAATGCGCAGTATGCGAGCAAATCCTTCCGCATTCAGTCTGGCAAGTTTGGGGTACTGTTCATAGATGCCCATTCGCCAGGAGTAGTTTTTGAGAACTTCAGGTATGAAGTCTAGTGTGCGGTCAGTTTGCAGCGATGTCTTCTGCCCGAACCCAAATTCGCACATTATATCAAATGTGAGACGCATACCTTGTTCAATTAGTCCACTGTGATTCTAAATTCTTGTGAACTTACAGAGGACGCTCATATTTTTCGGAGCTGACCAGCCTTCCGAATCTTCTGCTACTGCTACCTGCTCATGGAACACATCCATATGGTTGAGCATTTCAGGCTCAAAGCTTTTCAAAGCAGTGTCGGATAAAGCTTTCGACATGACTTTGCGTCGTTCAAGGTGGGTCTTCTTATCGATCAATGTCAGAATGCTCCATGCATGCTTGTCTGGCACCATCGAAAGGTAGGACTTTGATTTTCTAACGTTCTTGCCATATCCATAGACATCTAATTCTTCTTAATAGACTGGTCATCATAGGTGTTTTTGGAAGGAGAGATCTTACCATGTAGTCCGCGACTCGTATTGACCATAAGACGGTTCGGGCCGTAGCGAACGAACACTCCTATTCATTGAATTATTTTGCTGTGCCAATAGAGATGTTATCTGGACAAAGGTACTGACCATATTTGCTATGGCATCTTACAATATCTAGATGAATGTCGCCATGCCATCCGCGGTATGCAGAGTAGAGACTTGTAACCTTGGCAAGAAAAGGCCCAGGATATTTTGCAAGTGGATGTAACGTAAGTCTGTACACGATTTTGCAACAGACCTAGATATCTATTTAGATGGAACGAAATGCTGGCTAGTGCAGACTGAGACTTACGTAGCCTAAAAGAATAGCTAGCAAAATTGTCCAAGGTGGCATTTTCATCCGAGTCTTTATTGGATCTAAGCACACAGTGATGAGGGATACGCGGAATAGACAAACGCTCAAACAGAATATTGACTGTGATGCCAATTCGGAGATGAATATAATAGTAGTGTAAGTTGGTTAATTCAGTCGCGTATATATATATTTATCGTATATCTACCAGTACATCGAGGTGAAAGCCTTGGAGCAAGTATAATTTGAGGGATTAGACCGACCTGACTTGCGCACCACAAACAGGCTACATGTAATCAGCACACTGATCCCCCTATTACTCTCGCGCCTTAAACTGGCATTCCTTCCACAGTATCTAATCATTTGGGATACGTCAAATCAGGCAGAACGCTGTAAGCATATCTCGGATTGCGACCGACTGGCTTGACCGCCCCCTTTAAACTTGGAAAGATTAGATCTCGTCGGAGTTCCGAATGGCATATATCGGCATTTCATTATGCTGTGTTACCGGTATTTGTTTGTTGAATCCTTGTTGTCAAGTGTTGATCGCATCCTGAGGCCTGTAATGCGGGGTTTGTATGCGAAGCTTATAGAGTCACGACGATTTTTTCTCTTCTTCTATCCCGCCACCTCCAGGGTTGACTTATCATTCTATGCTCAGCCACTTCGTACTACATATACTGTAAGCTTCTAAAGTGAGTCATGGGTTGCTCAAACTACTAAACCTAAGCACATAGGTGTTGTGGAATTGAACTACACCTAGGTGGACTAGTCTATTCGTTTAGTATGCTAAACAGGGTTAATTTCAAACAAGACCATCTTAAATCCACCTTGGTAGTAGTCACTAAAGTGTGAAATGAGTCTTCCCATCGAAAGATCCAAGCAATCAGGAGAAAAAGGACCTACAATCCATTCTCAAATAGGCAATCATAAAACAAGGAGATCATTTTTCATCACGACGAATATTTGAAACCTCCGCACTGCAAGATATTTATGCCCTGTAACCTGTTTACTTTTCTTACTCATTCATATATATTACCCGATCACCCCATACCAAGGTGCTATATGGTTTCCAGCTATAAATGTAGCAGCAGTACACACAACAAATCTTCCACCATCCTCAACATCCGATAAAATGCAAAGTATCCTACAAGAAAGCACCAGCCATTCCACCCCATGGTACACAGATGATCCTCGACCAACACATCTCACGCCCGATATTTGCGGCTTTTTCGAAGAGTACTCTGGAATTCAAGGCGCAGAAATAGCCGCACTTGTCCTCAAAGTAGTAAGTATCGCAGCAATTGCTTACCACCCCAATCAAAATCCCAGGCCTCGAGGTAGCACATTGCCTACTCACCGCTATACATTTGGTGTCACTGTGCTTCTCATGCAAAGCTAACGCCAGTAATCTTTAGCGAGAGAAGGCCTGGCACATTCGGCCCTACCCATGTATCGGCAGTTTTGCGTTCCTTGATTTCTGTTTGCGGGACTTGCCAAATTACGCCGCCTTGCTACGGCTTCTGAAGACCGGTGGCAGGAAATTTGTAGATCTGGGGTGCTGTTTCGGGCAGAATATGCGTTGGCTGGCGAAGGATGGAGTCTCACCTGATGCTATGATTGGTGTGGATCTTCTCCCCGATTTCTGGGACTTGTCCTTCGATATGTTCAAAGATAGAGACAAAATGGGTTCGAGACTAATTGTCGGCGATGTTCTGCATGACGGACAATGTAAAGAGTTAGGAGAATTGGAGCGGAATGTGGATGTTGTTTTTGCAGGTAATCTCTTTCACTTATTTGGATGGGATGACCAAGTCAAGGTTGCCACTAGAGCTGTTCAATGGTCAAGAGGTCCGGGGAGTATTATCTGCGGGGAGATGATTGGTATGGTTGAAGCAAGGTCAAAACTATCTGGATGGGGTGAATCAGGAACTACTCACTTTTGGCAGGATGAGAAGAGTTGGAGGATCCTATGGGAGAAGGTGGAAGGAATTACCGGTACGGCATGGGATGTTTGGACACACAGTGTGAGGACTAGTGAGTTGGGCGACTGTTACAGTTACATGGGAGATTCCACGACTAAGATGCGATTTGTATGTACTCGAAACTCCTGAGCTCTGAATAGAGCCTCTTTTATGTTAAATTGTATTAGCTGCATTCCTTCCTTCCTTCCCATGACAAGAGTCTGCTTTAGACCTTATTTACCCTCGAATCGTCATCCATAACAGTAATATGTTCACCTTCCTCAGTTTGTAAGAAGTCCTTCGAGCTGAACTTTCGTAAATATCTCCCTCTCCAAGCCAAAACAACAATAAGCAACGCAGCGAAAAGATCAAAAAACGCAACCATACCAAAAGTCCACCCTTCACCAACCTTCTCTTCCCATGGAAACACGAAAAACCCCAACGCGATAGCAAATGCTAAACGGTAACAATTCATGATAATCGCAGCCTCATTTGCCGAATCTAGAAAACACTCTACGACGTAGTTGAGACAGACCGGAACAGACATAGTAGAGGCAAAAATAACGAAGAAAAACCCCAGTGCCATAACCATGTAGTGTAAATGGTATTGTACGCCGGCACCGTAGAGGCCAAAGCCTACCGGGCCTAGTAGAGCCGGTAGGAACATGTTCCAGAGTCGATACTCGGGATGCCAAATATTCCCGTTTCTTCTAGAGACCCACAGGGGAATCCGGTCGCCTAAGAGATATCCAACTACTTGAGCGACAACTACACCCATCCACGCAGTGAAGGAAACTAGGTGAAAAGTTAATTGAGAATATTTACAGGGGAAAAGAGAAACTTACAAAGCGCATTTTGCAAAGGTGAGAACCCGTACCCTCCATGTTCGACAGGCGTTTGAAGCACCATTGTGTTTAAGATATTTATAAGGATCGTAAAACCGAAAGCAAAGAATAGAAACAAACCAGAAAGTATTGTGATAGGTGCTATACCTATAATAAATGGTGAAATAGCAGTTTTCATCTGAAATACAGTCCATCAGCAAGTGACAGATAGTTGAGCATAGAACACTCACCACAGCTCTGATGCTCAGTGATGGTACGATCTTTGAGCCAGGGAAGAAAGTTACGAATCTATTTTTCAAATAGGGAATCGGGACTGCGGGATAAATTGTTGTGTTTTGTCCCCGTGCAAAGCCAGTTTCTTCAAGAATACCGAAGACGAGGAGTGCTGCCAATCCAATCGGAGCAAGAGTCCACCACAAAGTAACGGGCCATTCTTGACTCTCGACAATGAACCCTCCCAGCGTTGGACTGATGATCACCGATCCCAGAAGGCTCACCTCAAGACACATAAACGCACGCCCACGCTGGTGCAAGAAGAAAATATCAATGATATAGCTCGGCGTAAGAGTCGTTGGTAAAGCAGCGAACATGCCAGCCATCCAGCGAGATAGAACAAAAGGTATGTAGTCGTTACTTCCCGTCATACAGGCGCCCCAAATCTGGCACGCAAAGGCAGCCATTAATGACCATAGGATTACTGACGAGCGACCGTAGACTTTAGCAAGAGGGCTTAGAAGGATGGGACCGCCGAACAACCCTGCAACGGCTGCAGTGACCGAGTAAGACAGTGCGATTGTGCTCTTATGGTATGTCGGTGCCTGGAGAACATAGGCAAGTTGGAAGGAGGTAGGACCACATGTTGAAGCAAAGCAAGAAAAACATAATACAAAGAGGGTAGTGTATTTCTTCTTCGCCGACCAGTTCTAGAGTTCTTGTGAGCACAAAGGATGCCTCAGTAAGGAGACAACACTACCTACCAATGGATCTTGGGGGTCGTTGCTAGGCTGAGGAATCAAAATCAACGCTTCACTTCGAGTGAGGGGTGTGGTCTTCTTTGTCTTAGAGTACTCCATGTGCTCGGTCATGTTGAAGAATTGTAGGAAGGTCGATCCGCGAGGTTACTGAGCCAAATTTGTGATGAAGTTCAAGGGTAGGAGAGCATGTTGGGCGGTATTTGGTATTAAGGGTGGCAATAGGTCAGAGGGAGATCCCTCAAAAATGCATTTAATATACTATACGTGGCAGTCAGCGTCATGCTATACGTATGCAGGAGTAGAATGTTTGTGGCAGAATGCACGTCTTGCGAAACTGTGCCAATGCTAATTAATTGGGGCACTTTCTGGTCAGTCCAGTTAAAAGACCTTTTTATATCACATTTTCCATAATATTGAGTCTGTGAGTGACAGGTAAAGAGATGAGACGCAAGATTGTTTGGGTCAGGTGGTTGTGGCATCATAGGTACATGATGGATTCGGTTGACTTGCCATCACGGCACCTTCTGGAAATGAATCCGATAGCTTCGAAAATAAAACCAGGGATTCTCAGAAGAGAGATGAATGCCGGCAATGATTACCCTCAAAATACATTGTGCTTAGAAGATGGTGTCACAACACGAAACCTTATTAATCTCTCCGGACGCTGCAGAAAGCGGGGGCAATGGTAACACAGCAACTCATACCTTTCCACCCTCAACATCAGCCTTCTGTTGAATCCCGGCCCATGTCAAAGATTTTCTGATGAAAGTTGTCATCAGCAATGGCCTCTCTATATTGTATTCTATCTTTTTTTCCCCGGATCTCTATTTAACTCAAGGGCCGGACCGAAGCCACCTTTGGAGTTCCACTTGATTAGCGATGGCCACTATGTCCAGCTATGAACACCCAGACGACAACAGAGGTCCTATGGTGCTTGGATGGTTATGGACCACAACAATTCTGGCAATCTTGGGCGTAATGATGCGGTTGTACGCTCGATTAACTACTAAAGCAATCGGTTGGGACGACTATTTGATCATAGCAGCTACAGTAAGTGATTTCTCTATTTCTGAAAGAAGCCAGCCACCGTAGGTTGACCAAAAGAACTGATATATTCCCAGGCAGTAACTGTATTTGGTAGTTCCGTCAACCAAGTGATGGTCGATTACGGATTCGGCCGCCATGTTGAATATGTCCTGAAAGACATAGAAAAGATAGTGATGTGGACCATCATCGCCGAATTACAAAGCTACCTCGCCATCGGCCTTGTCAAACTTTCAGTATGCTGGTTCATACTACGGATGATCCAAGGAACCCATAGATTCCTCAGAGCCTCCATTCTCGTTCTCATGGCTATACTTGGAATCATGGTGGTGGTTGCAATGTTATTGGACGCCTTACAATGTTTCCCTTTAGAAAAAGCTTGGAAAGAACACCTCCCCGGAAGATGCATCTCCAAGTACGTCTTGACGCATTTTACTATAGCGATAGGAGGTGAGGGTCTCCAACACCTGATAGTTCGCATCACTGGCTGATGAGGAATGATTTCAGTTATTGGCTGTATCACGGATTTTGCTTGTGTATTGATTCCCCTTTTTTTGATCCGTGGATTGAAAATGAACCGACGGACCAAATGGGCCCTGGGAGCGATCTTGAGTTTTGGACTAGTGTGAGCTCTCTCCTCTTTTGTCGTTTACTTTGGGCTGATCGTGGACACATACAGACCCGGTGCTTGCGCCATTGGGAAAAGCGTCACAACCAACTTCCAAAGCAAAGACCAGACATGTAAGTACACCAGCCTCTACATCTCACCTTCTTCCCTAATCATCGACTTTAGACGACTTCGTCCCAGTCTTGCTATTCGCCGCAGTCGAATGCAACTTCGGCATCTTCGTCGCATCATTGCCAGCCCTCCGTCCCTTCTTCCGAAGCATCTTAAAGAGCACCACGTCCGAAGAAAAGTCTTCCCATCGATACAGACTATCCGGAAGCGAAATAAGAAATACAATTTCAGGGATTTCCAAGTCTAAGAGTACCAGAAACATTCTGACAGCGGAGGACAATAGCGACGACATTCCTCTTGGAAAGATTGGGGTGAGCCGGACTTTAGATATTGCGTCAGAGCCACGGGGAAGCAAAGACGATGAGACGATGAAACCTTACTATCCGGGTGACTCTGTTTAAGAACGGGTCCATGGTGGAAGCGTGTGGTATTATGTTGCACTTCTAAAAGTTGAATACCGTAATATAGATACGGGAATCAGATTTTCTGTGTAACCACATTTTGACTTCTAGTACTTTTGTCTCTACACCATATGTTACACAGCATGCATGCGTCCGCGTAGGAAGCGAGGCCGACCAGTAAATCGGCCTCGAGATCGGCATCGCACCTCCCGGAAACCCCGAAGCTCCCCAAGCCAACCCCTTCGCTTAATCTACCCCGCAAATCACGTTACGACATACCATATTAATAAGCGACTTATTCTTCGTCACCCCAGGTTTCACATATACTAACACGCCCAAAAATCCCCGCCATCTCGCTATCTGTGTAACCCTCGATATGCATATTGAGTACTCCGCACAATTCGCAAGCAAACAAAAAAGTGGCACCACATCCCGTACAACCACGGAGACAACGGCGATCCACCACCTTACCATCACCCTACCACCACCGGAAAACGGACAAACGGACAAACGGAGATAAAGCTACCTATACGATTCCATCCTCCTGTGTCCACCGAGAAGCACATAAGTAAGCATGTAATGTAGATGTAGTGATAGTAAGAATCAGAGTAAGCACTAACCAATACCTGTTCAGCTGCGAGGAGGGAAACCTGTTTTGCTTGTGCTTGTGTCTTGGGTTTTAGGGGTATTTGCATACCTCGACAGGTGAATGATATGATATGATATGAGATAACCACATCACAATCGAGATCTTGGCTCGGTACTCGAGGTACATACTGTACCTAATTTACTCAGCATGAACTCGTTTGTATGATGCTAATTGAGCTTGTCACCACAAACGCGCTTGAATGATGGGAATTGATCCTCACCCCACAAAATTGTTTACTTACAATCGTACCCAGCATCTATTCCATTCCAAATCCAACAACCTCCCCAAAATGCCCCCTAAAAACAAACCCTCCCACCCCATCCCCACACCTCTCCAAATCNACTTACAATCGTACCCAGCATCTATTCCATTCCAAATCCAACAACCTCCCCAAAATGCCCCCTAAAAACAAACCCTCCCACCCCATCCCCACACCTCTCCAAATCACCCAACGCACCGCCCGCGTCCGCGAAGTCTTCCATCGCTCCGGCTTCGAACCTATAATCCCCCGTCAAAAAGCCAGCACGCGCGATATCCCCGCAAAGAAGCACGAGTGGGTGAGTAGAGTCCATTATTCCTCGCCACCGGAGGGGGCTCTGAGGGAGGTTCTTTGTGATGCTATTGAGGAGCTGGGGAATGGGATGGGAATGGGGATGGATGTGGGAGGGGTGAGAGTTCCTGAGATTGGAGGGTTGGATGTTGAGTGGGTGGGTTGGAGAAGGGGGGGTGGTGGTGAGGATGATGAGAGGGAGGAGATGGGGGAGAAGGGGAGGTATGAGGGTATGATGAAAGAGGTGGATAGTGAGATGGTGGTTTTGTTTGGGTATGGGGGGGCTTTTATGTATGTACTCTCCATTCCCCTCTATAACCAAAAAAGAAACTCCATCTACACACCCATTAGCGTATAAACCCTCAAAACTAACAACAAACCCAGGCTAGGCGGTCCCTCCACCGCTCGTCCTCTCGCGAGTAAACTCGCACACTTAACAAAAGCCAGATGCTACATCCCCAAATACCGCCTCGCACCACAAAACACCTTTCCAGCGGCGATCCTCGACATGCTGCACGCATACCTAACACTCCTCTCCCCACCACCGGGCTCCCTCCACGCCCCCGTGGCACCCCAATCCATCATCTTCGCAGGCGAATCCTCAGGCGCAAATCTCGTTCTCGCAGCCCTACAAGTCCTCCTCTCCTTCTCGCGAAAATCCACATCTCAAGGTGTTGAGCCCAAAATACCCTTTCACGGTCGACAAGTAAAACTAGACCTCCCAGCAGGAACCGCCCTCCTCAGCCTCGTAGCCGACAACGTCCTCACAACACCCTCCTGGACATCCAACGCAGGAAGCGACATCTTCGACGACGAGTCCCCCGCCATCACACCGGGGTTTCCCAGCGATGCCTCATGGCCCTCTACTCCGCCGCGGGGGCACATCTACACTGAACCCCGAATGTTGATGCACCCCCTGGTTAGTACTTGTACCACGCCGCCACACCTCTGGGCTGGCGCACCGCCGTTGTGGATCGCGATGGGGGGTGGTGAAAGGCTGCTTGATGCGGCGAAGATGGTGGTTAGGGATGTTGTTGGTGNACCTCTGGGCTGGCGCACCGCCGTTGTGGATCGCGATGGGGGGTGGTGAAAGGCTGCTTGATGCGGCGAAGATGGTGGTTAGGGATGTTGTTGGTGCTGGGGGGAGGGTAAGGTGGGTTGAGGTGGAGAGGATGCCGCATCTTCTTACGGGGTTTGGGGATTGGTGGCAGGTTGGGAGGGTGGTGGGGTTGTGGGCTGGGGCTTGTGAGGTGATGGGTAGAAGAGGGGAGTTTGGGAGTGAGGGGTTAGAGTTATGTGTTGATCAGGGGGAGAAGGAAGTTGATGTAAGGAGACTTACGGAACTAAGAAGAGAGGATGTTTTGTTGGCTATGCGGAAGAAGGTTGAGGGCATGAAGGTTTGGACGGGGGAGTATGGGACGAAAGAAAAGGGGAAACTGTGATAGTAGCTTTAGCGTAAAATATGTGATATCTTTTTTCCGTAATATCTCAAATTCTCACTTGATTGAGTGATCTCAACGGCAAAACAGAGAATCGTGATCCATTTACTCAGTTGCCTCGGTAATTCCCGTCCAGTCCTTCCAACCCTCAATCCTCTCAATCATCTTTTCTTTCGACTGCTGTAAATCAGTTGACGACAAAGTCCCCAGCTGCAACCCATCTTCCTCACCACTAGTTCTCACAAACACCGCTTTACTCTCCACCTCCCTCCCCTCAAAGAAAGCCAAACAAGCTCTAGCCCACCGATCCATACACTTAATAGACTGAGGCCACTCCCCCGTCAAAGCCAAAGGCCAATTCTCACTCATGATCGCAAAATCATGAGGCATCTCCTCATACTCCTCATACACAACCTGTCCACCAGTCTGAGAAATGACTTGCGCAGCCAGCCTTACAGATCCTGCCATGACCTCCTGTCCGCATGCGAGCCACATGGGTGGCGCTCCTTTCCAGGTTGGAGCGATGCAGGGAGATACAAGGGGGTGACACATGATGCTTTTATCGCTGTAGATGTGGCTACGGGGCGGATCCGAGGGCCATAATAGACACGCTGGGAATTTGGGTAGTTGAAATGACCACTCGCCGTGGAAGATGTCGTATTTGACATTTTCTTTGAGACCGAGGGCATAGGTCATATCAAGACCTGCACTGAGAAGTGCCATGCCAGCCGGTAGGGGGATGGCATCCAGTTTATCATTGAATAGCACTTTATCTCCTCTGTTGTTGGCTGATAAAATCAATTGGATAAGAGCCGAAGCAATATTAGCCCCAGCGCTATCACCAGCAAAGACGATAGATGAAGCCTTGACAGGCGTATGGAAGTCACCAGGACTAGGCCGGAGTAAAGACAAGTAAGTAAAGAACGCATCAAGAAGAGCTGCCGGAAAAGTGTTTTTGGGAGAAAGACGATAGCGAAACGAGATACATCGTCCACCTGTCAATTCCGCCAATTTTCTCGTGGTGGAATGATATCTCGAGGGAACATTCATACTACAACAGGTAGGTAAGTACATGACCCTCCCAAAACTGGGAGACATACTAAAAGCCCCCTCCAATAAAATACATAATCGTCAGCGGATGCTTGACACCCCTATTCACGGACTCATATCTTTCTCTTTCAGAAACGGGTGCGTTAGTTGACGTCTCCTCGCTCGGAGCGCCTGGCGCACCAGTCCATCTGATCTCAACATCGGCTAACGGAACTTGCTCGACCTTTTCGTTTCCCGTACTGAGCGCTTGGATGGCGTTGTAAATTATCTGTGAGATATTGTTCTCATCTTTGGGTGCAAAGAAGGTCTGTCGGCTCACGGGAGATGAATCCTTCACCTCTCGCTCCGTTGACGTAATGTTCTGCAGTTGTGATATCGTTGTTTGACCACGACATGCATCTCGGGTCCTATTGATGATATCGATCTGCTCAGAAGAAAGTGTACTCGCCATTGTTGCAAAATCAGCGGGGTGGGTTGACGGAGTGGAGTTGAAATGGATGTCTGGTATGGGAGGTTTGTCAGCGGGTGTTGGAGATGTCGGTGTCCGTCTCCTGTCTCGTGAATTAAGCGAGAACATGGCCCGTGCGTGCTTCTCCTACTCCTGTCCAACGGAGCGGCGGGAGTACAGTACATCTACCGATGGGCAAGGTATAAGTCAGGAATACCATTTATTCTGTCTATTCCATTGATCTCCATCGCGGGTATGTCTACTCTACAGATTATAATACAATACAACACAGTATAGTACATCTAACCAAGCAAATCTTACCCTCTCCCTTTATCAACAAACCACATCTCACCTCACAGCACGAAATTCACTCCCTTCCCATGTTGAACAACAATCACCTTTTTAGCTGCTTTCACATTCACAGCGCCCTTTCCATCTCCTCCACACAATCGTTCCTTCCCCTCCTCACTCTCCAAAACACAATCCACAACCCACTTTTCCAGTTGCTCGTCTGCAAGTCCCTCCGGCGGAATCCCAAGTATAACGACAAACTTCAGTTTCCCATTAACCTGCACAGCACAAGGTCGCGTCTTTGGCGCCAGAAACTCATAAGTCCCATCCGGTTCTGGGAACGGCGCTTCGGCGATAGAAAAAACGAGAAGATCCGGGTCGACTTTCTTGGTCTTTATTTTATTAGCCAATTTCAAAGATGATGTCTCCCAGCATTCTTCCGCGAAGGCTGGGGTGATGGGAGCCATCATTTTGATTAGTGCCACGGTAGCCTGGTACTCAAAGACTAAGTCTCTCGGTTTCGACGTATCCAATATGGCATTTGTCAAGGTCATGAGATCCGAGATGACCGTGTTGAGGGAATATCCGTTATTGTAAGAGGCCGTAACGTTGATGATGGTTTCCTGCACTACACGCCAGAGTTTGCGATTTTCCTCGTCGGTAGCTTGGATTTCTGGTAATACCACACGACTTATTTCTTCATAAAGCTTTTCCCTGGAAGTACGGTTTTCAACGCTGGTAAGCCGACGATATTCGTCGTGGGGTATCTCATAGAAGGCCGATCTGCAGTCTGACCTACCCATGAAATAAAGTTTGGGATTAAAATGGGTGATGGGGACATATCTTTCTCGCTCAGCTAGACGAGGACGGAGGTGCTGTTGGAGAAAGTCGTAGATACGGTTAAGCCATCGAGTCACGCCCGAGATCTTTTGCTCATCCCATTCCAAAACCTCACCTACTGGTGCCTGGAAGAGAATGTGTGCTCTCGTTGCGTCCGCTCCATATTTGTTCATGAAGACGGTGGGATCCACCCCATTGTACTTGGATTTCGACATTTTCTCGAAACTGACGTTAGGAGCCATGCCGGTTGCATTCATGATAGGCTTGGAATTTGTGATCGTACATTCATCTGGCTTCAGAAATCGGCCAGTTAAAGGGTCGGAATATGTTTTTCCATGAACCATTCCTTGCGTCAGGACTCTTTTGAAAGGTTCCCCACGATATTCTGGCCCCCAGCCCGTTGGCCAAGACTTCGTGACTCTTGTTATGCGTTTCCGACGTGGTCCTGGTACCCAGCCCGTTGACCAAGACCCTGTCTTCGCAATGAACTTTGATATGAATCTTGCATAAAGAAGATGAAGAATCGCATGCTCTACACCCCCAATATATATATCAACCGGAAGGCATTTCTCGGCGGCGGCAGGAGAAAATGGGATGTGGTTGTTGCTTGAATCTGGAAATCGCATAAAGTACCAACTTGAATCCACAAAGGTATCCATAGTATCAGTGTCCCTTTTGGCGGTATTGCCACATTTTGGACATGAAGTTGTATACCATTTAGAGTCCTCTTCAAGTGGGTTCCCAGGCTTTCCTCTCTTCCAATGTTCTTGCACTGGTGGCAATTTCACGGGGAGTTGATGTGCAGGGACTGGAACAGGGCCACAATCGTCACAATGTATAACCGGAATGGGAGTTCCCCAGTACCGCTGACGGCTGACCAACCAATCCCGAAGACGCCACGTTTCTGCGGCTTTCCCAAGGCCTTTGGCCTCTAGCACTTTGAGTATCATATCAGAGGCATTGGCTGAAGTTTGACCTGCATAGTTACCACCATGTGATGTGAGCAGACCTTGGGGAAGAAATGGTTGTCTCTCAATAATCGTGGATTCATCAGGTGACGAAGTTATCACGGTCCGAATGGGTTCATCATATCTATTATGTTTCCAGAACCCATGATCACGAACATCATGACCCGGAACCCCCATAACTGCTCCGTCGCCATAATCTCCAAGCACATATGGCGCAATAAAAATGGGTAAGGAAGCTTTGATGGGTTCTGGTGCATCCTCTTCACCTGCAAGTGGATTTGTGGCTTGTATATTTGGGAGTAGATAACCAACTTTGGAGTCTGGGGGAAGGGCTGGTATAGAATCAAGGAATGCTTGAAGTTCGACATCCGTCTTCGCCAACTCTTTCACCATGGGATGTGTAGATGCAAGCGCAAGATATTGTACACCGAAAAGTGTATCTGGTCGAGTCGTGAAGACTTCAATATCGGTGTGGGTTTCTTGATCAAAAGCAGTAACGGGAAACTTGATTCGTGCGCCTTGTGATCTTCCAATCCAATTTTTCTGCATGGTCAAAACCTTTTCGGGCCAAGCTTCGTCTTTTGACAAAAATTCCAGATCATCAAGTAGATGCTGTCGGAACTCTGATATCTTGAAGAACCACTGTTTCAACATTCGTTTCTCGACTTTTGCTCCCGATCTCCAGGAATTGCCATTGGCATCCACCTGCTCATTCGCTAAAACGGTCTTATCAATGGGGTCATAATTGACTAGGGACTCCGCTTGGTAGGCTAGCCCATTTTCGTGCAGCAGCAGAAACAGACGTTGAGTATGTTTGTAAAATGCGGGATCACAGGTTGCAAATTCCTACATATCATCAGCTATGGATACCTGGCCCTGACTTGGGCAAGATTGAAGCATGAGCATACCCGATCCCAATCCCATTTCCCGTTCATGGCTTCAAGTTGTTTCCTCATCTTCTCGATGTTCTGTTTGGTCCATGAGGCCGGATCAATCCCGCGCTCTATGGCCGCATTCTCGGCAGGGAGACCGAAGGCATCCCATCCAATTGGGTGCATGACATCGTAGCCTTTCATGCGATGGAAGCGAGATAGAACATCTGATATGGTATAGACGCGGAGATGACCCAGATGAAGGTCGCCAGAAGGGTAAGGAAACATGGGTAGGATGTATTTTTTCTCTTTTCTCTTCGCCTCTGGTGTGGCAAGCCCCCGCACCAATCTGTCCCTTGCATTTCTTCTGTCTTGATACTGCTCTTTCCTCAACGCGTCTAACCTCTGCGACTTGGTTAAAGTCTCATCTTGACTCTTCCTCATCCGCCGTCTCGCTCTGGTTTGCCAAATCTCTTGCCATTTCACATCCAGCCGAGGGAGGTCCAAAGCTGGCGGTGGTTGGTTGATGGTGGGATCCGCTGGAGCTTCTGAGCGGCCATGGTGAGCTGGTTCTGCATCTGTGTCGTTCGAATCTTTGGCGAGAGCCCTCCGACGGGTATACTCGAAGTAGTTTGGCCGTGCACTCAGGCTCCGCCCAAGGCATTGCGAACCCGAACCCGAACAGCGCAAGCGATGCCTTATCTGTGTATGGATGGAGAGCATGGTGGGGAGGTGTGTAGTGTGTGTAACATGGTGGGGTGCTACTTTGGGAATAGCTTCATGTTTGGACTGCTCTCTGGTCTCTGATCAGCTCTGTGACCTGCTCTGCTCTTTTGCGTGTTGAAGCTTCCAAAGTGGCCGCGCTGCGGCACCAATAGCGGCACAGGGTCTGAGCTTGGCAAATGGTGAGACTGTGAAGGGCCTTGCTGCTTGCAGGCCAAACAAGCCTCGCGGAAGATCCTTCCCCCAGTACTGTCCCTGCTCAGTTACTACTGTAAGTCCTACTGTAAACTTCTGGTACCTCACCACCACTACCAAATCAGCATCACTGCTTCTTCCACCAAACACCATCCCCATCCCCACCCCAATCCTCATACATTTTTCATCTCTGGTTGCATGTCTTAATCTCCACCCCCTACGATCCACGATCCACGACCCCACGAAAGCGTGCGAATGCTCACGACATAAAGAATCGAGGCACAAGCAGTGGACGCCAACCTCAACCAGCCACAGCTCCATTCAGACCAACTTGTGTGCAACCTCCAGATGTCGAGATAGTAGGGGCTCAAGATCAATATCATCTCTCTCACGGATCGAATACAATGTCGCGCGGCTACTCCAACCTGCAACCGCATGCCCGCGACTCTCTAGAACTGGCCAGTTTGGCCTCGAGCTCGCCCGCCAGTCGTACATCCTCCTCCTCTTCCCGATCCGGCATCGCATCCTCCAGAAAATTGTCTCTCGAGGAAGATGATCCCCTAGACGACCGCAATCCGGCGGCACAAGCCAATATCAGGGGCAACCATCCTCGATCATATTCCAGCGGCTCAGTCTTCGATTTCTCTTCGAATCTGTTTCCCCTATCGGCCTCAACGGGCAATGGTTATGCTCCTATAGGGGCTCCCATATCTTCTACGAATCCACAGACAGCTCTAGGAGGAGGATCACTGGAGAAGAATAAAACATTGACATATCTTAATGGGTTATCATTAGTGGTTGGCTTAATTATTGGTTCGGGTATATTTTCTTCACCTAGTCAGGTTAATATCAACGCTGGATCGCCTGGGGCTTCGTTAATTGTATGGGCTATTGCCGGTGTACTGGCTTGGACCGGCGCATCGAGTTACGCCGAGTTGGGAGGAGCTATACCGCTTAATGGAGGGGCTCAAGTATATTTGGCCAAGATATTTGGGGAGATATGGGGCTTTCTTTTTACCTGGTGTGCTGTGGTGGTATTGAAACCGGGATCCAGTGCCATTGTTGCCATTATTATGGGAGAATACCTCGTTCGGGCAGCCATCGGAGCTGATGCTGAGAATGTGAGCGTGTGGATTAACAAGAGTGTGGCATTGGTTGGATTAATAGTCGTCACGCTTTTGAACTGTCTATCCACGCGGCTGGGAATGAAAATGGGCGACATGTTTATGATTTTGAAGTTTGTTGCATTGATCGGAGTTACCATCGTTGGGATTGTGGTTGCTGTTACTGGATTTTCAAATGCTGGCGAGGCAAATCAAGATTGGAAAACTAAAGGATGGTTTGAAGGGACAAACGCTAGTGCTTCTTCGTGGGCAGTAGCTTTATATGCAGGGCTGTGGGCATTCGATGGGTGGGACAACGTAAGTCTTCATAAATATGTATGAATTTACAGCATGGCTAATGATACAGACAAATTACGTTGTAGGAGAATTCCGTAACCCAACACGAGATCTCCCAAGAGTCATCCACACAGCCATGCCCCTCGTAATTCTCTCCTACATCATGGCTAATATAGCCTACTTCTTCGTCCTTCCCCTCGACACCATCAACTCCTCTAACACAGTAGCCGTCCAATTCGGAAGCAAAGTTTTCGGGCCCATCGGTTCTCTGGTCCTCGCCCTGATCGTCAGCCTCAGTTGTTTCGGCGCCCTAAACGCCACAACCTTCACATCAGGCCGACTCGTCTACGTAGCCGGAAAAGAAGGATACCTTCCCTCCATATTCGGCCAAATCGGCCTCTCCAACACCAACATGGAAACCTCCACCTCGCTCCGCACCCAGAACAAAATCACCAAACGCCTCGCCAACATGTTTGGCGACGAAGACACAGGACTCTTCTTCACGCCCGTCTACGCCATGATACTTAACGCTTTGTTGACAGCATGCTACATCTTCGTGGGCGAATTCGGGACCCTGGTCACCTTCTATGGTGTCGCCGGTTACACATTCTACTTCATGACCGTCTTAGGACTCATCATCTTGCGCGTCAAAGAACCGAATCTTGAAAGACCGTACCGCACTTGGATCACCACCCCTATTATCTTCTGCTGTGTAAGCTTGTTTTTACTAAGTCGCGCGGTGTTCGCAGAGCCCGTGCAGACACTGATTGTGGTCGCATTCGTGGTTGCGGGTGTGCCGATTTATTATTGGAGAATCAGAGGACGGGATGTGGTTGTGAAACGGGAGGATGGATCGAGTGGGAAGAGTCCGTCGTGGAAGTTTTGGAAGTTGGGGAGGAGGTGATGTTGTTGTATTATATATTTGTGTTTGTTTTAGTCTGTTCCTCGCTTAGGGGCGTAGCTTGGGTTAGGTAAGTAAAGTAAATAGATGCATGGATTGGATTGGATTGGGGTTAGGATTGCATAACAATAAGAACAAGAATAAAAATTTCTAGAAAGAAGTTGGAACCCTACTCTACTCTACTCTCCTTATCTAACACGCTGTATAATACTCCATGTGTCTTTCTATAGCCAACTTCTCCCTTTCCTACTTGTAAGATTACCTTTATATCCTGGGAATTGTAATCTTATAAGTAAGATGATTCTAACTCTTTCCTTGGTACATGGTTCGCTGTTGAGCGTACCTATTCAATGGTATAGCTGTAAGAACTATACTCTTTTCCTAGCCCCTGAACTTGAACTTAACTACACTCTATACTCTATAATATAAAAAAAGGGATTTTAGGTATAACATATAAGATAGCTAAGTACGGCTTTCTAGACGTAGGAGAAGTAGGAGAAAGATATAGTGATTATTATTTGGAATTTCCTTTGTAGTTTTATAGGGATAGAGTATAAGACGAGCCTAATCGGGTAGAATACTAGGTATCTACCTAGGTAATAAAGATAAGTTATATAGGTAGTAGTAGGTAGGAAAGATACTAGGTAGGAAGGAGTATCGGGTAAGACCGATATATTATAATAATTACTACTATAAAATCGAAAGATAATATTCTAGTATTACTAGGCTATTAGTATTAAGAGAGACGAGACTTTAATAAGTATAGTACTTATTTAAGAATATAGATTTAAATTAATATATTATTAAGTTTAAATTTAAGTTATTAAATCTTAATTAATAGATTTTTATAACCCGATTTTAAATATAAAGTCTAATCCTTATTAGTATTATTTATATACTAGTCTAATATATCTAAGCTAAATAAGTAAAATATTATAAATAAGTAATAGAAGAGTATATATTCTTATTTCCTAAAGGGTTTATGTCAGAAGACGAGGGCACAATGTGGAATGGATAAGCTGGAATACAGAGAGAAGCTAGGGCTAGGTAATTCGACTAGATTTCGTAAATACGAGATATTCTTAGATTCTATTACTACTAAATGGCGGAAGACGGGGGTATAATATAGAGTAAATAAGCTAGAATAGGGGAGAAGCTAGCTAGGTAGAGTAGGGAGTCTTTATTAGACGACCTTAATTAAGTAGAAGCCGCTAGAATACTAGGTAGGTATTTACCTAGGTAACCGAGATAATTTAGGTAGTAAAGATAGGAGACTCGGCTAAGACCGATATGTCGTAATGGAAATTATTACCCTTTTTTAACCCGTTATTTGAACCGGTTTTTGTGAGGGTTGGAACCCATGATGAAGGCTCGGGCCATGCCCTCGCTAAGCACTGACCAAAGTCCCTGCTCAGCACTGGCCATAACCCCACTGCCAAGCAAGTCTCTTCTATTCTATACTTTTCTGTTCTATTCTCTTGACANCACTGCCAAGCAAGTCTCTTCTATTCTATACTTTTCTGTTCTATTCTCTTGACATCATGTATTTGTTAAGCAGTTTCTTGGAATATTCTAGAAGCTCTTCCTCTCTCTATATATAGAGAAAGAGCTTGTATGTATGTAGTCTTCACGCACTTCTTAATTGAATATTCGAAACCACACCTTTGAGCTATTCGAGGTCTGGCCTCTCACAGTTTTATACTGTTTATTATATCTTTATACTAACGGAAAGTAAGTGTGAGCTTGTAGTTCAGGAGGCGAAAAGGCTAGCTACTAGATTTATATTTTCAGAACCTAATCTTATTGTCTAGATTCGATAGGGAGTAAATAGTATAGTGTTTTATTAATAAGTTTTGAAGTGCTTCAAAGTTATCACTCGATTGTGGTTCTTTTTTTTCGACAGCAGGCTGTGGAATGTTTGGCGATAGAAGGGCCTAATTAGAGGATAGGATTTAGGCACGAACGTACTTACTGGGATCATGGAGTTGTCATTCAAAGTCTATAGGCAAGTGAGATAGATGATGTATGAGAGGTTTGGCTTACTGGTTATAGTAAATTAACCGAGATTTTGTTTACTAGCGCACTACGTGTAAAGGATCTTGATTCTTGAGGACTACTCCTGGTGAGCAGACTGGAATATTTTGACTCTCTTATTTGCTACTCACAGCTCGCTGAATTGTCAATTAAAATGGAAATCCCAATATTTCGTATTCGTTACAGTATTTGCTGCCGAGACCTCGTAACTGGCCCGACTCTTGAGAGTTCTTGGGTGCGAGGTATTGGTAGACATTAGGAACTCGATTTCACTGGACTCTAGAGTATAGCTAGTGTACTCTGATTGGTTCTAATTAGTTGTTGTTTTACTTAACTAGGTCCTAGGTCCTAGGTACTAGTCCTACGAGTTACACGTGACTTCGTGGAAGTTTGGCAATACCAACTAGTGGAAGTAGCGGGACTGGAAATCGAAATCACACTTTACCCGATTCAGAAGTGACATACAACACGATGAAATCACTCGTAATGAGCTCTGTCCCCTACGGTGGCGTTCAGGTCATTTGGTCGGGGATTTATACTTCTACTTCAAAGTATATGAGATTTCCGTTGAAGTTTCCAATCTACCGGTACAGAAACGTTGCCGTGGAAAGTTTCGTGTTAACGACACCGAGGTCATTCCCTAGATGAACCTGAAATCTTTTGGTACAATCAGGTCTGTGTACTGACGGTCATATGACTTTTTCGATACCTATATATTAAAACTACTGTTACTTTACTAAAACATATGTAAATAGATTAGAAATAGGCCTAATTAATAGCTAATTAGTACTTAGTTGCCCTACCTTTGTTCTTAAGGTATACAGCGTACCTAGCTAGTATAGAATCGTATAGCTTAAAGAGTAAATCTTCGGGTATTTATATCTACGTTTAAATAAGAGCGTACCGTATATCCTTTGTGTTCTTGACCTTGTGCTTCCTCTTAGAGATAAAGTCCTTAACCTACTTCTATAAATTCTTAATAGGGTTAAGATCGGGTGATTATAGTAGCTATTTTATCCGGTTAATCTTTTTATTAGCTAGGCAGTTCTTAATAATATTAGCGGTATACTATAGTACGTTATCCTCTTATATTACTACCTCCGGCCTGTATTTAGCGACTATCCTATTATAGAATAGAATAAAGAGCCTTTAGAGTATAATCTTATATCGCTTAGCTGTTATATTCTAACCTTCCGGTAGTATATATAGGGGTTTTATCTCGTTACTATAAAAACAACTCTAATATCCTATACTTATCCGACTACTCTTGTGACGGTTCTAACCGTCACCACCATTCGGATCACGTGGTCTCGCTTAGCGACCCACACCAAGTATTTAGATCGAAGCTCTCTCGAGCTCTCCTCTTCTCCTCAGCTTAGAATCTTTGTTTAATTGACAGTTCTACGATTCCACAACCTACACCGTGGGCCTTGCGTACGTGTCGTCACAACTCTTGAAAGTAGGCCGTAGGTTCTTGTTAGTATGCTCCTCCTCCCTCCTAGGGCCCCTAGTTACCTAAAATGTAGTACTGTTGTCCCTAGTTTTAATTATAAACTCGTTGCTATAGTAGACCTTCCGAGGGTCCCTTTTGATAGCCTTTTCGTACTTTATAAAGGTCTAACGCTTCTTTTTGTAAAGGGGCTTAAGGAAGGGCTTCTTACGAGGCCGGCGCTTAGCTTTGTTATTCTTTTTAAGGATCTTAGAGGTAGTATAGTAGTTTAGACGCTTGCTAGATTTAGAAGGTATAGCTAGCGCTTTTAAGGTTATTTTTATGTCGATATATAACGTGCGTACAAGCTTTTGTTTAGCGTGCGAGTTTAATTTTAGCTTAGCACCCCTTCCGGGACCCTTAATAAAGGCTAGGTTAAGGTTCTTTTGTGTTGTGCTGGGTCTACTTTCTCTTTTGCTCCACTTCCTTATTTGATCCACTTATAGCTCTGCTGCCTAAATGCTTCATGTCTGCCTAAACCTTTCACTCTTTATATTAACACCTTAGATAGCTACCTTTTACAATGCAATCAATTCTCCATGACCTTCAGTACCCAATACCCTTTCAACCCAATATTTTGTTATCTTTTAATAAAACTAGAGTAGTTAGTACAAGGTATCCCTGTTTTACGGTAGATTTCGGATAGATTGTTGCCTTCTTTGTGTAGGGTCTAAATACAAGTCTATTACCTTATATCGAGCTCTTTTCGAGTAGTTAAGCGTACCCGGCCTATCGTAGTTATTGTTGTGTATGAAAATATAAAGGAACGAAGTTTTTATCGGACTTTTAAGTACGTAGGGTAGGGTAGTTGACCCCTGTCTCGCTAAGCGAAAAGTGACCGTGAGCACCACGACCTGATTGTACATAACCGGTAAGAAGAAAGCATCATGCTGATTAATTGAAGGTGACTTCATGGTTGCAACTGTGACCTACTATTGGATGCGAGGTAAAAGATGCATGAAGACATGTTCCAACACTACAACGATACTCCTCTCTGTCCAGAAGGTATCTAGTTTCGAGGCTTCAGATAAAGACTGGTCACGAAGCGGCAAGAAGCCTTTCCGTCATAGGCTGAAAATGGTTGGGTGCCCCGTATGAATAACAGAACCAAAGCAAAACAAAAACAAAATAAGACCCCTTCTCCACGCATCTCTCCCAAAACTTCTGCCCGCCGGTTCTGCCACGACATGTAGTAACATATCTTGTGCTAAAGTGCCCCCCTGGACACCCGCCTTGATTAAAACATTTCTCCGTGTAGCAAAAGTTGGCTTCCTCGCCTGGAGGGCATGAAAATTCCCCTTTACTGCATGCAGTTAAGCAATCATCGATGCAAGGACAATACTGTTTTCCATAAAACGACATTAGTATTTTTCTTCTTCGGAATACTTTGATAAGGGATCTGTAATAGATAATGAGAGGATTACGTACAGCATCAGTGACAGTCGCAGCGATTAGAGCGACGATGATGGAAGTGAAAAGATTCTTATACATTTTGGAGGTTGACGATGTATTCGAACAGAGTAGTACTTGTTGCGGTGGATTTGATCGTTGAGAGAGTGGGATAAAGTGAAGGAGACTGAAGGAGATTGGAGGAGACTGGAGAAGATTGGAGAAGGCGGGGGGAGAAGATGTAATATATAGATGATGGATACAGAAGTAGCTACCCGCTGTACTTTTACAGTCCGAAATTTGGAGGAAGGATCGCCTGAATACTACAAAAGTTTCGTGTACACGACACCCAAAGTTGGATCTTGAATCTGAAAGTACAAGCAAAGCTACAAGTGTAACTCAGTAACTTTCTTGACATCCTCCGAGACTCTGGGATAGCGCAGTAGACAAAGATAACATTCATTAGTTTGCCAAATTTTAACCCCCGAAAGTTCTATAAATTCTTGATTCTACTCAGGAACTTCCCACATACCTGCAGACGAAACTCGATAGAGTATAAGAATCGTTTAGCTCGTACAGTACATTAAATGTAAACTAACTCCTACTCCAAGTATAGTAATCTGGATTTATTTGGAATGTACTGTATAAAATAGTAATATAGCAAAAACATGTTCCAACGTATGTATATTCCTAACTCGCTTATTCTATCTAATATAAATATTACTACTGCATATATAAGTATAGATTTGAATAAAAGTTGGCTATTATTCTTTATCTGTATACTATGGAAATGATTTTGTGAACACTGTAATACAAATTAAGTTTACTTAATCCAAATAGTCTTCGGTTCGAATGTACTTCGTCCCAGGCGAAATAAATATAGGTTTACTAGGGTGGCTAAGGTTGGCAACAGGGTAAAAGCCTTTGAAAACCCTACATTTATTATGCCTGGGACGAAGTACATGATTACAATCGATAGAATACCCTAAATCTATACAAGATTATGCTTGCGGATGGCGCACACTCTACAAATCTGAGCCAAAAAGACTCTGGAATTCGTAGATGGACATGAACGGTATTAGGGGAAATATCAATGTCTACGTAAGGTGCAATTCCTGATACTCTGCAGACCGTTCAGCGAAACTTCAAAGGTAATATTATGAATGAATTCCAGAAGATTTGACCTTTGATACGAGTCTGTGTATCGCCACTCATACTTCCCCATATTCATAAAAGATGGGTTTGAGATTCCACTATAGACTTTCATCAGATTTGAGGTCTGAAGCTTATTAATATAACTCGAGCAGGTAATGGAAAGTAATGCCAGATTTGACATATTCCCTAATTCAAAATCGCGCCAACACACCTGATGACATCACTCTAATATGGTACCTCGGGAAGGTGCGGAGATTACGAGTGGGAAAATGCATTAAAGAAGCTCACCAGGACGTCTCGTAGCTTTAACAGCCAGCTCTTCAATCATTCCAACTTTGTATTCAACAACTCTGCCTTAAGAGACCTGTCCACTATTCTGGAAACCTAGGAACCTGATGTACGAGAATTCCTAAAAACCATCAGCTTAAGTGTCCTAAATCACTTAGGTTAATAAAGGTACATTGATTTACATTACCCGAAATCGCTGACCTGGCATTTTTGATTGTACAAAGCTTTGAGAATAATATTCTTCTAACCTGTGTGTGTTCAGAGTATTGGCCGCACCTCTTAAAAGAAAATTCAGCCTCCGAACCATTACAAAATGAAGACCTTCTTCACTCTTCTCATCTCCCTCGGCCTCGCATCTTTTGCTGTCGCAAATGTGGACTGCCAAAACGCAACGTGTATAGACTACTGCAGTAAGGTAGGTGTCTTCTATCCCCCACTCTCTTCCGCCTAGGTTGTTGCTATACTGAATGATTATGTTCCTTTATTGTAGAAAGTGACTCCAGATTGCGCCGCACTCAGGGGAATGAACCCAGACTCATGTAAATGCGAGGGGGAGAAGTAGAAGCCTGGAAAAGGAGAAAGTTTCTAGGCGGAGAGAACAACGAAGTGGGACAGCACAAGGGATAACGAAATGGTCATCGGATCTGAAAGAATCATCACGCTGTATGTTGTCATACAAGGGAGGCTTTGGCTCGTCCTCAACGGAATTGTGTTATGGCTGTGAGAATATACTACGTTCATATTCCTTTCTGATAATCTTTCTGGCTCTCTGTTCATTGACTCATACCGTGTTGCCTTCTCGTACTGCTTATTCCCTCCGTCCCACCCCCTCTTTTTTTGCAAGAAACTACGGTGACATCCCAATTTCTGGCATTGGATAGAAGAAAGTGAAGCAGAGTGAGATTGGCGTATCTGACTTAGGGTTTCTAGTGTAGCGTATGTACTATTGAACTCTTTTTAATATAACTCCGTCATTGACGATCATTATATCAGCCTGTACATTACTTCTCGCTGTTTCCCCTTCGTCTTGGATACCAAAATTTCTCTGCTTAACACTTTTCTCAATAAAAGGGAAGACATTTGATTACCCCATCATATCATATCCTCTCTTCACCTGAGCTTCGCTGAATATGTATCGCTGCGTAAAGACTCGAATCAACAATATGGATAGACTGGAAGGTGAGCAAGGGTTTGAACTTGCCAAACTCCCACGCATTCTGAAAGTCTTCACTATTTCTAGTCTCTAGAACATGTATCATTTCGTTTTATAAACAAAGGTATGTGGTGACGTGGATCATTGTGATATTAGCAGATATTGTGAAGATTCTATCAGGCGAGGAATACAAAATTGGGGTAGATGGATCATGGAAGGGGGCAGTGAGTTATGGTATTGTTATAAAAGTTAAGTTCAGATGAAGGTGAAAGCGACCAACGATATAAGTGGGTTTACCGTAGATGGCCTGCTTGTCTTTAGTTATTCTGAAACTTAGGTGCGCGAGAGTCATCATGCTTGAGAACCAGAAGTTTTGGAACCTCGTAATCTGCCGGTGCAAGAGGATCATCAGGACGATAGTCCTGGAACATTTGTAGGATTTCTCTCCGGCATTGGGCAATACCTTCCTCTCCTCTGGTGCACAAAATATTCTCCCCCCTACATTGGGTCGAAGGAGAGATCCTCATATTGATGTGTTTCCACAAATGTAGTGGTGGGCAAAAAAGCGTCATAGTTATGCACACCTTCTGGAACATCTACAGGCCAGCTCAAGCTTTCTAGTGCGAGAAATTTTAGCTGGTTCTCTTCGAATCCAGGTACAGCTGTCAAATGTACTACTCCAGCCAGTGCCGACCCGATGTCAAGCTTTCGTGGATACAAATACAAGTAAACCCTCGCAACTAGATTCCTTGCAAAAAGAAGGGCTGACAATGCATACCATAGATGAAAAGCTAAATCATTACTGATTGTTTAGAAAGTAAAACAGTGAAAGAAGGGCTATCTACTACGACTACAATAGTCCACGCTACGCATGAGAATGAAGCACGTGACATAAATAACAATTGCTTTAAGCGAGTTCTTCCGAGAAAAACGGCATCTGAATCCTCAACATACAATGAACACGGTTATCATTTTGATAGTACTTAAAAGGTTCTACGTGTCTCCCACTTGAGACTCGCCCAGGACACTTGTAAATTTTGGCGCGGACAATAAATAAACTATTAGTTGAATTATTATCTTGCAAGGGGCTTATTTTTTGTTAAGTTTGTAAGGACAACAGGCTTTGGGGTATTTCTCAGGAAGGACGCTGGTAAACACAGAAGTTAGGCCACAGGAGTGACAGTTTTGGATATTGGATTTGTTTTAGGGGTAAATTGATTGGATTGGGGATGTAAAATGGATAGGGCAGCAAAGAAGCGGCAAACTGTTAGCTCAAAGAGATTGATTTATTGACTTACCTGGGTTCACTGTTCAAGCAAACTTAGGGCCGTCACTCAGCATGCTATAGCATGCTACCATGGGGAGCCTTTCTCTCAATTTTGATCTGAATGTGGGTCAAAGTCAGGAGCTTGCGGGTCATCTGCATTTAGAATGATGACCTCTGGGACTTTGACTTCTGGGTCTCTTTCTCGTAGTCTTTCGTAAATCTCTCGGATTTGTTGTCTGCAGAGATCCCGCCCCGCTTCGGAACCGAGTGAGTCTGTAAAATCTCTGTTGAAGCCTTGGCGTTGAGTAGTAGGTCTAACCAGGATGATTTTGGAGAGGTTTTGAAAGCTGTTCTGGATAGAGGCTTCGAACCTATTCAAAAATCCAGCGGTGGAAAGATGTGAATTCCCTGGCGTTCCAACCTCCCCAGAGGACCACCTTACATTCCCCACCGCAATGGCCTGTGTCGATGCGAGATTCTCATGATCCTGATGGAGCATGCTTCTCAAATGCACCATAGACATTGCAAGGGTAGTGGGCAAGTACATATCCTTTTCCCCGGCCCAAGACACTCCGTTCTTTCTGGTATCCTTCGGGAAGGGCTTCCAAAAATGGTGTAATCGATAAGGGCTCATAGCCAAAGTATCGATCTCTGGATTGAAGAGAACTTCAGGATGTGAAGCATCCAGCGAAAGTTTGTTGTAATAACGGTCTGTTTCCTGTCTGCTATCAGGGTAAATCTGGCGAGTTAGTAGAGACTCTCTAGGCGAGACAAAAACATACCCTTGACCTGGACCTTGGGGGAAGGAGGGTAGTTCTGCTGGTAAGTCTTCAACACCCCTGGAGAGTCCCAGCAGGATCATAGTCTCCTGGTGGCGGAACACAACTGTCCGTGGGACGAAGGATTCTTGCCAAATTTGGCGGAGTATCTCGACAGGCAAAACTGGCTCAGTTGGCTCATCTGGCAACTGTGCCTGTGCTCGGCTGCGAAGTTGGATAAATCTGATAATAGCTTTGATGGTATTCATAATGAAGGTGATTATTTCTGAAGTACAATAATGGATAGCAGAGGTAATTCAACAACATCATATAGAATAATTAAAGCTTTGTTTACTGAAAACAAAAGGCTATTCAAATGCTTCGTTAGCACAAGAACACTTGATTACTGTATATTTGCAACCAAGGTTTTTCCAATTGTTTTTGCTGTTCTGAGAAGGTTAATATCTAAGTAACCTTTAGGTATGAATGTATTGTTTTCTTCTGTTGTTTAATAATACAACCCAGCTTTGGGTGAATACAAAGAAATTGGAAGTGGGTCATTTGAATTTTATGCCTCAGGCCTTCAACATCCCAGTCTACTCGAGTACCTCCGTAAGGCCCACATAAGTTCTTCCCCGCCATTTTGAGGTCTCTCAAGAATCACAACACCATCATACTTTGACAAGCTGTCAAGGGCTCTCTCTCTGCATCACCGTCGCTGCTACCACTGCTACCACTGCTACCACTGCTACTACTGCTACTACAGCATCACCTCAACTAATTCTCAAGTACCGGATACGATACGATCCGACACAAATACTTGTACCTCCCAAACATCATCTCATTATGGGTTCCGTCGTACTACCCCACTTGCGAACGGGATGGCACGTCGATCAAGCCATCATGAACGAAGAGGAACGGCTCGTGGTTATTCGATTCGGCCGAGACTACGACCAAGATTGTATGCGACAAGATGAGGTTCTTTACAAAATTGCCGACCGTGTCAAGAACTTTGCTGTGATTTATGGTCAGTAGCCATAGCTAGCCCCAGCCCCCCCATCAAGCTGCATGCTAACCTTCGTTACAGTTTGTGACTTGGAGGAAGTACCTGACTTCAAACAGATGTATGGTCAGTACTTACCTTCGACTCTGAATGTACAAAGCGCCATTTTCAGAGTCTTTTGCATGTCTTTGCTGACATTTGCCTCGCAGAACTCTACGACCCGATGACGATCATGTTCTTCTTCCGAAACAAGCATATGATGTGTGATTTTGGAACGGGAAATAACAACAAGCTCAACTGGGTACTTGAGGACAAGCAAGAACTCATCGATATTCTTGAGACCATCTATCGTGGTGCTAAGAAGGGACGTGGTTTGGTTGTCAGCCCCAAGGATTACTCCACACGCTATCGTTACTAGGTCTCGAAATACCACAACTTCCTTTCGATCAGAAGCGAAGCTACCGCACAAACTGGGTTCGTTTGCGAGGAATATTTTGCTCGACGATTCTCCGGGTACTTTACATTCCAGATTGCGAATTTTTGTTGACAATAGGCAAATATACCAGGGGAAGGCCAGAAGAACCAAGGCGGCAATACGGTAAGAGGGTATCAACCACCCTTTACTTCAGATATAGAAGGCACACGAAGCCGCTACATGTTGCTCGGTGGGTAATTTTGAGATCGAGCGGAAAGTCCTCAATGATAATGAGGTTACTACCACATCTTCAATTCCGGTGGTCAATAGCTGATAATGCAGCGAGAATTCTGTGCAGCTGTCCCATTCGTAGCTTCCTACAAATCAAGCTATTTAATTCTAAAAACCTTCGCTTGATGCCAAGCCTGTGTTCTTTCAGAAAGGTGTTTTGGAAATATTTCAATCGCCATCTCCATCGCAAAAGAATAAATTTTCTTCTCATATCCGATGCCGGCTCTGTCGATATGTTCATTCTTGGCTTAAATGTAGAGGGGTTGAGCGCACGTCGCCACCCAGGCCCTTCAACTTCAACCGAAACACAGTTATCTTCAATCCTGAGATCGTGATTATGTAATCTCGCCATGTCTGACAGACTGTATAAGGCGGATGTTGTATCCGCTGCTACAGTATCCAATGATTATACAAGTTCAGAATGACCTTAGAGATGCGGTTGTAGAAAATTGGGCATGGATGGTGAAACTCCTCAATCTCAATTACTTCAACAGTGGAGCGAATTACATCATTTTCGCTAAACCTACTAAGCTTCAAGACAAAATATAACTCCGGACTAAACATTCAAATATTGAAATCCACCAAAATCGGGTTCCCACCAATAGTAGTTCAGCCCCCAACTAATTCAATAGACTGAACATTCCATTTCCTACAATCAGGAGTTTTCGCTAACACAGTCCTAATATCCTTATCTATAAGCTCTTCTTCCTGTCCCTTAAGCTCACCCTTCTCATTGCCAATACGAATAGTGATTGTCTTGGCTGTTTCTAGATCCTTACAACGAAAGACAATAGAGATCTCCGGACTCAACCTACCACGAAGATAGCGGTCTAACCCGACATAAACAGGCTTACACACACGCAGTACGTCGTTCAAATCTTCGTCGGCTGGTCCTTTCCATGGTAGTTTTATGGCTTTGGTATCGTATGGGATGTTGGTGTTGATCTTAGCAGGGTCAATGTGTTAGCTGAATAACCGAGATAAGGTAGAAAGAATTTTTAGGTTACATACGGCATCAAGATTGTCTTTGTTTTTGAAGTAAATAAAAGGGAAGGTGGCGAAATTATGATACATGGCTCCAGGCAATTTCCCCTCATTTTCTTTCTTGCCGCCAGGCCATTCTTCATCTTTGTACATACCCAAGGTATATCGTTACAGTCTCCTGAGAAGACAGTTGGACGCTCCAGCAATCTGTGTTCCCAGACTTGTATGGCCAATCCAACAAAAATGTGACTACTGGGGGTGGGGGCTTATCGTCGATAGATAATTTTGAAAGCGCCTGTTTGGTGCCGCGCGTAGACATTTGGAAGTATGAGGTAACAAAAAAGTCACAAGCAACTCACCTAGCAAAACGGAAATAAGAAATCGAGGAAGCTATCTCCTTACTACTGTACGGAGATGTCTTTAGCATCTTATTATATACAAAATAGGGAGATACCCATAAATCACAATGAGGTGGGATTTCGTTTCTTTCATATTAATTCCGACTTTTTTATACTTGTTTATGACACAAACGCCAGTCATCCGGGGTTTCCTCTCAAATCGCAAAGCAAAGAGAAACAAACTTGGGAGCCGGGGAAAAGAATGGTCGGGTATATTGTAAATTCGAGTCATCTACTCTTCCTTCCAAAACCACAAGCTCGAGTTCTTGGAGCCACAAATAAACGTCTGTCTTTGTCCCAATTCTTCGTTGTTTTTCTAAACCTACCGCGCGAATTCTTCCAGCTTTTTCAAAAGGGACAGGGTGACGAAGCAGAGGTGTCCTCGCTACTAATCCATTGCATAGTTTCCAGAATGTCACATCAGACTAAGCTTAGAATGAGCCAGCAGGCCCAGGGAAGCAACTTAGTTCCATTGATCGATATGTATCGAGGATCCCCCGATATGGAAATGTCTTTCTAGTTCCCAGGTCTGCTTATGAGAAGTTGCTGGTTCGTCATCGTGTGGACTTTGACTTGTTTACTCATGTGTATGACACAAGCGTGGATGGGCAATGATTTTTCTGACGCAAACCAGGAATGAAAGAAGACCAAGCTTAAATTGGGGACATGATGGAGGATGATGCTTTGGGTTATCGTAATGACATATCTGCTTGATTGCTCTAATCTGGGAACTTGACTGCTTGTACTATGTAGCAAGTCCTGATTTAAATATTAGCATGTGTTTATCGCGCAAACGGCGCATTTATTAAACTTAATGGCATCGGGTTCTAATCAAAGAGCCTTTTTCAAAACGTATGGAGAGAAAAAGAGCCAGAAGATAAGTTATAGAAAGATGTAGTCTTCAATTTGGAGTATGTAACATATGCATTTAAAGCAACGCGTATTTTATTCTAGGTACTGTACGTAAAGGGGAAACAGAAAAGTAAAATCATCCTGCCTTATTCTTGCGGATCAAAAGCGATTCTCCGGATCAACCAGTTTCCGTCTGATTCTCCATCAAGGTAGTTTTGCAGTGTTCTAGTAAGATCACTCTTCATCTGCTCACTCAGAGGATAACCAATGTTACGAACCCAAACATCCAGCCTACCTGGCCGTATAAAAATGAAAGCGGTAACTTATAGATATCTTCATTTAAATTATATCGAAGTTCCCAGTCGATATGATAAACCCAAGGAAAATTTACGAATTGCTGTACGGCGAGAATCTGTGGCGCAGATCCAATCAAGGATTTGTGGTTGTTCAGAATGAAATCCCGTGCAGATTCAAATAGCTGTATGAGGTGGTATTCGGAGATGTTGCGCGTAAGTTCAATCTAGATCACCAGTATACTCAGTAAACCCGCCGTATCTGATATTCAGGAAAATTGTATACTTACTGCGAGATGGTCGTGCTGTATGTCAAAACATACTTGTGGGAGATTGTTTCCAGCGAAGAACAGTTCATGGGGTGGTTGTTCGAGAATCTGACCTGCAGGACCAACTAGACGAATGGCAACTAGCGTTTCTATGCTGGTCCGGAATACGATAAGAATAGAGCTGTCCTCATCATATCCTAAATCCATTGTAACTGTATGGTTTCGGGGCATTGGTGGATTGTTGAAGGACGGCATGTTAAAGCGGAGATGAGTTGAATTCAAGTGGGGATTTGAATATTGAAGTTATCTTTTGAAAATCGTGAGAGAGTTGGAACTGATAGCGAAAATAAAAGGAGAAAAAGCCATTTAATATAGTTCTACTGGTGGTAAATCCAGCTTGGTTAGAGTAATGCTGGTAAAGCCACAGTGATGAGAGAGTTTTCACAACAGCTTTTGACTTGGTCCCTGGAACCTAGGGCTGGTTGGGTATCTGACTGGTCGTCAATGAAAATTTTGAGACTGAGAGACTCTGTCGATTGAGAGCGAAAGGATCCCAAGACATAGTAGAAACAAGTCATTGTGAACGAGCGATTCGACAATGAAATATATGCGTGGGTCTGAGACTGCGACTAAGATCGAAGAAAGATAAAACAAAAGGTACGAATGCCCCCTACTCATCCCAAGGGATTCCTTTGTGCAGCCGAGAACGAGTCAAACAATATCACAACAGTTATTGTATTCATAACTGGGTTTGTTTACTGTATGGGGGAAAAAGATAGATGCCAGGAATAGACGGGACATATTCTGGCCATTCTTTGGGTCATAGCGATACATTCTAGTAAAAAAAATGTTACTCGGTCTTGAATAATTTCCAGGTTTGATGTGGAGAGAAGTTGGAGGTGGAACTACCTTGTATATTGTACTTAGCGAGTATGGAGGACACAGTAGACTTGGCTTACTGCTGTGACCTTACCGAATTTGCTGACTTTTTGAGCCCATAAGGGCAGAATTAAGTTAGCAGAGTTACTTGACGAAAGCATTCTCAGATTGTTGAGTATTAAAGAAGCGTAAGTGTTGTCTACGGTAACTTGAGCTGGGAGTCACTTCTTCGTTCCTCCGCACCACATCGTCACCAGCATCGGCACTATGTCGGCTCCAGCAGGTACCACGCGGGGTCGGGCCTGCCCCCTGTCAAAATTTTCCAAGAAGTCTGGTTATGAGTACGAGTAGGTCCGTTTCTTCACATGTGTATACATCGGGAGGAAGAGACGACATATCGTGGCAATGCTTGTCCCAAAGCCTCTGATTCTCTTCATCGATGCCTACGACAGCTTTTCCAAGAACATCATCTCTCTCCTCGAAACCACCCTCGACGCCTCCGTTCGTACGGTCAAAATCGATAGCCCCGCCTTCGAAACCGACGATGAGTTATATGACGAATTGAGAAATTATGCTGCGGTAGTCTGCGGACCTGGCCCAGGGCATCCCGCCGTAGAAAAAGATATTGGGCTCGTGAAGAGAATCTGGAGGTTGAGCGATGAACATACATTGCCCGTTCTCGGGATTTGCTTGGGCTTTCAGAGCTTATGTTTGGAGTTTGGGGGGCGAATCGAAAGATTGAAGGGTCCTCAACATGGCATCATACGAGATATTACCCATATTGGCGGTTCCGGGTCGGCAAGTGGCGATTCTATATTTGCTGGTGTAGGAAGTGTTCAGGCCACGCTTTACCAGAGTTTGTGTGCGGACATTGGACAAGCGTCCATCTCGGATGCCGAATGGAGTGTCAGAAAATGGGATCCTTCCCCCAGTTGTCCGGAACTCTTTCCTCTTGCCTGGGTCGAGAGTGACCTTTCCAAGGATAGCGATTGCGGTGTCAAAGATGCGAGAGTCTTGGTTGCTGCAAGGCACGCAAGAAAGCCATTCTGGGCATTGCAATATCATCCGGAATCGATTTGCACCAATGGAGAAAGTAAGAAGGTTGTACAGAACTGGTGGAAGGCCGTTCAATCATGGAACAAGTCACATGAAAGGAAATCAAAGTGCCTAGATCTGTCGTTGCAAGGTCAATGTTCAACAAGGGAAAGTCTCCTATACCAATCCGAAAGCTTTCGCCACTTATTGAATGGCTCTGCGAGCTTTCCATTCCAAAAGCAGGAAGACGAACTGATCACGGACAGCGAACAATCTGTATATCACTCGCGCGAGTTTCGTTTCGATGGTCCTGTTTCTGTTCCCAGCCTGGTTGAGGCGGTCACAGATACTAGACGCGATCAAATCATTCTGGAGTCTTCGAATGCATATGAAGTAACAGTGGGCTCAGCCGATGTTCGAGGAAGATATAGCATAATTGCCCTGGAGGTTGATGACTGCGTCAGGTTTGAATATACCGCTCAAAGTCATGACATATCAGCTATTTACCCAAAAGAGACACATAGAGCACGTGAGTCTATACGTCGCACAGATCTACGTCCATTCGGGGGTGTATGGCCGTTTCTTGCACAATACTTAGAGAAGAGGGCATTGAGCTGGCCCAATCCCCAGCCTTCCCCATTCTTAGGAGGATTCATGGGATATACAACATATGAGCTTGGTCTAGAGAGTATTGGAGTCATCCCAGAAAGACGGGGACAGCACCTTAAGCGTCCGGACCTTGCCTTTGCGTGGGTTACTAGAAGTCTCGTCATCGATCACGTTGAGAACATGGTCTATCTTCAGATCTTGGCTCCAACACACCATATGATGGAGAATGACAAGTGGATGGACGAGATGGAATCGAAGTTGAAACCACTTCTATTTCCCTTTCAGCTCTCCAACGGTCATGTTTCTTTAAAAACGGCCATTGAAATGCCTGCTCAGAAGCAAACAATTGCATCCATAACTCTTCCGAAAGACGAGGAATATGAGTCAAAGGTTCGTTCATGTCAAGAATTCATCAGGAGTGGGAATTCCTATGAATTATGCCTTACAGACCAAACTTCTGTGGCTAGACCACGAGCCGCCAGATCGGCCAACTCAGATTGGTGTCTTTACAAAACCCTGCGAAGTCGGCAACCAGCTCCATTCGCATCATACATTCGTCTTGGACCTGCGACCTTGATCTCTGGTTCCCCAGAACGATTCCTGAGGTGGAACAAAGCTGGGAAATGCGAGCTTCGTCCTATGAAAGGCACGGTTCGCAAATCGGACGCTGTAAACACACTTGCAGCCGCGACTGCCCTTCTAGATGTGCCCAAAGAGAAGGCAGAGAACTTGATGATTGTTGATCTTGTACGGCATGATTTGCATGGAGTATGTGGAAGTGGCAATGTCCAAGTTCCACGTCTAATGGTGGTGGAAGAGTACAAGAGCGTCTTCCAAATGATTTCGGTTGTCGAGGGACAAATTCCTCCTTCTTTCGAGTCGGAGAGGAAAACTCGATACACAGGTATCGATGTCCTGGCTGCAAGTCTCCCGCCTGGAAGCATGACGGGGGCCCCGAAGAAGCGAAGCTGTGAGATCTTACAAGAAATTGAAGGGAGCCAGGAAAGGAGTATGTATTCCGGCGTGGTGGGGTATATGGATGTGGGCGGTAACGGCGATTGGTCCGTCACCATTCGAAGCATGTTCCGCTGGGACGACGAACACGATGTGGATGTTGCTGAGCCTGTTGAAACATGGCATATCGGGGCAGGAGGTGCTGTCACTGCTCTTAGCACACCCGAGGCTGAGAGAGAGGAAATGCAGACCAAGCTGAATGGGACTTTGGGATTGTTTGGATGATTTTACATTGCATTACGACTGGAGTAGAGGACTCACGTCTATAGATGATTAGTATTTTGTTTTGGGGGTTGGTTTTGGGGGTTGGTTTTTTTTGTTTTCCCGGAGTTTATGGTAGATAGGGAGGAATACTGAACGTATTTGGTATGGAAATTTCGGGGCGGACAGGGGGAGGGGATGATAACGAGACATTGGAATGTCTCCACTCAACGATACCCGGGTAGAATTTCCAGATATACTCACCTCAATAGATGAAGAAATACCTTCCACGTTATGTATTACAATTTGTCTGGACCAACATATCTGCTTACAGTAGTCTCAGCGCTTCTGACAATATAATAGATAATGTCGACGCAAGTGCTCAGGCGTAACAGACAAGGAAGGCCATTGTTAGGTTTTCCAAAGAAGATTTTTTATTTTTGCGTATATATGGGATGCGAAGTGTCTGTCCATGAAATTGCGTGTGGACCTACGTTTCACTATCACGAAAGAGCAGAAGAGGTTTCCATTTCAGACGTTAATGAAGAATGTGACATTCATATATAACCAATCCAAGAAAAACCAACAAAAGAGAATAACTTGCTTACTCCTGATGATGATATGCATAACCTTACACTCTTACAAATAGGCCTCATCCCGCCCTTTTCGTGACTTCCAACTTTCCACGTATTGATGCCCTTGAACAGTTTCCCGCCCTACAATGATACATTCTCCAATCCATGGATTCCGGATTTCCGGGTTTGTCTCGAAATATAAGAGCCGCTTTAAAATTCTTGCTCTTCCTGGAAGAACATGCCGAAGCTGATGATCGTTCCGTAGATAAGGACACCTCCGATGATGGACATGACCATTGCTGGGACACGGATGATTTCCGAATGGGCGAGTACTGCCGGCAGTGCTGTACGGATCCTTCATTAGTCCAAATTCCTTGTTCCAAATTTGAACAAAAGTACTAGATCTACCCCCTGGCCGATTTTGAAGGGCGTCACGTACCAATTCCCATAACTACCAAGAAACCTGTGCAGAACTTCCCAAAATCCACGATCGCGTTCGCTCCCCCGCTGTCGCCGAAGTCATCCGGGTTGGCGCATCGTCCGCAGATCCAGTTGGGGAGTGGTGCGAGGATGTAGGTTGCGACGACGAGAAGGGGCAGGTATTGTTGGAAGAGGGCGCAGGAGAGGATTACGAGGAGGAAGCCTACTGCTAACACCTGGGAGGATGTTAATAACTCCCGGTTGCTACGACAAGTATATAGATAGAACGTACGAAGGATAGCGATATTATAGTCTTGAGCCCTGCCGTCATCATGAGGTCCGGTGGGTGGTTATTTTTTGTTTGAGGGGTGGTTGGTGGTTTTGAGGCCCCGATGCGCCGTCTGTTACTGCAGTCGTCTCGTTGCGCCTAAATTCCTCTTTCTACCGGGAAAGGGTTCTTCGTTTCTCTATGGATTGGCCGAAGCGCAGAATTCGCGATGTCGTCTTGGTAGTTCGTTGGAGTTGTAGTTTCTATTCCTGTTCCTGCGTTGCGGTTGCGGTTGACTGAAAGCTGGCTGACGTTGCTTCAAGGCTGGCAGCCTGAGGCTAAGCGGGACCTACCCCTGTCAAGTGGTTCAACTTGCCCATGAGCTTCATCAGCGCGTCTGCCTCGTTGAGCACCCAACCTCAAGCAAGATACCCTCAATTCGCCATTCCTCTTCGGCTTCTCCACGATACCCAATTCCACCGAACTCAGAAGCCCATCTCTATTTGATTGCGGATTTGCTTTGACCGGCAGAAGACAGGCAAGATGTTTAGAAACAACTATGACAACGATTCGGTTACTTTGTAAGTGCCCAGAAGCTATCTATGAAGCTCCAAATATATGAGTTGGAGGATGAGAAACTGGGGAGGGGTTGAACATAGCACTTCCAGCATTGAAGCTGACCTTTTACTACAGTTCACCACAAGGACGGATATTCCAAGTCGAATATGCCTCTGAAGCCGTAAAGCAAGGAAGCGTCGTCGTTGGAATAGTTAGCAAAACACACGCCGTCCTCGTAGCATTAAAGGTCCGCATATCAACCACTCTCTTATGACAGTCCAATTTCTGACCTTGACCCAGCGTAACGCTGAAGAACTCTCCTCATACCAAAAGAAGATCATCGCCATCGATGAACACCTGGGACTCTCCCTCGCTGGTCTCGCCTCCGATGCTCGCGTCCTCTCCAACTTCATGAAGCAACAATCCCTCTCCTCCCGCCTAACCTACGGCCGCGCCATTCCTCTCTCCCGCCTCGTCAACTCCATCGGCGACCGTGCACAAACCAATACCCAACACTACGGCAAGCGACCCTATGGTGTAGGCCTCCTCGTAGCAGGTGTCGACGAGACGGGACCACATCTCTTTGAGTTCCAACCCAGTGGTATGACGCAGGAAATGGTAGCTTGTGCGATTGGTGCGCGGAGTCAGATGGCACGAACGTACCTGGAGCGAAATCTAGAGAAGTTTGTGGATTGTGGGAGGGAGGAGTTGGTGGTTCATGGACTGAAGGCGTTGAAGGAGAGTTTGGCACAGGATAAGGAGTTGACGGTGGAGAATTGTAGTGTGGGTGTGGTGGGCATCAGAGGGGAGGGGATGAAGGCTATTGAGGGGTTCAAGCTCTTTGATGGCCAGAATGTGAAGCAGTGGGTTGATATGGTGGCCGAGGGTACGGAGGAGGCTGCTGAGGAGGAGAGTATGGAGGTTGATTCATAGAGACACCATTTTGATATTGGGGCATGATGGCTTCTCGATACATGACTTGTAAGACTACAATGACATGAACAAAATACATTTGATGATAGAAATGCTTGGGTACGGTTAACTCTCCAAAGGAGAGAAAGTAATCTTCAAGATCTGTTTGTAAGTGTTTATTCATTCTGTGCTTTCTATGGTTCTATGTATGCTACGAACTCGATATGCAAAGCTTCTCAAGCGAGAAATTAGAAAACAGCCAAGAGAAGAGGATGTACGAATCCCATCTTCTACATACATACCACAAGAAAATCGCGAACCATTTTCCCCATGTCACGTCCCAGTCCCATCATCCACTCATAATTCATCATTCATCTCATCTCCTCTCATTCATCTCGGTCTCGGGTCGAAATGATCTCTTCCTTTGGAGGCGGTGCCAAATCGTCCCACTTCAGGTTCAGTCTATCCTTGACGGGCTTGTAAGTCTTCAACAGCTCAATAGCCTCCTCAGCCGTGTTAGCCACCAAGCAGGCATCTCTCATGCTCTCACGAATGAAGCCCTCCTGAATAGCATTGTCGACCCAAGCCATCCAGGGCTCCCAAAAGTTCCCAACATTAATCACCACCACCCCTTTATCATGAACCCCCAACTGATTCCACGTAATAATCTCCGCCAACTCCTCCAGGGTCCCAAATCCCCCGGGTAGCGCAATGAATCCCGACCCAGGCCCGCCATTCATGACCTCGAGCGTCATCATCTTCTTGCGCTTGTGCATGTCACTCACTTGACTCGTATGGCCATAGATCTCCACCTCGGGGACATCCTTGACCAGCTTTCCCGCCGCGATCTTTGCGGGATCACGCTCGTAGGCCGCCAGCACCTTGGGGATGATGCCGTGGACGGCTTCTTTTCCTACTGGCGAGGAGGCGACGACGCTGCGTGCTATCTCGCCCATGAGCCCGATGGTTCCGCCGCCGTAGACGAGATGGATGTTTTGCGATCCGATGGCGCGGCCGAGAGCTTGCGCTGTTTCCATGTAAATGGGTTTTTTGCCTTCTGAGGCGCCGCAGAAGACGGCGATGGTGGTNGATGTTTTGCGATCCGATGGCGCGGCCGAGAGCTTGCGCTGTTTCCATGTAAATGGGTTTTTTGCCTTCTGAGGCGCCGCAGAAGACGGCGATGGTGGTGGGGTTGTTGGTGGGGTCTCCATTGGTGTGGGGGGTTGAGGATGACATTTTTGAGTGCGTTCCTGGGTGTGAGGTTGGTTGGTTGATTGGTTGGTGTTGTGTGAGATGTATGACACTTTTCTGATTTGGTATTAGGTGTTGGTCGCCCAGTGTGTGTTGTCCAGTGTCTTGAGTTAGAGGTTGTTGGGATCTGGCATGGGTGTTAATATAGATTTTGAAATCCAGAGCACACAAAATAATTTACCAAATCATCTGGTGTAGTGAATGTGAGATTGCTTACATGTACAACTTATCTTATCTCAGTCTCTTTCGTTTGTATAGTGAATCATTACAAGTATTCAATCGTGAATAACAAAGTTAGATCTGTTGGTGTTGTTGGTTCAAGAAATGAATCACAGTCATCCTAGTCTTTTGGAAAGAGATCCGCTCAAAGATGCAAACAGACGAATAAGAAGGTACGGATGAGTGAGGAAGACACAGGTTTCATATAAGGAGTGATGGAAAAGATATGAGAGGCAACTTTATACTTTATAGTTGTGACTCACTGGCTGTGCTGTTGTGTAGCTGCACACTTGGTGGGAGGTTGATGATGACTTGCGCCCTAGGCCTTGCCACTTTGAACTGATCTTACTGGCAGCCCTGGGCGAAGGTTACCAGCTTGGAACTTGGGAGAGCATGAGAACATGAGAACATGAGAACATGAACCACCAAGATGAAAATAAATATAGCACAATGACATTCATGGGAAGATATGTGGCGAGGCCTCATAGAATGAGCTACGCTACATATAGATAGAGGTAGACATTGACTTTGGCAGAGCTAGTAAGGATGTCTAGAGTACCTAAAAGGTAGTGCTGCTGTCAATGAAGGTTGACATGGCAATTAATTTAAGCATAATCGTGATAAGATCAATGATTGGCTGATAAAGTGGGTCCACGAGGTCCCTTCACAATCGCATCTTCAATACTCGGTACAAGAGAACAGCGAGTCCATCTTTAAATGCGATAGTTGTCTATCGCACTTCCCACCTCCAACACCACATGAACACAGAGGTTTGTGTGTGATCCATCTCCAACATGTCGACAACCGCCCCAGCAGCTGCGGTTGCAGGCGCGCAGAGAAGAGAGGAAGGTGGAATGAGTGTTCGTTGCTCTGCTGTCCTACAACTCCAAGATACCGTAATGCTAATTTATGCAATAGCCATTAATCAAGTCAGCCCTGCAAGGACTCGCTGTCTTCATGGCCATGCAACTCTTCATGAACAAATTCATGAACAAGCCCAATACCACTACTGCCGTGACCGACGGATCCGGCACCGTGGTAAAGGCTCGTGCCAACGATGCTCCAATACCCGCCTTCCACGATCGACCGGGTGTCCTCGACCAAGATGCGGTATGGAGCTCGATCCCGCAACGAATAGCCCCCATGTGGCCTGTAGATACACCAATGGATATCACCGTTGTCGTTTCCCCCACCTTCCATAGAGAACAAATATCGAAGGTTGAGAAGGAGAGACGGATTGTAGAAGAGACGGGCTTTGTATTGGGCGATTACAATCAGAATCGGGTGATTGATACCACTTTTGCCGTGCCCAAGGAGGTACAGAATAACGGGACGTTATGGGCGCATTTCTTCGTGGGGATTTCGGGGAGTAAATTGGATCCCTCGAGCCCGGGATATGATACCACTCGCGCATACCACTTCGTCCACCCTTTAACTCAATATATTGTGCAAAAGAAGGTTAAGAAGACGAAGAATCTACTTGCAGCTGCTGAGGAAACTCCGGAAGTCGAGGAGGAAGTGCCATCCGGACCTACTGTCAATTCTCACTATCATCCCAATGTCACCTTTTCCTTCATTCCGGATTCGGCTGTCATGGACTTCCCTAGTATTTCACCTGCCGTACGACAGTATGTTCGTTTGGAAGCAACAGGAGCAAGAGATGGATCAGGACAAAATGGATGGTATTATCCAGTTCTGTTCGTCAATACTTTTTGGCAACTCAAAACGCATATGACGACTCTGAACTCTACCGTCACTCGACTTCCTATTCATATTGATTTGAACAATTTCGCTAATTGGAAGTTCTCTCTCCTTGCAAACATTGACGAGAACTCCAAGCAAGCTGCTCGGAATGCTGCCCAAGGTATCTCTTCTCCAGGTGGTGGAGATGGAAGTGAGTTCGAGATGATCAAAGAAGTCCTCATAGACACAAACCCCTGGCTTCTTGGTACCACTATCATTGTCAGTATTTTCCATATGGTATTTGAGATGCTGGCTTTTAAATCCGATATCTCACATTACCGTAACAAGAAAAATAACATTGGTATTTCTGTCCGTTCTATCCTTGGTAATGTTTTCATGCAAGCTGTCATCTTCCTCTACTTGTTGGACAACAATGAAAATACTAGTAAGTATTTCCTAGACCTCCAAACTACATTGAAGATTTTCCGTACTGAACTTAAACAGGTTGGATGATTCTCTTCAGTCAAGGCATGGGCATAGCTCTGGAATTCTGGAAAATCACCACAGTGGTCGATGTTCGAATCCGTGATTCTGCGCCCGGCTCCTTCCTCCCTTACCGCATCGCCTTTGAAGATAAACACGTCCTCTCAGAAACCGAAGAGAAAACCAAAGAGTACGACGCCGTAGCATTTAAATACCTCTACCTGATCGCTGTGCCTCTCCTCTTCGCCTACGCAGGTTACTCCCTCTACTACGAAACCCACAAATCGTGGTACTCCTTTGTCATCGCCACACTCGTCGGCTCGGTATACGCATACGGTTTCCTCATGATGGTCCCAAGTCTGTATATCAACTACCGATTAAAGAGTGTGGCGCATATGCCAGCCAAGGCCATGACGTATAAATTCCTTAACACGTTTATTGATGATCTATTCGCGTTCACGATTAAGATGCCTACCCTCCATCGTCTGGCAACGTTGAGAGATGACGTTATTTTCTTTGTGTATCTGTATCAGAGTTGGAAGTACAAGGTTGATTACACGCGAGTTAATGAGTTTGGACAAGGGGGTGACGAGGATGAGATCAAGGAGGTCAAGGAGATTGAGGGGAGGACTGTTCCGCTTGATTCGGCGGGTATTAAGCAGATTGAGGGGGGTGAGGGTGCGATTAAGGTTAGTGGGAGTGAGAAGAAGGGGAAGGCTAGTAAACGGAAATAGAGGGATTCGTGAACGAATAGATGGGTGGGTGGATGGGTATATATTTAATGCTATTTGGGTCGTACCTATTGGGTCATGGTCTTTAGAGCTACGAGTTTTGGAATGAGATATAGAATTTTCCACTTTCGAATTCGCTCCATAAGGCTCTCGTGTAATAAGGAAGAAGATGTTATTACTCCAATTAATGTGACGTTAACCTCGCGATTGAAGGATCGAAATATTGATATTGTGGGTTTTACTAGGAAACTATACACATCTACCTATAATTGCCAAACAACCATATCATTTTATATCTACAAAGGAGTTAAAAGATAATCCTTTTTTTCCATTAACTATAGAATGCGGGAGAAAAGAGGAAGTGGGTGTTTCTTGAAAATTCCCGTTGAAATTCTCTGGAAGTGCAGGGTCTTCCAATGTGCGATGTAAACTGGTGTTCAGAATAAGGGTTGTGGTTTCTTCGATTTGTTGATGTCATTTATTTGGTTGGTTGAGCTGTAATGAGGTGATCTCACGATCAAGGTCGTTCGCATTGATCAACCTATATGTTTGATCTACTAATATTGTCTCAGGAATCGGGTCAAGGATACTCGAAAGATTGAGACTTGAGAGAACGACAAAGGGGCGCTGTCAAAGAATTTTGAGGTTTCACTGTTGTTGTCATCCTCTTCACATGGAGACTTCGCAGTTCATACTGTCGTTATTTTGTACCGCTTTTTTTATATATAAAAAGATAAGAAAATATTTGCTCCTTAGGAAGTTGTGCTTTGAGGTTCTCTCGACAGAAGTATGAAAACAAATAGCACTGTAAGTTTTGTAAGTGGAAATTAGCAGGATCGTGTTGTGGCTAGGACCATACTAGTAGCGTGCGTGATGGTGTGTTGTTCATCAACGGCGGCTAGGAAGAAATCAAAACTCCAAATATCAGGCTGTTCTTCATTACTTGGTTCGATAATTCCTAGAAAGAATACAGAGTTCCCGGAGACCAAGTATGAAATTTATCCGAACATTTCCTTCATGTACTCGAGTGCTCAAGTAGGTACTTGGAATCCAGAACTGTGGTTTATGGATGTGTGATTCGAAATTCAGACAGAATCCACGTTGGAACCAGTTTGTTCCAACTCTGCGAGATGCAACAAAAATATGCATGTCGCTCAATGAGGGGAAAGTTGCTGTGCAAAGCTTAATTCATGTATGCGTGGCTGATACCGTATGTATCCCCTCGCACTCTTCATTTCTATTCTCCACCATCAGTCTTCTCAACTCAGCTGCTGCGGAAGCTGAATTACCATTTCAGAGAGAGATAATCTACCTGACCAAAGACTGGTAGATTACGATCGAGGATGAACGATGATGCGGTGATTTGGGATTTAGTGCAGTATTTGCCACTCTAGTCAGCTCCCCGCGGGTCATACATCAGCCTTCAAAACTCACAGCTTATTTCTACGTCGTTCTTCAAAATTTACCTCCAATATCTACTTTGATAACCATTTTAAACATCCTTCAACATGGCATTTCGAAGCCATCCAATTGCTCAAACACCAGCTGCCCCTTCACCAGCCGCCTTCCATCCTTTCCCAGCCCTCCCCTCGGAAATCCGCTCCAAGATATGGGAGGCATCTCTCATCCCCCGTCTCATAAAATGTAAACGGGAGGGCTCGAAAAACATCTTCAGCGGTCCTTCAATGCCTGTCGCTCTCCTGAGCGTTTGTCGGGAATCCCGCGAGAACGCCTTCCTGTATGGAGAATACATCCTGGTCCCCTCCTCTCCTGGGCCAGCTTTGTATTTCAGTCCAGCAATAGATTACCTTTGGATAGAAGCCGGATGGAAACCACTAGTCCCCACCGAACCGGTATTTTTCATCCAACTCTTTGAGGGCCAACCTTTAGAACGGAACCATGATTTCACGAAGAGCTTAACAAAGGAGATTATGGGCTTGAGAAATGTGATGACGGGTCCGAATTGGAGTGAGGCGCGTTCTATGCCGACTGTCACGTTTTCGGATTTCCCCCATTTGGAGAGAATCCTGGTTGCGGCAGATGAGTATTCGGTCGGGAACCAGAGCAAAGTTTCAAGGGATACGGTCTATGATTTGAAGATGCATTATCATGACTCTAATAAGGATAGAGAGGATGGGCAGAAAGCGGCTGTTCCGGAAATTGCGATAGGATGTCTAGGCTGGGTAGGCGAGGAAAAATCTAAACTACATCATATGTTTGAAGATAATCGTCAACTTTTGCATATCTTCACCACCGATTCAGCGATGCGGGATCATCAGCAAAGAGTCAGGGAGGAGGCATTCATGTTCACCCAGAAGAAAAGAAATGTTTCGCAAGCGAGAGATGGTCTTATTGAGAAGTTGCAGAGGGCCCAGGAGTTGAGTGAGAAGAATAAGAAGATGGCAAGCAACACCTATTCAGGCTCAAGCAAGGAAGTTGATGAGGTAGAAGAGCTGCAGAAGATGGTTTTGAAGATATCTCCAAGCCCATCAAGAATGGACCGATCACCTGAATATGAGATGAGAGATTCGCAGATGGATAGGAATGAATTGCCACCATACGCTGCTCCACGCTCGGGGGGTTGTTCTCTTTGATTTTCTGGTCTGCCTGAGTCTCAAGCTGTAATAATAGTATGAAGCGTTTATGTCAAAAGACAAGACTCTTCGGTTCGAAATGGTGATTATTGGATTCTCCAACAATAGCTATCCGCCCAGTCAACTACCAAATACCAAGTCGTTCAAGCCTTTGAATTTTGCAAAAGTTTGCTGCCCGAATTACTGCAGACATGATTCTTGATGTGGTGTTCAAAACGAATACGATTCATGGATGTCAGTAACCTACATCGCCAAGTTCGTCTCTCCAGCTGCCAACTACTGAGAACTTGAGGCCTCTCCCAAGCCCCTGAGTCACTTGCCAGGCATAACCTACTTCAAAGTACTTCTAATTCCTTGGTGATGAGTTTCTGCTGTACACCATGTGCGACGACGGGCTTCCCGTCGTATTTTGTTTCATGCTCTCACTTTGAATACAAAGTTCCAAAGGGGAGTCTCGCCGAGTCGGAATTTAAAACCCCCGAATTCTGCATCTCGACTTGGATCCCATCCCTAGTACCCTACCGATATCCATAGGGCGGCTATTGAAGCTCCGATCAAGCATCGGCAAAACAAGCGATCAAGCTGCCAGCTTCCTTTATCGCCTCCGAAAACAAGTCAACTACCGGCGTAAAGAGGCTGGACTATTCAGGTTGTATCCCTGGTGGGAGGGTCATACCTGGACCTACGAAGTACTTCGTACTTCTACTTCGTACTTTACAAGGTACGTAAGCTTTGTAGTCTTAAAACTAACGGCATGTGTCCTTCGAGACTGGGTAGCGTGGTGGAAGCAACAATATGACACTATACACATACATTTCTCTCCCCTGACCTGTCTACTTTATATTACGGCTCAGCCCCAACTTTCTTCTAAGCCAGCGAATTAGAGTCTTAGTTTTGGGTGATATAGACTTTTCTTATACGTGCGCCACGTGACGGTTTCTAGCTTTAACTTTCCACACTCTCTACTTCGTATTACAAGGAAGACAAAAGGCGGGAAAAGCTAAATAAATGTTGTTTGTGGAGGGTGATTGATCAGTTCCGCTTCGTATTTTGAGTGAGAACTGAAGAAGTCTGCGGTCAGTTTTTCTTTCTAATTTTTTTTTGTAAATGATGTTCCAGGTTTGTTACAGTATCCCGAAAGTCAGTAGTATTACGCGCTCTCAAGCGCCTGTCCACCGGTTGTCTTTGCGTTTCTGGCACAGGTATTGCTCAGAATGCGTCCACTATTTAGTATGAATCCAAGTACGAAAGTATCACTAAAATAGAATAGGTTACAAATTTTTCACACTGTACAAGTACAACCTTCCAAGGAGGAAAGACACCGCCTAAGCAACGTCTAAGCTTTAACCAAGATTTCACGACTTCACTGTAACATACCCCGCAAAAGGAGTTATGTCCCTTGCGCGATCCTCGTCCTGCCCTCGTTCTCCCCTTGTCTTGCACAAATAAAGGCATATTTAGGATAAGCGTCTACTTATTACTACCTTTCTCCTACGCTGTAGAGTCCCTGACTCGAAACCACAATAAGGCAGGAGTAAGAAAAATAAAGAAGCTACTCGAGTATTCGCAACGTTAATTTGAAGGTGATTTACTAAGGGAACGCTGGTGGTTTTGAATTGGCTGAGTAGCTACCCTCATCCTTCTACACGCAGGCAAGCATATGTAGAAGGGCGATATAAAGGTGTTGCTATAAGTGATTTGATTCTTGGCAAGTTCCCTTCTAGAAGTACTTCGTAGCACTACAAATTCTGCAATACCAAACAAACCCCCTATTCCTCGTATCCGGTCCCATTACATCATGAATCGAGAATACAACCCATCACGAAGGATGATGGAAATACTTCGTACTAGTGCTACTTCGTATATCTTTCTATGCGATGAACGAGCCGAACATGCGATGCGTATAGAACGATGTACAAGTAAACATCGTCTTCCCAAATCTTTAGCGTGACAACTCACAATACGACCCACCGAAAGGGTTCGGAAATAAAAATGAAAGCCTTCCAGAAGGCTCCAAATAGAAAACTTGGCTTCTTCAACTTCAAAAATAGCTACCGTATTTAGACTTTCAGGGCGCAAGGAAACATGGTGTGAAGTTTTGCGACATCGAGTAAGGCCTCGCTTAGGAGGCTTAGAGGGAGGGAGGCATTCCGACTTGGCTCATCTTTCTTAATTTAGGGCGAGTTGGCAACCAAGGGACATCTGATCACTGGTGTCATTGTTTTGATATCTTGGCATTATGGCCTATGCCACAATTGTTCGATTCTTCCGCTGGCTTCCGCGCTCCGGATGTGGGGTCGGTAGTGACGCTTTGATGGGGCATCTTTCATGGATGCCCTTTTGAAACGTTGCAGTCGATCGGATTCTCCTATAATACTTTTCGACTAACCAAATAAAGGAAGTGGGTATGCCACGTCCTGGAGTACTGAAAACTTGGAGTGGCCTTATTAAAGCCAAGTAAGGAGGGCGGACAGGTCGGACAAACCATTCCAAATCAGGAAATAATTTAGGTGGATACATTATACAACTTTATTACTTCGTATAGTTTCGTGCAACTTTGGTGTTGCTTAGGGGTTTCTAGCGTTTTGTGCATAAACATGAGGCAAATTTGGCAAAGATCTCATAAAATAAGCAACAGTATTTACGTATTTACCCCGCCAATATCAATTCCCCATTAGAGGTAAATTTCGAGCTGTCCACCTTCTTTCATACCACTATACTGCGCGCAGAAGTACTAACAATTGTATAGAATACTCTGTCAATAATGTCGCTATTTGTAGGTACCTCAACGCGAATGCTCCAAATACAACAAAAAGTCGAGTGTTTTATGAATCAAACGCACGAAAACGCGGCGTTAGGGATGCGTTGGTGAGAACGCGCTAGTACGAAGTAAGTTTGTACTCTTTGGGAACAGCTCCATACGTTTACTAGGGATAGAACAAGATTTCCTATTTATACTCAAAACAAGGCTAAAGAAAAACTCCAAGTCAATGAGGGCGGCAGCAGGGGGGCAAAAGACGTTATACGAAGTAGCAAAATAAAAAAGCATTCCCCTTGAAGTGAACTTGCTTCTTGAAGTAGGGGGGCCGGTGGTCAGTTTTGCGGAGGGTTCTTTTCGGTGTGCGCCATGGGGACTCCCAGTTTCATGGTGAAAAGTATGAGTGGGAATTTGTTTGCGGAGTTTCGGGATTTGAGGATGGGAAATTTGAAATCAGAACAATTGCCGTCTCATGTTTTGTAAGGGGAAAGGGGTCAGCTTTGAGGACTAAAATTGTGAAGCTGGAGTAACTGAATGACGCGGAATACAGTGCTACAATACTCTGAAAGATGATCAGAAGAAAGCAAAAGATGCAGACAAGAGGTTATACGGGTTCCCCACTTCCATCAGCCAGTTCAGACTGCATAGGGCCGCATCTGCATACGAGTTATCCACTATCGGTAAGTGGCTATTCTCCCCGGGTTGTTACTTGGTGTATTATGGGGCGACTTTGGAGATCATCCAATGTCGAGACGAACCTCGTAGTGGAGAAAACTCCACTCGTACTCCCTTGAACTCTAAATGTCCCCCATGCTGTCCACCCATCATAACAGATCGGGGGAGGCGAAGAAGTATAAAGAGAACAATAGCCCAACCATTTTGCCTCATCATCACCACACGATCTTCTCATATTTCACTACATTCGTTTTTGAACTCATAGCCACCTTTTCGCAATCCAATAATCCCAATCAACTTTCATCATGCAATTCACCACCGCCACCCTTCTCTCCGTCGTCTCTGCTCTTGCAGCAGCAGCACCAGCTCCTCAAGCTGACCCTGCGCCCGCGCCAGTGAGATTCTTTGCCATCCTCGCCCTACAGTCTGGCTCCTCAGTCCACTTGAACAACTGGCAAGCATCCAAAGGTGGTATCTTGGCCGGAATTGACCCTGTCGCCCAAAACGCCACTTGTGATGACGGTAGCCTCGCTCCTATGGCCACCTTCAACGTTCGAGTTGACGATGGAGCCATGTTCTTGTTGGAAGACAAACTCGAGCAACGCTTGTGGGTCGACCGCGGAATGGGTCAAGGAATCGTTCGATACTCTGCCAATGGCGGTACCCAGCCATCAAGACAAGCAGAGATCACCGGATTCGAGGTCGTCAACGATGAGCTCCTCTTCAAGGGCCAACCCTTCCAAGCTTGCCCCAATGGAGAAGGTCTTGGCCACACTATCTTCGTCAACGGAACTGTCAACCCAGCTGGCCGCCAGGACTGCACTGCATTCAAGGCCCAGCTCATCTACGACGAGACCCCAACCAGCTGCAACTACTCCAACTAGGTTGCGAATAGGTCATGAGAATGTTTCATGGGAACGACAAATTTCATTTGGAGGCTCACAAAACTGGATTTAGCGTTGTATTTTTATCAAATCATAGACGAGTGATGGAGTCTGGGCCCTGGAAAAACAGTCTTTACCCGTAGCCTTGTCGGCTTAGCATAAATGTACTAATGCAATTGCATTGTTGACTATCTTGTTTTTCCGTTGCCGCTGTGAGCTTATTTTTGAAACCCTGTTTAAGTGAATACGGTTGTTATTAATACGTAATTTTGACACTCTCCTCGTCGCACATTTATTTCCTGCATCCACAGTTCATGATTTCCAATTTAGACTATAATTCCCGACAACGGCATTCATTAAACTATGCCTGTATCAAAAAGACAACTTGAGGTTAGATTTATGAAATTGGGGGCGGTCTTCTTCCGCAACATTGCTTGGGCCTAGGGTTTGTTCTATTATAGTTGATGTTTAGGGAAGGTCTGTGTAGACTTAATATGAAGTCCCTAACTAGCTCCATGTATATAACATGAGAGCTTAATGCGACCGTGGTGCGTTAAGATATTATCGATCACAAAGAAAAGTACGCAATCAGCCTACTCGCTTAGGTATATCAAAAGCCATACTATTACTCATGCACATAAGTATCGCGATTGTAGAAAGACCTGCTCGCGTATTAAAATGATAATTACTCTATACTTTAGTTAACAGCATATATTAATCAATTAATACTCTGATTAACCAAATCGGTTAATCAAATCAAATCAACTAGACCTGTTAATCTAATCTAATCAAATCAAATCTGAATAATTTAGAGTATTAATTGATTAGTTGATTTTTCTGTTCCCACGCTGCGGGCCTCAAGCGATAGCGCAGCGGAAGCCTATGATCCGTCCAACGAAGTCCAAATGGACCGACCGACCGACCGACCGACCGACCGCCCGACCAAGAGCGATACGGGGCTCGGTCCGATTCTCTCCGCATTACTTAGAGGAAGCGCAACTACCAAGACTAAAAGTGGATATTACAAACTCAAAATCCTAGATGTACATATGCGACGACAACGAGATACTTTTTAGAAACAGGGTAGTACCCATCGCGAATTTGTGCGAACATTTAATTACCATATATTTGTTACTCCACTTCCACTCTTCCCTCTCCTCTAGGCTCTAGCGAACATGTTATTTTTCTAATGGCAGCACATTATGCACATACGAAAATTAACCACTTAAGTCGGTGGGGATAGTAGAAAATTGGAAAGAAAATATACCAAGAATCGAAGCATAAGCTGAGATTAAGTAACACAATCGCTGGACGTTGACGGGTTTCAAGACGACAAGAGGCAACAGAACGACCAGTATTGACAATTGAGTTCATGAATCTCAATACCTATCTGAAGTATACATTAATGTGTAATTTTTGGTAATTTATATCACCAGTTGTCTTCGTGGACAATTTCCCAGGAGTTATAGCTTTACTATCTACAGATTATCCAGGGACTATTCTTTATTTGGATCCACTAATCAACTGGCGTTTCGGGTTGAGTGTCTGATGTCATTCCTATACATCGGCTTATTCAAAACATCCAAACCTGTTGCGACGAACTTCAAATCGCGAAATCTGTCGCTCGCTTGTTTATGTGTTTCTAAATTGGGTCAACCAGTGGCTAGAAAGGGGCAGTTCTAAGTCACAATGGCAGGGTTCTAGCTTACTGTTCCGGCTGCAATACTGTCTCGGCCGGGATGATCGCCAGTCAAACCGGCCCTACACTACAGATAAGGCTGCAATGCAAGTGTAGGAAAATCCGAAAATCTGAGGCTCCGTTTCTTCCGACATACACATATTTACTTTTACACGTGGGCATTGCATACATTTCGATCTCTTTTTGTACCACAGAATACGCTCTTTTCTCGTCGTTCATTTCTTACTCATCCACGTATAGATGTTTACATAATGCTTCGGCGACTTCCTTTCCTTCGAAGATTGCCGATGACTTCCCGGTCCTCGCGTCAACTACGCTACGTGTTGTTTGCAGCTGTCCTGTTCTTTTTAATCGAGTATTTACCACAACGGCGAGGTGTGACCCGGAAATTGACTAAGCTTGAACAAGAAGTTGCATCGAGAAATGGTCCCTTCTTTCATATACAATTTCCATTCGAAAAGGAGCAGAGTGATGCCAAGAATATACGGCTAGGGCGCCAAAAAAAAGTACGGGAGGCATTTCTTCATGCTTGGAAGGGATATAAAGATCACGCATGGCTTCACGATGAGCTGCTCCCAATATCGGGTGGAAAAAAGGATCCCTATGTTGGGTGGGCAGCAACTCTAGTCGATGGACTTGACGCCTTGCTAATTCTGGGCTTGAATGATGAGTTTGATCACGCCCTCGAGGCATTGGATTCCATTGATTTTACCAAGCCCAATTCTGAGCGAGTGCCTGTATTTGAGACGACAATAAGATATCTCGGAGGGTTGTTGGGTGCTTACGACGTGAGCGGTGGAAAATATCCAAAACTTCTCGCGAAGGCAGATGAGCTGGGAGAGTTTCTGTTTCGTGCTTTTGCTACACCCAATGGAATACCTGTTCCTTATTATGTAAGTCCAATTTTTTGAAATCTCACAAATTCTCACAAATTTTGGTCTCTGGGTTATTACACGTTATTTTGATTTCTATCCCATGCCTCTGAGTATGTAAACTGATACCGTCTAGTGGTGGAACGATACGGACAAGGCTCTAAAAGGAGAGGACGGTGTTCTAGTAGCACAGATAGGTACGTGGGAATATTCTACCCCTGGTATATCGTGCTAAAAACAATAGGTTCTCTCTCGCTTGAATTTACACGGCTCGCCCAGCTCACAGGCAAACGAAAGTATTTTGATGGAGTTTCCAAAGTAATGAGCTATTTAGATAAGGCGCAGAACAAAACTCAGATCCCAGGACTTTGGCCTTCCCAAGTCGACACAAGAGAACCTAGTTTCGGTGGAAATACTTTCACACTAGGGGCTTGGGCAGATTCTTTGTACGAGTACTTGCCAAAGGTATTTAATCTTGCGTGGTACACTTTCTAAAGTGTTAAAAATGCTGATATTTGGTAGCAACATATCCTTCTAGGTGGAGAATCTGACCAATATCTACGGATGTATCGCGTGGCTATGCGAAGCGCAGACAAATACCACTTTTTCCGCGCACAAACTCCTGGTAACCAGGACCTTCTCTTCATCGGCGATGCTCAAAAATTCGACGGAGAGCCAGCTGTGCTCCCAAGTGTTCAGCATTTAGGCTGTTTCGTTGGTGGTATGGTTGGATTAGGGGCCAAGATTAACAGATCGCCAGAAGAATTAGAAAAGGCCATCAGGCTCACCAATAGCTGTGTATGGGCATATCAAAATACTGCTACTGGCGTCATGCCCGAAATATTCTCTGTTGAGAAGTGCCTAGTGCCTGCAGCTGGTTCATGCGACTGGACTGACGAAAAGGCTACTGAACCTGGCCACTCTTATGGATTCAAGACCATCAGTGATCACAGCTACCAGCTTCGTCCAGAGGCAATTGAATCTGTTTTTGTCATGTACCGGTTGACTGGTGATCCGGCCTGGCAGGAAAAGGGTTGGGATATGTTCCAAGCGATTATGAAACATACTACGACTCCTACAGCCAATGCAGGGCTTCAAGATGTCACGCAGAAGAAGCCACAACAGGTAGACCAGATGGAGAGTTTCTGGCTGGCTGAAACGCTGAAGTACTTCTTTCTCCTTTACAGTGAACCTGATGTCGTTAGTTTGGATGACTTTGTCCTGTCAGTATTTATTTCTTCTTTTTCTAATAGAATGGTTTCATATTCATATTTAATCATTTGCTGACGATACTTAGCAATACCGAGGCACACCCCTTCCGTCAAAGAGATGATGTGTTTGGAATAATATGAAGTTTGACGCGCTTTGCGGTCGTTTTGTATGGAGTTTATATGGCGTCCGGCATCGATAGACACCGCGAATCTTGTCCTCAGATGGACTCGAGGTGATCACATTGGCGTATTAGGCTTGTATTTATTCTATTGCGTATTGTAATAGATTGGTTTGCCGCTGTGTTTGAACTTTGCTAACAATATTCGAGACATGTTATAAAAGGTCCCCTTACTTCTAGAATACTGTTTGATCTGCTTAACACGTCTTTTGAACCCCTACTGCATTTCTTGGTAACCCAGCGTTCTTAATTTAGTAGCATTTCAGGTAATTAATTTAGGTATATATAAAACGGGTGTTTATACCTTGTTGTATTAAGCGCCTAGTTTATATACTACAAGTAGTTTTACTCTAACATACTAAATTCTGTTCATATATTACCCATACACGTTAATTTACCTACAAATATCAGGACTATTAGCAAAGTCTCGCAAATTCGAAGTATCTATATATATGTAATGTACTTTGATAAGGATTCTTTAGTATCTTAGCAAAATACTTCGCCCTAGGCGAAATACTTGTAACTTTCTTAGGGTGGCAAAGGGTGGCAAAGGGTGGCAAAAGGTTGAAGACCCCTGGAAGGGTTGCGTCTACCTTTCACCTGGGACGAAGTACAAGTATAACTTGGAGTACCTATTACTCTTAATTAGCTAGTCAGAAGCATTTCAAGCAGATTGAAAGGCATTTTAAGCAGGTCAAAAAGGATTATAAGCGTATGAAAAAGTCTCGTTAGGGGACGCTTATAAAAGCATCATCTACGTAATTACTTCGACGTAATTGACATTCCTCAATGAGACGAACACTTATTACTGCTGACGTATTTGGTAGTACAAGCCTTCTTGGGACCTCTTTAGCCAAGACCTTTCATGTGGGAGCCGGGGGTAGTTATTGGAGTGCTTTCGTTTTTGGGTGTGCTATAGCACAGAGAATATAGCCCTTTAAACTTTAAGTTGATTGCCGATCCCTTGGGTCCCTTGGGTGTTTATTCCCCCATTGTGAGCTCGTGCGCATGACCGAAGAGTCCGAATGTGGGTACCGATCATGAGAAGTACATAAACAATTGCATCTTCCTCATAATTGTGATGTATCGGATTTTACTTCCATCAAATCTTGTTACTTCCATTCCTTCTTTCCAACCTTCCAACTCAATTCCTCTATTCCCATAGAAAACAGCTGTAAAAATGCGATCCACACTCCTTCTCACCGCTATCTTCGCCCCTTTGGCTGCCCTTGCTGCTCCGGGTTCCTACGAGAACAAGGGTGCCATCAGTGCCAGACAAGCGGCCCCTGTTAAACCTACCCCATGTGTGCGAGTTGTTCCGGAACCATGCGAGGAGGATACCAAAGCTCGATTTGAGGCATTTGCTAAAGCTTTCATGGGACCAAACAAGAATATCGCTGAAGCTTTTACCTACATTGTTCCGGATTATATTGTATGTCAGCCTTCTTTCTGTTAACAGGTCTCTAGACAGTATTTTGCGTTACTGTTTGAAGAGGTTGCTAATGGGTTAATGAAATAGAACCACAATCCAATCGCCGAGGATGGCTTCGATGCCGCATGGGATGTTCTCAGCCCTATCTGGCCAACTGTGGAACTCACTCCAATCCGCCAAAAGTTTATAGCGCCTCAAGGATGGCTCAACTATAACACTTCGTTCGGTACCATCGTTGATAGATTTAGATGGGAGGGAGGCTGTATTGCTGAGCACGTGAGTATTCCTTAATGGCTGAGAGATGTGTAACTGAATACTAACTGTTCTACTAGTGGGACGAGGGAGAGGTCTACCCAGAGGAGGCATAGGATACTTTTCATGTATCGATTTGCCAAAAACACATTTCTGTTTCTTTTTTCAGAATGTAGCTGTACTGTACAAACAATGAGCCACTTTCTTGGCTTGGGACTCAGCACTTGTAAACATATATTTGCGAATTACAATAGACATGTATGAATTAGGAAGCAAGAATTTCACCTTATTCCTCTAGAGCAACGCTCATTCCGGGAATCAAGAAACATGATCTCATTTCGCTAGCGAGTTCAAGCAATCTTCTCTCTGTGACCTTCCCAACGACAAAGACACCTACCTACCTACCTCCCTTGGCTTCCTTAAACGTAGACCTGGGGTAAATTACTTCTTGGCTGCAGCGAATGACATGTCGGAAACAAGGGTTGGTTGGCTCGAACACCACCCCAAAGCCTGGGGATGGTTACGATGAGCTTCTTTACCTTAGAGATCTCCGTGGCTTAATCGATAAGCTTAGCGACAAACTGTAAAATTGACTTCAAAAGACAAAGTATTTTAGTTGTTCGTTCTTCTAGAATAATGCGAATGTCGTCAAGACAATAGTTGTTAAAATGTTAAACTACCTTCATCCGTTCATCTCGCTACTGATTTAGTTTTTTTCGACACTAACAAAGTTTATATTACAGATACATTTACAACGAAAGATATTCTAAAGATATTTTGGTTATAACGTATAGTAACGTTCAGACTTTACCCTAAAGAGCTACTAATTACTGTCTAAAGTCGATCCATCTATTAATATTAATTATCCCTGCCTTATCAACTTCACAGTCTCCCCATCTGCAGCAACTATAAAGTGTTAAGTTTATATATGACTATTTAAACATCGATCAACGCTATACCCCTAACACACCCTGGGACGGACATAGTAATTCCCTAGATGTCCATTATTATAATCTCCTCAGCGATCAAACCATACAAATTATTCTAGTAGAAAAAAGCACGACGACGCGGGTAGGTCTTTGACAGAATAGTAACACGCAAGATAACAACTGATACCATTCCCTCACTTAATTAATATCGCGGTTCAAAGTCTTAACTCTCTTTTTGATTTCATTCTACATGGTTTGTTTTTGCAGTACCACCCAGATGGCATTCCCATACATTGCAAGTCATCACCCAAAAAATTGTAAGCCTGAGTAATGGTCTAGATTCGTCATTCATTACATGAGGCCTAGGCCATAATCTCGACGAAACACTAGTATCTACAAGAAACCACGATTCAAGCAGATACAAGATATCCCAGCGAAATCCCGCAGAGGTGGCTATTTATTTACTGATCGTCATGGGGCTCAAGGAAGACGGAATGGAATGCCTTTTATAAAATGGTAGAAATCTAACACCAAGAGCAACAACCGAAGCTCGAACAGACAATGAAGAAAGTTCGCTCGCAATCTAAAACCATTATATTTCATGACCCAAGCTTCCTTTGGGTAACTATCGTTGTACATGGTGATCTGAGGTCCTTCACAGTGCCTCAGTAGGTAAGCGAAGGACCTCTTCAACACCAAAAAAGGCCGAAAAGATCAAAAAACCATCGGGAAAAAAAAAGCAAACCTCTACAAGGCAAAGACTTCTTGATAGACAATCACAGGAGCGCCACTACAAGTAAAAGTCCGCATATCAAGGCCCTACCTAGTATGCTCAGATCCGTAATTATGTGCTGCAAATGAGTAAGCTCCTTTATCTCACCCCTGGTAATATACAACGCGATCTCAAAAGAATCTCCACCACAGGAAGATTACAATGAACAATCCCAACCCACCGAGCGGTCCATACTGCTTCAGCAGCAACTCCCAATTGATCCTTACAGCCGCCTGCTTGTACTTCTTACTATCCTCTCTCAACCTACTACTCACTTCGCCCATCTTTTCGAGACTGTCTCCACGGTACAGTAAATCCTCAATATTCTTCGTCATGACCTTTGTCACGTCTCGTAATTCGTCATTCAGCTTGTCAAGATTCTGCGTGGCGCGGCTGTCGGAGTATGTAGCTTTTGTGCGGGAAATGAACGTATCAAATTCCATGAAGGCGTAGGGTCGGAGGATGGTGGACATAACTTGTTGGGAAGGGTAGGTGGTGCTGAATTCATTGCTGAGATCTGAGAGGTAGGTGAAGGCTAGTTTTCTGGGGTATGATCGCTCGCAAATGCAGATGTATATTATGTCGGAGGAGATGAGGTAACTAGGAGCGTGTCAATGGCAGTTTCAAGTTATGTAGTCGTTGAATTCCAGGAAATGCTAGGGAGACTACTCCAAGAGCCCTTTCCGCTCTTCCTCCACCATTTTTCAGATCCTATAGTCGGCAGAGCACTTGCTAAGCCCAACGGATTTGGGCAGCATAACCCTCCGTGAAAGAAACATGTCCTTTAAGAATGATTCCTTCCGTTAGGCCAGCAGCAATACGGCGGAGTTTCCATTTGACCAGAATACAAATCCTCCTTGCCTTGAAGTACCATATGTACTCATGGTTCTCGGGCTGCCTGACAGAAAAGAGGCACCTACTGTATCGTGTATGAACCGCTCTCAATAGACGCCTGTGGTTCCGAGTGTCGACTCAGCTTCCGCAGAATGATTTTAATTTGTGATTTGACTTCGGAGAGCGATGAATCGGTCTGTTTTCGAATAAATTAACTATTTATTTCTTGGAAACGATGGAATAGTATAGCGGGCGAGGGTACCTGTTCGTTCTCGTCGACTGAGGCGCAGAGCATGAGGCCTGGGAATTACCATTAGCGGGGTTCTCCTGTTTCCTCATGTAGCAGCGATAATTACCATCAAGCCGCGCAATTTGTGTTGATTTGATCATCTTGCTTCTGCGAGCCTGCGTTGGGGTTTCCTCTCTTTGTCTTGTTGGTAGAACGCTGGCGCGCGGTCCCTACAATGGTAATCTGGCAGAGTTGCCCCTTGAATTATCTGTAGAACTCAGAGAAAGTGCTGCACAGTCTAAAATCAGTGGTATGAGGAGGGGGGGTTCTCCAGGCTGCGCTGCGATTACGGTGGAAGTGGAATGGACAAAGTGCTCTCACAGAGGCTCAATTGATCAAACTTATTGGGAGCTCATTGATAGGTACGCGCAATGCGAAAGTTGTCCTCGGCTAAACAATTCGCCGATATTCGCCCATTTCAGCCTCACCCTCACACTCCATGTCTTCCTACCAAATACTTCCAATTCTCATTGTGAATCTGGATCTGAATCATTTCCGACTCTTGAGTGGAAGAACAATTGACATGACTGTTTGCGAATATAACCATTTCTATATTCAATCTCAGCCCACACCTTGTCCGACTCCAGCGACAGCCATCACCATCCGCATTTGAGTGAGACTGGGATATTCCACTTGGAGACCTCAAATACACTTGCATCAAAAGCACCTTCAAAAGGATGATCTGAGAATCAGAGAAGTTTAGCAAATTTTCGGCATGATAACCGACAAGCAAGGTTAGTCAATGAATATGTTAGTTACTCAGTCATCAATGGTTGTAGGATCAATGGAGCTCATCAGGAAGTTGGCTACTACAAATGTCTGATAGAAATTCACCAACCACATTCTCTTTCATATCGTATTTATGTTTAGCCTATGATTTGAGATGTCTGTAAGACAAATTTAAGATCAAAAGGCTGTACACGTCCTACTCTTCTCTTGTCTTGTCGGCTTTATTCTTCTTTCGTTCATTCTCGGTTAAATTGACTTTGAAATCTTTCATACTCTAAGCACCTAGAGCCTTTTTCTTATCAAACTAACAAACCTCAGGTGAAGGTTGGCCTATACATCGTCCCACAGATCTGATCAATTGAAGTGGAGTCTAACCCCCTTTCTGGGATTGCGAAAAGCCAATCCATCATTCGCCCAGATTATCGAAGTCCATCACGGAAAGAACAACTTCTGAAGTCTTACTTTCCACTAGCAAGAATCAGCCTGAATTGAGCTCAATCTCAACAACCAGGTCGGCTTCCACCATGACCAGAAAACTAAAGCTAAACACCCGCACCAAAGGGGGTCGGCCCCGCAAAGAAAAAGACATATGGGACCAATTCGAGATCTTAGGATCAGAAGATTCAATCGCCTACCGCGAAGAAATCAACATCCAAGTAAGCTCCACTTACCCATCCACCATGAACCCCAAACTTACAAGCTCCAGGCAATACTCAACCACCCAACCGCCCAAGCAATCTTCGCCAGCACCAGCAACGAGAAAGTCTCAACTCTTCTCAGCAGCGGCGAAATCACCCGCACAGTAACGGAATTCAAAGCTGACGGCGCGGCGGGAAAACACGACGCCAAATGGATTGCAGAGGCTATAGTTGCTTCTGAGCGACGGGCCGCAGGGGAATACGATGAGTTCATACAAGCGCGGTTCATGAGAGATTGGGGTGATGAAGGAGGAGAAATGCTTTCTGATTCCGAGTCAGATTCAGAAGCTAGGAAGAAAAAGAAGCAGAAGTTGGTGGCCAATAGCTCGGTTTTGACGCTCAACACGAATACCTCTGCTACTGTTGGCAATGCCGTTTCGAGTAGCAGTAACGGTAATGGTAACGATATCTTACCTTCGAAAAGAGGAACACAAAACCACACGGTTCGAGAATCCCCTTCATACTCAGACTTCTCAGAGCTCTCAGAGTTGGGCTCTTCGCCTTCTCTTTCCTTTATGAATGAAGGCTCGTCTGCTCCCGAGTACCATATTTAATAGTGTTGAGTTGACCACCAACGGCCTCCAGTCAACGGAAACGGAAATTCACAATGATAATATGATGGAAAGGAATGGATCGGTTCCGGATAGTGATCAAGATGTCTCCTTCACTGCGAGTCCAGCTGCTGTTCCAGATCTGCAGAGTCCTGAGAATTTGACAGGTGCTTCGCGATAGCAGAGGTTTTCAGAACCAGTCTGTTGGTTTTTAAGACAGGGAGTTCTGGAGTGGGTACGAGATAGGAATGTGAATAGCTATCGCCTGAGAAGATGATGGTAATAAGGAATGAAATATCATTGAGACAACTGCTTGTACTTTTCATTTTCCTAGAGTGCTCAACGTAATGGTGGAATTTATAAGATGGGCATGGTCCATGGATAGAACTATTCTTGTTGTCAAGTAAGTCTGACTAATTCTTCTGGAAGAATCATCTAACTTATAAATTGAGACTAGGAAAAACTACTTAAGTCTCATATCACAGGAAATCCTTCTACTTTCTATGTTTATATCCCCACATAGATGATACCAATGACCTTTACTTGTTTGTATATCTCTTAGATCTGTGATGGAATATCCACAAAGTCACGAATTGTACATAGAACAGTACTGTTGATCCAGAGGCCTTGAGCCTAATCGTGCAGCAACTGACCCATATCAGACACAGACTGATCACTCATCAATCCCAACACTCCATGCCTTACGCAAAAACACATACACAAACACAAGCACAAGAAATCAAACAAAATCCATCCAAAGAATAGGAAAGAACATTCACATTAAGTCCATCAAGGATATCTCCCGCCTCAAAGTTATCAAAATACAAGACAAAACCAAATCAAGTAACCATCTATCCATCCAGCAAGCACTCTGACTTTCCAGAGCCATCTTCTGCCTTCTCACAGTCCGACTTACATTCCCGTCCCCCCAACGCGCACGGAAACCCATAAAGACACAACAAGAAAATAACGACCTACTCCCCAACTCCAAACGATGCATAAAGTCCCGTCCACAAACGAATCCCACATCAAAGTTCCCCTGATGTTACATACTTTCTCTTTTCAAGTCCTCTTTGCTAATGTATTTCCTCTTTGTATCGTACCACAGCGTCCTCCCATTATGTTCTCACCCCCCTACCCACCCCTCAACGTCCCATGCGATTACCTCTAGGGCCCCCAGATGGTAAACCCGCTTTGGGACCCATAGGGAGTCCTCCCGCCGGTCTTCGAGCACCAGCGTTCTTTGGGGGGCCATAGTTGTTTGCTGGAGGGGCATTGTATCCGCCTCCAAAGTCGTTGGGTTGGTTGTACTGTTGCTGCGAAGCGCCAGGGTATGGTCTATTGGGTTGGTCGTAAGTGGGTTGGTTGTAAGTAGGTTGGTTGTAAGTGGGTTGGTTATTGTAGTTGGATGTGTTATCCAACGAGTTGGATCTCACGTCGGGTAGATTTGGAGCTGCGGCATTTCTGGGCTGGCGATTTTGTTTGGCAAATTTGTCTCCCAGTCTTCTTGCGGTAGTGGATCCAACTGCTGCTTGCGATGCAACGTTTGGGTTGGGGCTGGAAAACATTGGTCTTTGTGGTTCGTCGCTGGTTGATCTTGCTGCTCCTGGGCGCTGCTGGATGTTGCCATATGGACTTGCCACATTTGTAGGGACGTATGCAGCTTGCTGCGGTTCATCTGTAAATATCGCAAGCCTTCTGGTCTTCTCATCATCCACAACCACTCGTGTATGCTCCTTTCCTGTACGCTGGTCTGTTTCAACTATTGCCCTCGTACCCTGGGGTTTGAACCCTCGACCTTGTTCGGTATAGTAGCCTCGTAGAACACGCGCAATGTTGGTCTCATGGACCGTCTGGCCATCACTTTCAGTCGCGAGAAGATTCTGTCGAAGATTGGCCACGCGACTGGAGAAGCCTGAGAGATAGTTGGACATGTTGGGCGGAAAATACAGGTAGGCACCTAGGCTGAGGGCATGGAGGTATTCCCGTCAATGGTTCAATGAATGTTGAGAATGTTGAAAATGTCGAGAGGGGACTTGTGCGGCGAAGAAAGTTGGGAGGTGTAGTTGTCATGTACAAGTATTTATGAATCTTACACTGCTTGGGCTCTGGTGCAGGTGGTTGAAACATTGCATGTTTTGCGATCCGTGAACCCCACACGAGGCTGAAAGCTGCGGGTGCAGGTGATGCAGGGTGCATACTGTACTCCTAGGTCGGAAGCGCTAATATCAATTTGTATAGCAGGTACCAAGTAGACATTAACCTCTCCAGCTTCCAAGGTTACATTAGGCATCTAGTACTCAAGTATATAATTTCTCAAATCGTGAACCCATTCTAATAAATTTTGGACTAGCAAGACTAATTATTGCAAGTAGCGACTTATATGCCCATTTGACACCCAACGCCGGGTTTGGTCTGTCTGGCCCAATATCCCACAGCCAAAACCCCCATGTAATAGCTTCGTACAGAAATGCAATTAGTGTCGTACCAGTTGTCTAGGCCTTTCCTCCATCTCCTCTTCATACTCAATTTCCATCCGTGCCAGCTTCTTGGGTTTGGCTTTGGACACGGGGGCCTTCTTCCGCTTCGCGCCAGCAGCAGTATCGTCCTCGCTGCTGTCGCTATCATCATCCTCGTCGCCCTCGTCAGTAGCAGCGTCCTCCTCACTTCCAAGCCAATCCTCTAAGTCTCCCAGATCTTCTTCTTCTTCGCCTAGGTCACTGACGTATTCCACTTCCCCAACACCCTCTTCTTCCTCGTACTCCTCTTCATTCTCGAATTCATCCTCCTCAATCCCTTCGTCCAAATCCTCGTCCCGAGTACCTTCGCCACCTCTCTCTAAGCCTTTGAGTACCTTTTTCCAGATCGCCTCGCTGACATTCAGTGGCTGGTCGCCATAAGCCCCACTTCTTAATCTCTCGATCAGCTCTCTCTCAATTGCCCTTTCAACCTTGGCTGCTGCCTCTGCCTTTCTCTCACGAGTCTCCTCACGCCTTCTCACCTTTGGCGCCAGCCGAGGAACCAACTTTTCGCCGAGCCTCTCATCTTCCTTAGCAATTCGTCGCATCCGGATTCCAACTTGAGTCAATCTCGTAAGTCTCTGCTTGCATTTGTGGATGAGGAAGTTGGGCCAGTAGATCAATCGCTCGTCGACTTGTTGCAGCGCCTTGGCATAGTTTTGCGACAGCTTTATTCGTTCCCACAGCTTTGATGGCATGTGCGCGCGCTCGATAGTTTTCATGTAGAGGTAGAGGGTACCAGTGTCGGGATTTGCGCGAACGGTAGCATACCGAGAATTTGCGAGAGGGCAGGACTGTCGATTACAGAGACCAGTGACATTGTATTCATTGCGACAGAAATTCTTCTCCTTCGTGGTTCTATGCAAATAATGTCAGCTCTGCAAACTCGGCGTGATCTGAGGGAACAAACTTGAGCTTAAATGAACAGAACTGCTGATTGATAACCTGCCAAACGATCTCGTCGGAAGACATTGCTTAAGGATAGATGCGATAGTTTTCAACTGGACTGCGCGCAGTACTGATCCTCGAATATCTCGTTGTTGTTGTTGTAGAGTTGGCGGGGTCCAGGTTGGATCGAGTATTTTGAGGAGGCCGATTTTTTTCTGGGGGCCGCAAGGGTGCAAGGATGCGAGCGTTATTCTGCCGGTTTTAAGCCGACGCAGGTGAACCGCAGCCAATCAGAGGTGAAGTCCATCATCATGGATCTGATTGGCCCACATTGCTGTAATGGACAAGAGGAGGAGCTCTAACTCTACTCCGTGGTAAATCTACCTAGGTAGGTACTCTTAGTAGGTATGATATAGCATTTGACGCTACTAGGTAGGTAACATTTAAATCCAGTTTCTTTAACACATAATTGGTCTCCTAAAACTTCAGCAAATTTAATCCCGTAAAAATGGGTTTACTACAGCTAACTTTCTTTCAACTGCTCGAGTATTGAGGGGTTTGTCCATACTAAGGCAATAAAAAAGCCATTGAGGATCGGGAACACTGTATGAATTTTGCGAATTTGATATGGCAAAAATGTGCACTTTCTATGACTTTAAGAGGTGTTTGGTGTCAAGGATAGAGAAGTAAAAGTATAGTGTTGGAGTTTCAACTTTCTACAAGATTATACCATAACTGTTCTACGAGTACACTGTTTGAGTCAATGTCTTAAAGCATGTGTGTCTAGAAGAAAGCTCAAATCGCACACAAACTATGAGAAGATATGACGGTCATTTAATTTTATTATAGTTCAATCTACATACCATGCCCTATTAGTTTCAATCTTAGAATAATCAACCATAGGATATCCTTTGAAGTTCGTTTCGCTTTGCGTTCTTTACGGCTCTCTATGTAATCACCGCAAGCTTTCAAGGCGACTTCTTTATGATCTAGCTGCGCCACCAAGTCCCAGCTGCGCTCTGTTTTGGGATTGTCTTGCCTTAGTATCTTCTTATTTATATCATACAATTCATGAGACATGACTTTTCCTGCTTCTCTGTCTTCAGCACTGCCATATCCTCTCGCATAATGCTCGACCAGTTTGGTCATCGTAAGAACTGTGTCCGGGTTCTCTGGACCGAAGAAGTCATGTTTTTTCTGTGTTTCCAGTACCGCACGGTACAAAAGCCCATCCTTTTCGTACTGTCGAAGTTCATGGTATACTTCTGCCAAATCGCGTTGGAGGCAAAGCATAATCGGCTTGTGCGATCTGTGGGCTGCCGTCATGTATTCAATCGCTGCATTTAATGCATGCTGATAAACATGCCAGCTCCCAGTCTCTACTGTCCAACGGTTACTTGCGGACTCCTCTGTGCTCGGAAACACTACCTCGTTTACCAAAAGGAACTTCTGGTTAGGTCTCCGGCTGGCAGTAGAATAAATATCTAAAGGCTCCTGTGCCAGTAAACAGAAACCTGGGTAGAATGCCCAACCGTCGACATTTTCATCCGAAAACCGTTTCACATAATCCCAGTCTTGATCATCTAGCTTGCATTGAGATATTTGCTTTCGGACCTGCTGCCTTTTTTCAAACCAATCCTCCGCTTCCGGACAGGCCAATCCATTTTTTGGCCCATACATGGGGTTCTGTTCTGTGATTGAATCTGCGCGGCTAGTGTACATTTGTGCTCGTAAAAATAATATCGCACCTCTTTCTAACGTGCTGATACCTGGTAAGGTGCAACCCCTTCCAATCACTTCCTCTGCTTCGTCGTATTTTTTCTCAGAGATCAGGTGCGTCACAAGCTTTGCGATCAAGTCAAGAGCATCAGAATTCATACAATCGATCAGATCACGCCTATATTCTTGGTCCTCTTCGAGTCGACTTTCCCGAATAGAAGATTGTGTCGTTTGCTCGCTATCTGGATCGATGCCTCCTTCCATGTCTTCATAGTGAGTACCGTATTTATTGGTTTACAAGATAACATATTACATACAAAAAGTCTGTCCAGGGACCAATATGAACCTTATACGCTGAAAAAAGTAATATCTTAATTATTAAATTTGCCCCACCTTTTTAGGGTTTATGTTCCCCGCCACTCCCAGCCTTTATGTTTTACCCCCAACTCCATCTAATCTTCTAATTATTTAACCATTCCATATTCATGATTTAGGTACATTCTTGTAGGAAGAATGAGACGTGGAATGGGTCCTGAAATCGTTGTAAGAAGTGGCTATAGGGAGTTAGTCATAGATTAAGCGAGTGATAGGAGGGTAAATGGGAATAGCTTCAAAAATATATGCTACTTTTTTATATGCTGATTGTTGAATATACTTTTACGAGTTTAGCTCTGAAATCCCGAGTCTTTTAGAGTATATAGTGGTGCTAAAATAAGTGTAGAAAGATTAATATAAAAGTATCGATCTTAGATTCTAGCTCTTTAATTGGTTAGAATTGTAAGATACTAATCCTATGAACTTTTGGAATAATATACGATATACGTATGTTATTTTAAAGAGGAATGTTATTTTGTAATCTAATTAATACGGTAATAAGGTGATTCAGAACCGAATCTGCGTGAGGAAGGATTCTAGAACAAGCCTCCTTTGGACAGCCTTCTCTCAATTGAGAAGGGGAACTATCATTGATCTCCCAAAGAGCCCACACAAGTTGGTTCAAGCAGTAACTGTACGAATCCTGCCAGTCTCGCATTGCTAGTTGTACTAAAGCATGCATACTAAAGGACTACTCATCTCGGCTCAGAGTTATCATCGAGTAACCCTGCAATACACCCAGTGCAGCCTCAAATTGAGCCAAAGACCAATTACCACGTCGTAGAAGATACTTTGGTATATCTTGTCTGTTGAATAAGCACATGAAGGAAAGTATCTCAGAAGCATGAGGGTAATTGTAATCAATCCTTTCCATCATTTCATGTATTGTTATAAAGCACCAGAGTTGGTGTCAAGGAGAACACGGCTCCGAAAATGCTGGCACCCGCGTCTATGCAGTGTAAACCCTCTTCCAGCACGAAATCATATCAGTGATCGTGACAAACCGTATCCCTGTGCCTGGAGAAGGCTATGAATTTTAGGCGTCAATGTTGCACTCGACTGGCCCAGGCTCGGTGAGCAGGTTTTGAGGAAATATATAATAACCATTCCCCGAGCAGCCCGCAAATCCCATTAAGTTTGGGAAGTGAGATGGAAAGTCCATCAGCAATCACATGCTCCCCCGAGCAGATACGCGTGGATGCAGGAAACATTCCGTTTCTACACAATGATGAGCTCTACAGAAAGCTGCATATCGACCCAGAAAACAACTTCCCAAACGAAAGCCTCCATCAAAAAAGGATACACTTCCAGGCGAACCACGAGTCTCCCTCACATCTTCTCAACTCAGTAACTTCTTGAGAATATCGCTCACAACCCCAGATCCAAATGCATTCACACCACATCTCTGGAAAGTTGCAACTCAATCCAGTTCTCACATCACAGCCCTGACTTCTCAACTCGTCCGCGGAAGAACCATAATCATGAGTGAGAATCCAGGCCAAAAAGGGTAACAAACGGACGGAACAATAATGGCAGTCAAAGGTCTGATTGATGCGAAAGATTTTTCAAACGGCTCAAGACAACTATGGAATTAACCCAGAAGATCTAGGCTAAGTACATGAGCTGATATAGAAGGCTAGAATAATGGTAGAGCCATATAGATGCGTTCTTGTCCCAAGATGGTAAAACGTGATCGGTTCTTGGTCACATGATTTGCATTCATTTCCTGGGCCTCATGAGCTTCATTTCTGGTCTTGAAGAATATGATGAAGATAGCCAGAGACGTATGGGCAATACCGAAAAGCCTCTCAACTTTCCGCTGGAACGTCCTCCTCCCCAAACGGCCACCCCTCTTTACTCCACACATCCCCAACTCTCGTCCAAGTACCCATACTCTCAACCTCCTCTTTCCCCAACCTCAATTCTCCTCCCTCGGTATGGTAAATATGTGGAAACCCACCAAGTCTGCCCTCAGTATCCCAGCAACCTCCCTTCTCCTCCGGACCCAGACCTTTGGCCATCTCCCATTTGATCCGTGATTCCACGCGTTCGTACGGAACTCGAAGGATGACCACTGAAGGGGCTGAGATGAAGAAGTTTTGCAGCGTGCCGAGAATTTGCTTAGAAGTGCTCATGTGGATGAAGCCATCGCGGCTGTCAAGGTCCGAGAGGGGTAGGCAGTCTGGAAGGGGTGATGGGGGAGAGGCGGGGAGGATCTTGTAAACGTATTTTGGTGGGCCTGGAGGTGATGACATTCTGGCTGTGGTTGATTTCGGGTTTGCGGCTTGTAGATATGACAATATGTAGGACGGGTATAGAGATTGTAAGTCTGAAGATTTCAAATAGCGAGGGTTCGCTTTAATCAGGTGATTTCGCGTTGATAACGTGACAGGTTACTCCTTCTGGAATAATCTGAGGGCAACGACTTTGTATCTTTTAAGTTGCTTGATTGTTTGAAGCACTGGAATGAGTAAAGCTTAAGGAGAATTCAGGGTTGTGAAAGAGTCGATTACTACTATTCTTTTTGCCCACAATGAGACTTATAAGCTTTTTTTACCTAAACAGGAAAGACTTAATCAACCGATGAGCTGAAAACGTCCGGGACTATTACTACAATAAATAAAGAACTACAAGCCAGGACTCATCTAATTCTTGAAAGCCACCTTACAAGGATACATCTCGGCTGGATGAGCACCACACTTCTCTATCTGGTATGCACGGTCGTTATCAACCATTTCTATGCCTTTAGAAGGATGCATTTTGTCCCACTCTTCATAAGCCGGAGAAATATCGAGTGTCGCAAGGACAACTGCAAGCACAGTTTTGATCTCCAACATAACCAAGCCTTGACCGATACAATTCCGAGGGCCGTGTTCGAACGGCCGCCAGGCACCTTTGACTGGGTAAAGTTCATGCTCTGGACCAACAAGCCAGCGTTCTGGAATGAACTCATCGGCACGTTTCCAGTATTTGGAATTTCGATGAAGACCATGGTGAATAATCCAGATATTTGTACCCTCGGTTGGATACCTGTTTCCATCATCGTCAACAAGATCTACTCCTGGAGCGCCGGCACGGATACCCGATGCCCCAGGGTATAGGCGCATTGTTTCTTTGATGATAGCAGTAGTATAGGGTAAGTTATTGAGTATATGTGGTTTCGAGGAGATCTTGGACGGAATTTGGGAACTGTCTGAGCCGAAGACGAGCTCATGCTCCTCTCGAATGCGTTTTAGTGCTGTGGGATTTCGAGCGAGCATATGGAAGCAGTAGACTATGGAACTACTTGTCGTATCGTGACCCGCGAAAAGGAAAAGTCGAATCTGGTTTGTAGCAACCTTGACAAAATCTTTGTCTAGCTTCTCAGGTTTGGGGCTTCCGGAAGGTTGAGATTCTATGAAACTCCTAATGGCCAGATCCATGATTGAAGTGCTAAACTCCTCATCGTTCTTTTCCTGGTACAGCTTCCAGCGTTTTTGTAACTCATCTCCGATGAACCTGTTCATTTGACGACTGTTGTGCCACTCCACGAAAGGTCTCAGAGGATGCCATCGCTGCCATGGATTTACTTCTTCATTTGACCCATGCCACGATATTTGGCTGAGCAAAGCATCAGCGAGAGGATTCCAACCCCTTTGAGAGTTGAGTCTAGTGTTCCTATTCTCTTTATGAGTAAGGTATATGAAAGTGGTTGATTGTCGACCTACAGTACACTACGTCCAATCAAATCCATTGTGAACCGCAGAGTAATTTTGTCAAGTTGGAAAACATCCCCCTTTTTCGCGTGCTCGGCAAGAATCTCACGATATACCAAAGTCTCATCTACCAGGCCCGGGACGTGTGTGAGTAGATTTGCTGCGCTAAATCCTAGATTGAACATTGCACGCCATGGTTTCCAGGCCTCAACAGACATGTCGAAAAGGCTCTCACCACCTGTTAAAGGTGCAAACCACGGCTTCAGTTCTTCCGGTCTCAGCAGCATCAGATCACTTTGTTGCGTTGCCTGTATGGCCATCGTGGGGCTGGTAACAATCATAAATGGAACTCCAAACGGCCATAAATCAAGATAACAGAATCCGGATTTTGGAAACTTGCGGGATATAGAGCCGAATGTTACTACCATATGAATGCCGGTGGGAAGACTATCTAGAACCTTTTTAATGGCCAGAAGATGTCCGAATATCAGGCTGTGTGGAGGCATGGGCTACGATAAGTCAACACGACAGAGGAATTGAACAGGTACTTCATGAACCACTTACCATTCCTTGCTTCCGCAGTTTGACAAAAGCGCTTCGGGCACGCCATCCTTTGAAAAAGACATACAGAAAAGTGCCTACACAAGCAGTGTATAGTACCGCCACGAGAGAAGACACGCCCAAGTTTTCAGTTTGCATGATCAATGAACACGAGGGGCGACCAGAGGGAGTAGAGAGTGTATGAAGAGCAAGCTCGGCTCCCTTCGACTGTGGAGTAATATAGTAGTTGCAAATATGTGGGCGGGATGTTGGATTATTATCTTGAGATTGGCTTTCTTCAATATCCTTAAGGTTTTCTTGGCTGGGTAATCGCTGCGAAACCGTCACCGTCTATAAGTAGGGGGAGTAACCCTGATCAGCGAACATTTTCACCACGAAGCAGAGTGTCCGGATCCCAAGTCGATTACGATTTTATTTAATTCTGGGTTGCTGTCAAGACAAGGTTCAGCTTTCTATTTGGGGCGATCATGTGAATTAGCGTTTACTGTACCTACTACCTAGCCCAGCCTAGGTAGCATTATCACGGACCCTCGAAAGTGGAGTACGAATGGTCTATGGAGGCTGGGCTGGATTCGGAAGGGACAACCAGGACCCATTTGGTCACGGAGGCAAGCGAGCGGCGTAAATACTGATGCAAAGGGAGGGCACATTTCCACACGCAACCGGAGTAAGTGAAATTCAATTGCAGAAAAGGGGAACGAAAGCCCACGTCGGGTTTTTTTTAATGATGAATTACTTTTGACCCTCGTCGTTCTCTTGTCCTAACCTGTGCAGCACGCATTTTGCAATTTTTCTTTCTTCATATCTCGTCCTCTTCATCGTCGAAATCCTCACGATCCTCATCTCCCATATCATACAGAATTCTACCACCCTCACCCGCACCACTTCCGCCTCCATCTTTCTGCGCATCAAAATACGGAAGCACCACATTCTCTCGATCCCGCTTCTGCTTCTCCGTCAAGCATAGGTTGAAAGTCGTAGCCATGTCCTCTGGATCTTCTCCTTCACCAGAAGCAGGCTGAGAGAATGTGGGTGTGAGATAAAGAGGATGTTCATCTAGCAAGATAACCTCCGGAACGCTAGATTTTGTCGACGAGTAGCTGGGAATAAGAACAAAGTCCTCGACAATTCCTCGACCGGAGCGACGACGTAATTCTGCATGTATGACAATTCCGTTCTCTGCACCGGAAGTTTGGGAATTCTTTGTGAGGGAAATAAGAGCTCCCTCTGGAAGAGATGATAAGCCGAATGTAGGAGCCTGCAGACTTTTATCTCGGGCCCGCTTTTGTGCTAGTATTTGGGGGAGAGCAGAGAGGGTGAGAATGCTGGTTGAGAGGTAGGTGAGAGTTGTCAAAGGGTGTGGCGTGTAGAGTGCTGTGCTTTGATGGGGAACAGGAACATCCAAGTGATAGGTCGCTAAAAGGGAGATTTGAGGGCTTAAAAGAAGAGAGGAGAGGAAGTTTGAGATGTGAGAGGCGTAGAGGGTACAGAGAGGAGTTAGTGTGTCGACTATAAGGAGGTATTCTGTAACGAATCATTAGCATGTGCATGGGAATGAAAGTACGTTGTAATAGTAGCAGAGACTTACTCGGAGGTACAGAACTTGAAGATGGGACGGGTGCCTGCGGGATATGGGAGACGATCTCACTTCTCAGTGCCGCGAGAGCCATTGACCGCGCTGTTATGAAGACGTCTGCCTCAAAAGAAATCTTTTTCCAAATCGTTGCAAAAGATATGAATATGATTTTCGTCTTTGAGATCTGGCAGTTTTCGGGTCAGATTTTATCACTCAGAAACCTTTTGCTTTATGAAAAGAATAAGATCATTATTGAGTCAGAGGGGGCCATGCCACGTGACATGGAGAGAGGCGAAACCCAGAAATTGAATGGCAATTTGGGATACCCAGCAGTCTTTTAAATGAAACAAGTACTTCGTCAAGTGAAAAGGCAGAAAGGGGAAATTGAAAATTTGAAGGAAATTCCTCGCGCATACCTTTGCCCTTCTCACAAACTCTCTCACAACACCTCCACTTCTCTGCTCCAAATTATCAAGCAACAAAGTAAAAGGGCTCGCGCCATCTCTCAAATTTAGAAGTTTTTGAAAGAGAAGAGTGTTGTGTGTTTTGCGCTGTTGCAATGGTGAAGGCGCCATCTTCTCAAAAGTTATGAACAGTTGAATGCGTTTTGGTGGGGTAAGGTGACAGTAAAACTTGAGTTCCTCGCTTCCGAAACCCGGGCCAACTTTCCGGATTTCGGCCCGAACTATTGCTTCAACTTGTCGAAATTATTTTTATAATATCCAGCCAATAGCAAGGTGTAAAACAATGGGGCCTTCGTTATTGACCATTCTTTGAGTGAAGGGGGGATCGATAGTATTAAAAATTGGAGAATAAATTATGAGAAATTTGGGCAATGCTTAAAATACTCATGGCTCCAGGAAAACTCAGAAGGATTTTTCAAATATGTTCGTAATTCCCCAATACTTTCCAGACGTAGGAGGTTCAGAACAAAGGCTTTGGACTCTGGAGTAAACTACCAAGTAAGGACCCTTGAATGACTGATTCCGATTCCCTAAACTAGGAATTGGGAAAACGACACTGAATTGAACGCAGGCGCAGGAATCTTATGAGAACATGAAAGGATGCTAGATATTTCCAGGGCTAAATTTCTACAAGACTTCCTATTATGTAGCCAAATCGCTTTATTTAAAGTGGAATTATCTGTTTCTAGGTCGTAGCCTGTAAGATATCAAAAAGCAATTTTCGAGCAGTGTGAGAATGAAAGTATAAACGCGACTAGAACTAGAGCTATTTTATTTTATACCCCAAGACGACAGGTCCTTAAGCGAGGACCTCATCTGTGCCAACATCTCAACCTTCAAACGCCATAAATGTATTCAACTTAATTAAATCTCTTATGTCTTATCGTTGACTCCAACTTGAGGCGTTTGAATGACTGCGAGATAAAGCCTCGGTGATGATACAAAGTGAACTGAGGCATCGCCCTCAAACTCTCGTCTCGCAGTCAGACTAGAGTGTAGGTCGCACAACTGCAAAGTGGTCGACGGTTGGCACTTCCCATGAATTGGCTTCTAAGCAGAACTGCGAACTAGTTACGGTTGTTTATTACTAGCTATTCATACTACCGGAGCATTCCGGTTATCGGTTGATTAGAAGAGAAGAAACAGCAGTAACCCATTTCGGGATTATTTTCTAGGTCAATTAGAAATGGGTAACCTAGATATTTTAGCATAGCCACTTTAATTGTCGTAGGTTGTTTCGTTAACAATCGACTTACGGGTACGCTAATAGAAGTCGCCACTTTTAAAAAATGATAACCCCGTCACACAATCATCATATCGCATCAAGTCTCTTTCCCTTCTTTACAATTTGCAACTGCAACTGCCTCTTATTACTATCTTCGACCTATATTACATCTCTATCTTCAACAGTAATGTGTCTACATCGTTAGGCCCGACCGTCCGAATAGGATTACCTCCATATTTGTATCACAGCAGATTTGAAGTAAAGATTTCTTGGAAATCCAGTAGGACATATATGATATATCTAACGTACGAGTAAGCTTACTGTGGCTCCCAACGAAAAGAAGATCTTTTCACCCAGTGGTTGAAAATGGAATTTCTAGCTCGCGTCATCATTGTCATTTCCATTTCCTTTGTAAACTTCAGCGACAATCTCAAGTCTCGAAGTGGGACGCCGTGGAGGCTGGAGCATCCGTCTGCCTTCAACTGTACTCGATACGAGGGTTGAAACTGGCAGTTCATTTTGGAACCAATCGCTGATTATCGCCCTCGTTGTTCTGGAGAGGATTGAAAGTGGGGAATTCTAGAGGCGCAGCTGCAGCATGAAGTGTGCTGCTGTGCCTTTTTTGCTTTTCCTCATTTCTATCTGTATCCGCAATTTGCGTCCCCCCAATTACTTTCACTTTTTCCCTTCTACGAATATCATTCTAATAGTTTTTGACGATGGGATACTCATCTCATCACTAAGCAAGTCTCAAGTTTCCACTTGTCCTACCAATACGTGAGCGTACTTCTGTACACATCCATCAAGTTGGCTTCATTGGCGTACCACGATCGGAAAAATCAAAGCCTCTGACGCGCTACTGCAAGAAGCAACCAGGATAAATCAGCCCCAAAAAGAGCTTCCATGTGGTTTTCGAACCAAACCCAGATCCTGGGAAATGACAAGGTAACATTGCAGAGAAGCATTCTTTGAAATAAGCATAAGCCCCCTGATCTTTAGACGTTCTGTTGACATCGCTTCTCTTTCCTCGGGTTTTCTTCAGCCATTTCATCTCATGCCCACTTCATTTTTATATACTTTTGGTGTTTGACCTCTTAATACCCTCCGATTTCCACAATGGCAAATAGAGGTGGAAACCACGGCGTAACTTTCCTCTACCCACCAACGGGTCTATCCCCCAATTACCTCGATACCATCAATGTAATCTACACATCTCCCTTCTCCGACCCACTGCTCTACACATGGTGTCGTAACGCATCAAACCCATCAGATCTGGTTCAAAGTGATTATCCCCCTCATACTCCCAAGATTACTCAGAGACTAATACCATCCCTCAGAACGAATTGATAAAGTAACGCCCTACAACGGCACCCTTCCAGTAATCCTCGACTACCTCAAAGTCTCCTCATGTTACTTCAACCTTCGTCCCAGCACCACAGCAGGGAACGGAGCCAATAGCGAATCTATCGTACTTCTTCCCTCAGCACGTTCGCCGGTCCCAACAGTCTATGGGTTACAAGCAGATCCAACTTCCACTCCACAGACAAATCCAGAGACAACCCAGGAAGCAAATCCAGAATCAACCCCATCACCTAGCCCATCACCAATCCCAGTAGCAGTCAACCCAGCAAACCCACCTAGCGGCCTCGCGACAGGAGCAATAGCCGGAATCACAATCGGCGCAAGCATTCTTGGTATTGCTCTCATAGCATCCATAATCTTCCTCATCCTGCGAAGAAGACGCCAAAATAACGCCGCTCTCTCAAAAACCGCCCTTCCAGAGAAAACGTACGAAAAAGACCACGTTCACATCAACGGATCCTACTCACCCTCGCCCTCCTACAACCCCAGCATGTCAAGTCCTCCAATAGCAGGTCAAGAAAACCGCTACCCCATCTCCGAAATGAGCGCCTCACAGCCCGGAACGATGGGATTGAATCCCCAGAATGTGATACATGAACTCGGTCCTGGACAGTCGGAGAACAGGAATAGTGAAAAACGACGTTGAATGTTACCAGGAAGAAAATAGCGGAAAACAAAGCCATCGCGATGGGTCTCCTTCACTTCTTCCATACCGCCACCGTACTTCTCTGCCAATCACAGTATCAGCACTCGACATCTCACTAGCTCCAGAACTTCATGGCAATTACTCTGAGAGGGGATCTATTCTTTTCGTAAAACACATTATTAGAAGCAGAAAGCGATTGATTTTTCTCGAGCCGAGCCGGATCTAGTTGGAGAGTGCATATCCTGTCACCTCCCCAACAATTAGTGTAGAATGGGCGGCATAAAGAAGAAAGCGCCGTCATTTGCAATGTATATATATATGGTAACACCATTGGCTTTGGCAGAGAGTAAACATACGAGGGCGGATCGTATTTAAATAGTGATCTTCCAATAACCGAGTCCAACATAACACAGGCTCTCGAATCCATCTCATATTCAAACAACTTCCCACATCAGTCCCACCTAGGGTATAACATCTGATTCCCGTACGTTTTTCCTCAAATCAAAATTGATAAAACTTGAAAGTGTTCATTGCTCCATAGCTTATGTATATATATATAAATACAAGCTACTCTACAGCTCATCCTTACCTTCCGCAACATACTTCCCACCACTCAAATCCGGCATCCCCATAATCTTGACAACAAGACTCGTCCATCCGGTGAAGTGCTGAGTACGTTGACCCTTCCCAGTCTCAGGGTTATATTGTTCCCACGCAAAACCCGTCTCTTGCCATCCATCATAGACAGTCTTGATAAGGTTAAGACGCAGACGGACATAGAGATCCTTGGCAAGTTCCTGTGAAGGTCCTGGGAGCTCGGCGTATTTCTGTGGAACTGTTAGTTGTGTTACGGGTAAGAAGGAGGGGGTTGCGTACCAAGAGTTGCACGACGGCAAGGTAGTTTATGTTCATCCAGATTGGTCCCCTCCAGTAGTTTTCATCTGTGCCATAGAATTTGTCTTTCTTACTCAAACTTCGAAGGCCGAACTCACTCCACAGTTCCTCCTCGTCGCCAAGGAGTTTGAGGACGTGACCGAGTTTCTCACTCTCGGGGTCCAATAAACCTGTGAGGAATGGGAAGAGTGAGATATATCCCTTGTGACAGACGAGTTCATTTTCCTCGAAGTCATCGATTGTGGCGTCGCAGTAGCACTTCTCCTTTTCACTCCAGTGGAGATCATCAATGTTACGGAGAATGGCTGTCTCGATAGTCTTGAGCTCAGCGATATCTTCATCGATGCTGAGGAGGGTAGCAATGTTTTTGAGTGACTTGGTCATCATTCCCATCCATGAGATCAAATCAACATGGAGCTCTCCTGGGTGAGGTGGCTGAGGACGTGGGTAATCATCAAGACCACTGGTGAGAATATGTTGAGGTGTGCGTCCGCGCCATCTGTAACCCTCCTTGGAGCTAAAGGCTTCGCGGTCATAAGATTTGAGATCTCCGGATTGAGTTTTGCGGAACCACTCATAATGCTTCTTCAGTTTGGGATAGAGTTCACCGAGATAATGAAGCGCAAGGTCTCTGCTCTTGAGGTGCTCTGAGTTGAGGAGAGGTCCTAGCTTCTCCTTTGCAGGAGGTTCAGTACCGTTATGAGAACCCAGCTTGCTAACAAAAGTGTCGAGGATGAAGAAGAGGGTAGGTGGATTAGCGTAGTGAGGGTATTGGGTTTGAAACTCTTGAGGAACTCTGCTTCTTGCTTCAGCTCCAAGAATCTGTTCACGTCCAATCCATCCATCCTCATCCATAAGATTGAACCAACTCTTCACAATTTCAAGAGTAAGATCTAAATCCCATTCAACAATAGGCATCAAGTGGAAGCCTTCATCCCACAGAAATCCTCGTGGGAAGAATGGTCGCGAGGGAACAGTGGTGAGCAATTCAGATGGACCTTCGAGGGCTTCTTGATGCTTTGCACGGGCTTCGGCAGTCTCTTCCCAAAAGCCCTCGTTCTCTTCATCATACTCGGGGGCATATGATCTATCAACAACCGAATCCCCTTGAAAATATCCCAAGCCACCAAGAAGATTGGCAAACATGCTACTTGCAAAGCGCTGCAGATTCTCCACATCAAATGGAGGCTTTGGATCGAAAGTAGTGACGAATCTGGCCCAATAGTTCTTGGAAGCTTGGTTGATGTGCCCAGTTACATCTTCACTGAAGAGCTCCTTTGGCGCTGAACCACTGTTAAAGATGATATCAAATTCAAAGTTTCCTTCGAAAACCTTCTGGATCAAGTGCATGTTTCCGGTTCCTTTGCTATCCTCGCCATTGTTTTTAATGGTGTATGCCTGGGGTGGTGGAGGTGGGTTCTCCTGCGTGAACTCTGCTATGTACTCGTCGATTTGTTCTTTGAGTTCCTTGAAGACAATCGGTTTAACCTGCCACAAAACTTCTGCTGGTGCCGTAACTGATCGCACAATTGTTCTGTCCAAAGGCTTCTGCTCATACGAAGGATGCGAATGTTTTGGATGGTGCCCTCTGCCCGCGGTCACCACCACTTTGTATGTCCCCAATCCGTCGGAATCTCCAGCCAGCACAACATCGCCGGTATATCCCAAGGGATCGTTTTCGTTCTGAAGCTGCAAACTTCCCAATCCTTCCAAACTTGCATAGAACATCACGGTTGTCTTCAAATCCGGTGGGCCGCCTTTCCTCACCACTCCTCGCACACGGGTCGCCCAGCTTCCCCCATGGCTTCCTCCTGGGGTTTTTACAAACATCGTTGAAAGATCAATTCCATTGCGCTCGTCATAAATCGTTTGCTGTCCCCCAGCTCTTGCGTCGAACTCCTCCCAGCCATAACCTTTCATGTCATCGCCTTGCTCGCAGGTATGTCTGAAGTCTGCATAAACGCAATTAGCATATTTCCAGCCAACGTCAACCTTCACTTTTTTTCTCTCCAAAGCTTCCATCCAAATAATTTATCATATTTGCAACAAGTGTAGCAACTGTAACTCACTATGCTGGACATCTTGGAAATTGTCCACCTTGGACCACATCAAACCACCAACAAAACTTTTGGGAATTCTAGGGCGGACGCCGAAATAGACATTGGGCCTATACGGGTTCCATAGTAAACTCTGGTTTGTCCCCCGAGCATATTCGTTAAAGGGGATAGTGCTCGGATCTGGATCGTCAGCCGCAACTAATGAAGCTGCAGCGGCCGCTACAATGGCGGTTAACAATGACCGCACCATTTTCGTTCGAGAAAATGCGAAATGAAAAGCTTTCCCAGAGCTCTAGAAGTGAAATGTGAGCTCGAAAAAAACACCACAAAAGAAAAGAGTGTGTCTTTTATGACACTGCAGTGTTGACCTCTTAGCTTGAGAACACAGTTACCTTTGGCGAATTGGAGCCTGTTAATTCAGCCTGGCGCGCAAGGCTGCGGGGAGGCTTCCTCCGTTTTGCTGGCTGTAGGGGCAGTGTGGGGGGAGGGATACGAGTACACATCACAATCAACCAATACTTGTAGAGCAATGGTCAAAATTTTAGGATGGCTTCTTTATTAGACACTCAATCCACTATTTCAGTGTATACAATTTGTTCTATTAACATAAAGCTTCTGAGCTGAGAAAGCTTTGGGTATAATTATCGCGAGTATGACCCTACTCCAACCAATTCGTACCATAGTAGACTGTCGTCTTTCGATGCTGGGATATTCATCCACTAGAAAAAATCATAGGACAGGATTCCGTTGTTACGAGTCTCTCGTAGGACTCAACGGCCTATTGAATCCACCCACCCGATTCATATATTGTCGATACTCCGTCTTCTTCTCCTTCCGAACCGCAGAGATGTCGTTGCCAGGAACCTTCTTATTATGCGTAGTCGAAAAGCCTCCAAAACCCATCATAGCCTGCATAGCTGCCATCCCGTCGTCTTCAATGACAATCTCATCGTCGTCCTCGAGATCTGCATCTGCTGATTTTCCCTTTCCCCTGCCCGAGTCCATGTCCATCCGATCGTGATCCTGTGCTCCAGATACGCCAACCTTGAAGCTCACAGGCGGAGTAGTCGTTCGACTCTTGGTATCACCCTCCTCAAGCTTGACAGATTTGCTCTTCTCTCCCCCGCCCTCGACCATGACCTCCTTATCAGCATCTCTTCTGCCGTCTCTCGGATCTCGTCTTGGACTTCGACTTCTGGTTCCTCTACGATCCCAATCCCGATCTCTCGACCTCTCCCGTGGCTTATCTCGAGAATCCCGTCCGTGGTCTTCGCAGCGCACAGTGTCAGATCTGCTTCTATGTGGCAAAATCTTTTCCGCTGGCTCATACATACCTCGTTCTCTAGCCCCATCCTGGTCCCGATTTCTGTCATCGTCCCGTCTGCCACCTCCTCTAGCACCTCGGAAATCGCGCCCTTTATCTTCATCAGAAACAGTATTAGATTTGGTTCGGAATGGTAAAGTCGCAAACATTGGTGCGAACATACCTCGGTCTCTAGGACCATCGCGATCTCTATCATCTCTACGTCCTCCACGTTCTCTAGCTTCTCTTCTGCCACCTCGATGATCGCGACGCGGCGACCGACTTCGATATCTTCTCTTGTCGTCTCGTCGGTCGTCTCGTCGCGGCTCATCTCGTTCTCGGGTTGGTAGTGGTATAGGTGCGCGACGATCTAATTCGTCCCACATTTGCTTGCTGTCGGGTCTTCGCGGGCGTCGCGATGAATCTGCCATGGTCGCGATTACAATGCGATGAGTTTAAAGGTATGCGACAAAGGTGGTTGAGAAGTTGGTGTAGCGGGAGAGTTGGATGGATGTTTCTTAAGGCTCCCAGAAGGCTGGATGTTTTGACCTGACAGCCCAAGTATTTTGTGGGGCATCATCTATCTCTTGGCACTCCTCCTTCTTGAGTACGGGGTCGTCTTAATACACAGTGAATGTCTTCTTCATTACATTTTCCTATTCACTTCACATGAATATTCTAAGCGCCGAAAACATTATGGCTTTCTACTGTATATTTACTAGCTATGTACCTTTCCTGCCAAAAAACTTCGATTTTTGTCTTACGTAGACCTTCTGTAAAGGGAAACAGGTTCTACGAAATAGACTCCAATCTCTCGCTAAACCTCCCCTTGAGATACTCGATAACTTCCGAAAACCTGATCCAAGTTAGTATCTAATGTTGCACCTCAATAATTATAATCATGCAGTTTTCGAATATTTGACATTTGTTAGCGGGACTAGAATTTCACATTCATCCACTTACTCTAAAAAACGAAATATGGATTCAACTTTACAGATCTCAACACGCTTAAAGATATTGAAAGTCTGTCAGTATCGCCCCAATAGCTGTGAGCTGTTGTTTGATAGTGGGCTAACTAAAACTGTCTCCCTGACTCTTGATTGTGGACATAGCAAGGCTAGTAGTATTACCGAGTGACCGTAAAGATCTGTCAAGCGAAGCACTCATACTTGACAAAATTTCTTACTAACAAGAAAATATGGGTTGTTATGAGGGTGGAGGCAAGGGGGGAGGAGCACGTGATCAAATTCAGAAAAAATACATTTGATATCTGTGTTAGGTCAGTAATAAGTATCACAGGCACATAGACTTATAGCACTTGAGTTTCTGTTAATATCTACATGAATGATATAAATTGGGTAGTAATGCGTCAAGTCTCTTGCTGGGAACTTTCAAGGGAACCCTTCGTCTACTAGACTATATGGATACTTAGGAATTTTTGAGCTAAGCTGTGCTTCAATTGAAACAATTCAAGCAATGTGTCATACAAGAATGATCCCTTTTTGATGAATTTCAACCTTAAACTTCGATAGATTCAATTCACTATTTGTCGTAGAAGTATTCAAATTGTTTTATTGCTTTGAAAGGTTACGTGATTAAAAATTATAGTACAGGAGATGACTCCTGAGAATTGTACCAAGCTAGAACATGCACGATCGCTTATGCTTAGTACTGAACCAAACACTCATCTGGCATTGTACATACGCTCATGAAAAGATCCAATTTCCAAAACATAGAGGATACGCTCGTGCAAAATTCAATCTCAAAGACCCATTCCTTTTTGCTTAGCGAAACTCATACAAACAAGAATGCAGGCAAGAAGCCAGCCATACCCACTAACCAGTAACTCACCCCACAGGCCGCAGCAGCAGCCGTCTTGGTCGCCTCAGCTGGAGGAGCTGTGTTGGTACTCGAAGCTTTGATGCTTGTTCCAACTTTGGAACCAAGCATATCGGTATTCTTGGTAACAGGAACAGGAACGGTGGTCGCACTAGGCACGACAAGATACGGGACTCCGAGAATTGTAGTCTTGATGGCTCCAGGAATGCCGTTTGGTGCCAGTGAGAGTGGGATCGAAGTTGCCGACGGGAACACCAGAAATGGCGTGCCATTTATCAGAACTGTGGTGCCTATTGTATTTGAAGGCTGTAGTATTGAAATATTCGTCGGTCCTGGTATAGCAAGGAATGGCGTATTGTTAATTATGGTTGAGCTGCCTGTTACTCCAGGAGGAACATTTGCTAGTGGTATATTTGTTGTGCCTGGTATAATCAAATGTGGTGCCCCAGAGATCAACGAAGTGCTTCCAATGCTTGAAATCGGATTTATTGGAAACACTTGTATGCTTGTGGCACTAGGTACAACGATATAAGGCGTATTGTTAATAACCGTCGTAACTCCGCTTAATCCAGGTGGGGCGTTTGAGACTGGTATATTCGTGGGTCCAGGGAGTACAACGAAGGGAGAGCCGTTAATGATAGTAGCGCTGGCTCCTGTAACGGTCGGGGCTATTGTAGCGGCCTGGGCTGGTAAAGCAAATGTAGTTGGCGATGGAACAATAATGTACGGTGTACCTGCTATGTTTTTCGTCTCGCCAGTTAGGCCTGGTGGAGCGGCAGCAACGGGGACGTTCTAAAGCAGTGTAAGTTAGCACTTATATTAAGTCACTATCATAGGTTAAGTAACCGATGGTACATTTGGAAAGCGATTGGACAACATCAAAAAAGAGTGAGTTATTGGAAACAGAAGCCTATGCCATTATCCTATAAACGCCCGAATGAAATCACGATATGCCGGAAACATTCATACAGTAAGAAGAATTAATCGAAGAATTCTGAATATCTGACTCTTGAGCCATTTTAATGGCCCAGGTTTTCCCAGACAAACAAGTTATCTGTTTCAGTAGTTTGGGAAAACTTTTCAAGTTGTACGTGATAACTTGGTCTTTTGTCCAAGAAGCCACCCGGGAGTCGGCTCTCTTCAGGTTACGAGGATTTGGAAGTTGGGACGCAATGGGCTGTAGAAATGACAATGGGATAGAGGAGTTTACTTACTGTTGAAGTTGGAATTATAATGACAGGAGCTGGGATATTATTCGGTGGGAAACCTACCCCCAACTGAGGGTTCGCACCAGGTTGAGGGTTAGTCCCAGGCTGAGAGTTAGCCCCAGGCGGAGAGTTAGTTCCAGGTTGAGAATTAGTCCCAGGTTGAGGGTTAGTCCCAGACTGAGGGTTAGTCCCAGGTCGAGGGTTATTGACTTCGGCGTGAGGATGGTTCTCCACGTTTTGGGGGATAGCTTCAGGCTTGGGGTTACTGCTTTCAGGTCGAGGGTTTACCACCACAGCACCAAATGTGGGAGAAGGGGCTGATGGACTGGGAAGGAGCCCTCCTATGATAGAATTGATTATGGCGCCAATCACGGGGATTACATGTGGTTGAGGTTTTGGATGTGGAACACTAGGAGTTATACCTGGCTGAGGAGATGGGGTTGTGACGGAATTTGGAGCTTTCGGTAGATCAGATTGTTTTGGCTCAGATTCTGGTGCCGGAATCGAGGCCGGTGTTGGCTGCTCGACGTGAGTAGAAGGAGGGTAAATGAAAGTAGAAGACGTCAAATCCGTCCCGGCAGGATCTTGATAAGTGGATGTAGGGACGGAAGTATTTCCTGGAGGTGGAATCGATGGTCCTGCAGCCCTGAACGCCTGGACTCCTAGAGCAGAGGGGAAGAGTTTCTGGTTTTCTAGGTGGGAGATCAAGGTTTGAGGAACATAACCGTGGACTTCTTTCACTTTGTCCGGGCCGCCTTCGATTAGCGATGGGACACCTTGCATACCATACTGAGGAGCGTACACGAAAGGCGTCGGAAGGGGTTATAATGAAAGTTTGTATAGAGGAAGCGGCGTTTATAGTCGTGTTGGAAGCGGCTTTGAAGTAATCATGGGCATTTGTATTTATCAGTCCCATTATTCTGTGGGATGACCCACAGATATATTCTCCAGTTCCATTTTTTCGTACTGCGTCGACGATGATTGCTTTCACTGTGGTGTACACATAAAATGCTTGTTTGTAAGGTCTAGTACACGTTAGCTATGTCTTGGAATTAATCTTACTCGAAGCGAGGTTACTTACATTGTAACGCCTGCTGTGGTAATAGGAGTGGTTTTGTTGATTGAAGTTACCACTTGCGAAAATTGAGCGTTGGAATTTGAACTCAAGCGAAGCGGATTCTTGCCAATGTCACTGCTCCATATGAATGTATGGTTGGTCTTGTAGATGTTGGTCGTTGTATAAGGAGGTGTGTTGTTCATAAAGATAGTTTTCGAAGTCAAATTGACATCTCTAACTCCTGTCGAATAATTCCACGCCTGCCAATACTCTTCTGTTATTACATCTTGTACTATAAAGCCGCATTGAGGAGTTGCGGCGTTGCCAGTAGCTGATGTGGTGAAGAATGAATTATGAGAGCCTTTGACTGAAGGAGTCGTAGAATTTGCTGCACTTGGCTGCCTCTGGCTAGCGGTTCCTAGATTTGATATTGAGTTCTGTGGGTTGGTGAAGGAATTTGCGCCACTAGACGAGAACGTGATGTTGGAATAGCTTGAGGCTGAATGAAATTAGCTCCAAAAATCCCGTTGACTGCAAAGCCAGAATCTTACCACTGAATTGAGCATCTACCAGTACTTTGATAATGAAAAAAGTCCATACTAGCGTTACCAACCTGGAGAACATTTTGAGATCACTGTAACAAATGTGGGTTTAAGAAACAATGAAAAAAGCATAGAGAGACTCAAAAGGAGGAGAGAAACCAGAGAACCTACTTGACTATAGAAGATCGCTTGAAGTTAAGGCACATTAGGCAAAGCCTCGCCTTCAGCGGGCATTTTTAGGTGCCACCAGCTCAGACTCACCGGAACCAATACCAGATTATTGGTTCCCATACAGTAGTAGGAATCCATCCCTGTCAATGCTCAAGGTTCCTTGTCGCGTGGAACATGAGGAATTTGTACGAGGTGGGATGTTCCGAGTGTGATGGAGGTACTCAAGTGGTCAAGATTTGCGTCGATATCTCAATGGAATTCCTAGCCGAATTTGAGCTGAGCATTGGAGATGCTTTTACCCACGTGTCAAGCAACCCTTGATGGATCTTAAAAGTGGCCGTTGATAAATCTATCGTTGTTCTATTTGTCTAGGTCAATTTAAGCTATTACTTTAGCGCTTTTAAGCCAACTGTTGTATGTGTCTTCGAACACCCGTATAATTAATTGTTTTGATTATCTTTGAATTATTGAAACAATCACGAATAATCTTCACGTTTACGAGTGGTAAGCGTTACCTGTGCAGCCTTACTGCCGCTTTTAACAGCCCTAACATTTAGCCGACCATTGATACGCAGGTCCAGTCAGCAAAGGGACCGCTATAAATAAGCATGCAACAACATCCAATCATCTTCGACCTTTATAACAAGAACTGAGTGAGCAAAGCCCAGGTCCTGTACCACATCCCTGCCAGGGAGAAAAGGGGAAATCGGAGCTGAGGACATCGTTTCTTTGAAGGAAAGTGCCGCAAAAACCATACAGATATTCGCGGTAGTGGAAGAAGGTTAAGTCATTAATGTGTCTGCACGGCACGATTGAGTAGCTACCTTTAACTGTTGGTTTTAAAATGACATGACTGTGCTTAATCTTTGGCGAGTTTCTCGAAAACCGCGATGAGATTTTGACGCCTCTGTCATTCCCTCTATTGCTAGTAAATTGTCTAATGCGTTGACAGTAACTTGATACTTCGATACCTCTTCACTGTTTGAACAACCTCCAGAATCTTTCCCCATGTCTCCTTTATTGTCATAGCAAGATGTTTACATGGTCTGCATTTCGGAAGTGTCACACACCGAGGCTGGCATTCTTTATTACTGTTATTTATTTCCTATATTTTGCAGCAGGCTATTCAAATGCGTCTATTCCCAGAGATACGTATCTCGCACCGGTAGTTGTGCCAACAACTGGACAATGGTAATTAAGCCCGGGCCCTCATTTATTCAGGAAGATACTGATTGAAAAGAGATGGGAATGATGGAAGTTGGAGTAGCTTTGCGCTCCAAATCGGCACTCCTCCACAAACAGTCAAAGTGCTTGCATCAACTGCCGGAACCCAAACAATGGTCATCGCCCCAGAAGGTTGCGTACCAGGAGATTCTGCCAACTGCAGAAAATTGCGAGGCGAATTCTTCGTTTACAACGAATCATCGACTTATTCTCCGCTATTGGTTAACCTCTCGAGCAATATCTACGCGTTGACCTTGGAATCGGAGTTGGGTTATACTGGCAAAGGAAGATATGGATTTGACGATATCTCTTTCAGTTGGCAGTCGAGAGATGGCCTAATCGTGAAGAATCAAACAGTCGCAGGTGTTGCGACGAAGGACTTTTATATGGGATTGCTTGGATTGACTCCCAATCCGAGCAATTTTGGAAGTTATAACAACCCAGTACCTAGTTTGATGGAAAACATGCGCAATATTTCCTGATACCGAGTATTAGCTGGGCAAACACTGCCGGAAATCAGTACCGTAGGTTCACTATTCATTTTGTTTTGGACCAAAGAGGAAGAAGAAAAAAGTTCAACTCAAGAACTAGCTAACGAGCCACTGAATAGGCCTGAACAAAGTCCCTGGGAGTCTAGTCCTGGGAGTCTAGTCCTGGGAGGATATGATGAATCAAAGTTCGTGCCAAACAATGTTACATTTCCGCTTGGAGTGAGTCTCGACGTCACAATTCAAAGCATTACAACAAACGATAGCTTTTCACTACTCGACTCGCCTATCCAATCGTCCATAGATTCGACCATCCCTTACATATATTTACCAACCTCGACATGCAAACTGTTTGAGACTGCATTTGGCCTGGTGTGGAATGAGACTGTAAAACTCTACTTTCTCAACGACACTCAACACAGCTCCCTTTTGACTCGAAATCCTAGCATCACATTCAGACTCAGTCCAGGAGATCCTGAATCTTATATCGAAATATCGCTTCCATACTCGGCTTTTGATCTTACAGCTTCAGCACCACTCGTTGAATCTCCAACCCGATATTTCCCACTCAAACGCGCTGAAAACTCGACCCAACACAGGATTGGCCGAACCTTTCTTCAGGAAGCTTATATTATCGCAGACTACGAGCGAAAGAACTTTTCCGTCTCTCAATGCAAATGGGACCCTCGACTGGTATCGAAAATCATGCCGATTCTACCACCAGGCGCCACTGTTCCTACCAAAGACACAAACAATAGACTCTCAGTAGCTGCAATAGGTGGGATCGCAGGCGGAGTTGTAGCTGTTGTGCTTCTGCTTGTTGGTGCTCTATTGCTCTACTTTTATCATTTGAAGCCTCGAAGAAGAAGACGGGAGGCCGATACTGCTTCATCAGCCATTAACATTAGTTCGGACTTCACCAAACCAGAGCTTGACGGAATATCCACAGGGCTCGCAGAGCCGACCGATACCAAAGCAGAGCCACTGGAAATAGATGGAAGAAAATTGGACACAGTTTTCGAAGGCGACAGTCAGCCTTTATTTGAATTGCCTGCGGAAGAGGTCGCTTCAGAGATGATAGCTAGCGACAGTAATCTTACATCCGAGCTTGATGGTCAAGACCAAGAAAAGGGAAGCAGGAGAATGTTCAGACGGCATGAAAAAAAGGGCGAGAGAACAGACAAGCTTGCTAATATCGACTCGGCCATTACTGAGACAAGATGTTCGTCTAAGACTGTAGTTCCGAGAAGTCATGCCACGGAAATAATATCCGTACTGGGCCCATCTCGAAATTCGTCACCTCGTAACTCCCTGACCAAAGACAAAATTTTGGAATCATCTACATGCACCAATTAGCGCAAAGACACTTTTGTAGTCTGCATATGTATTCAGAGTCGAATAATACTTCATGATAATGGAAGTTGAGATGATCACTTTTTGCACCTGAAGCCGAAGATCATTCAATGACATACCTGCTGCCCTTGCAGGTATCATGCCCTACTTTCAATATGAAGCATCTCAGCGGCGTTTGTCTTTAGAATCCCCAGAGTTATGGAAGATACTTCATATCTCTTTTACTCGTAACTCGTTGCAAGAAAGTCCGTCTTGTCTTCAATTCCAAGCCACTAAAGGCTTGTCTCGTGTACCTTTTGTTGGCCTTCACTCATGACAGCAATAGTATCTCTAATTTGCCAGAAACGGTATTTCAGAAGCTCTTGGTCTGCATTCCGACAAGTCCACCATTTTAGGTTCACGGATGTGAAGTAGTTCATGAAGAAAGTCTCCGAGATGTCGAGTAATACACGACCCCGGGATCGGATCATTATCGGTATTCGGCCCGTTCTATGCCGAGGCCGAGCTGCTACATCAAAAAAATATGAGGGTACTCCTACTACTGATGTCGATACGCCAATATCCACAGCTTGATTAGACCAGACTGGCTCACGCCAATGCAATGCTACGGAATGCGTCAATTGGAGTCCACGCCAGCTCTCGCTGCTCACGTTCTCGCCATACATCGCTCTTCCGCAGACCATGTGCAGCCCTGACTCTCCCCGCATTACCATTTCTTTACTGGACCCCGACTCCCACCCATTCGAGAAACGTCAAGCCGCAATCGTGGAGATCTCTCCATGCTCGTCATGTTGAAGACAAATGGGGACCCCCGGTCATTAGGAAGATAGCCGTGTCAAAAGCACCCGCACGAATGCAATCCGATGTATTGGCGGAAGCCCTCCAGACTACCATATATGCTTTGTCTTCTGCCCCCGGCTGCGCGGGCATTGCTGTCGTTAAAATATCCGGCCCGGCCTGTCTTGAAGTCAGTATTCCACACGTAGAATGGGCCACAAGAAAATCAAGCTACCTATGATTTCTAACGCCCGGCCTAGATATACTATGCGATGTTGAAGAAAGATCGGCCACCGCCGGCACCACGACGAGCCGATACAAGACCGCTATATCATCCCCTCGATGTCCCCCGCCGCCTGCTAGACGTAGCGGTGGTGGTCTTTTTCCCACAGCCCTTCACACAAACAGGACAGGATCTGCTAGAATTTTATATCCACGGAGGAAATGCGACGGTGAAAGGAGTTCTCAATGCCATCGCAGCGGTCCCTTCACAATCCCCCATTCGCTACGCTGAGGCAGGCGAGTTTACTCGTCGAGCATTCTATTATGGAAAATTGAATATTGCGCAAGTGGAGGCATTGGGGGACCAATTAGCAGCAGAGACCGAGCAACAACACCGCGTTGCTCTGCAAGGGCAGTCAAAAACTGCTACCCTGCAATACGAGAGTTGGAGGAAGACACTACTGGAGGCGCGGGGCGAAATGGAAGCCTTGATTGACTTTTCCGAAGATCAACACTTTGACGAATCTCCTACAAATCTGTTGAAGGGTGCTACGGAAAAAGTCTCGGGGATTCTCGCAGTAATCGCAAATCATATCAAGGCTAGCCACTGCGGAGAGTTGCTTCGAAAAGGCATACGCCTATCCTTGATTGGTCCTCCTAATGCTGGAAAAAGTTCATTGATGAATCTTATTGTCGGTCGCGAAGCATCGATTGTAAGCCCCGAAGCCGGTACCACTCGGGACATTGTGGAGGTAAGTCTCGATATGCGGGGGTATCTATGCACTTTCGCCGATACAGCCGGCTTGCGTGAACTCCCTGGAGCAGAGGGAACTGGTACACGCAAGCTCGTAAGGCGTACAATGTATGACCGTTCACCAACCCCACCTTCAATTGAGCACGCACAAAGAGCTAGCATTGAGAGGGAAGGTATACGACGTGCGAGGGCAAAGGCTTCGGCATCAGATTTGGTGATAGTTCTCGCGTCAGTAGAAGAGTCCTCTGCTTCACCAGAGAAATTTGAAATACTTTTTGATGGCGAGTCACTTGTATTAGCCAGTGCAGCACCTTCAGCAATCGTTGTAGTTAATAAATGCGAGCGAATATCACATCGGGTCTTGGAGCGGCTACTTGTCCAATTCAAAAGCGAGACAAACGCTTTCATCGAGAATATTGAGATAGTCACGATATCTTGTTTGGATGCGCAGAGATACGAACCATCGGAAGAAGATGAGGATCCGGGAAATATACATTTTTTGACTGACAAAATGGTCAACATCTTTGAAAGTATGACGGACCTTCCGTCAGATTTAGCAGATGCTGTTGGCGTTTCAGAACGCTCGAGGCAACTACTTTCCAGTGCTTCTCAATTTCTGGAAGAATATAAACGCGAGGCTACAAAAGGACAAGAACTCTCGCATGGCGGGGAACCAGATATCGTCATCGCTGCTGAACATTTGAGGGAGGCAGCTAAAAGTCTTGCTCTCATTACTGGACGTGGGGATGTTGGGGATGTAGAGGACGTTCTGGGTGTTGTTTTTGAAAGGTGAGTTTAATCGTTTTTCTCATGCTGCAAGCCTTGGCTAACTTGTATTGTTAGATTTTGCGTTGGGAAATAGATTCTCGCATCTATACTGCTCTGTATGTATGAACATATGTAAAATAATAAGGCGAAAGCGACACGTATGATACCCTGGACTCTTTTTCATATTGAGTAGACGTCAATCTCAATTCATGTACACTAGTTCCTTTCCACTCTTTTTATGATATGCTTGATAGTGAGGTTTCTTGCCGCTCTGACGCTATTCTACTACTCCCTTTTTCGATGGACTGATAGCCACTTATAGCTAGCCCATTGAAGCTTATTGCTTGGATCACTTACTTGTTCTTTCCCCGCAGGTAACATATTCAGGGGATAAGGAACATTTCAAACGATCATTCCAATATCAAATACAACTTCCTCGCTAACAATAACCTCGATAGCAAAAGCTAGATCAAACCACCCCAATAGACGAGAGCGAAAAACAATGTAACATCTTCATACTCGCTAACAACAACCCCCCAAATCCAACAAAGCCACTTCAGTGACTTCAAGCATCACGCATCACCAACATAATCCCCTCACAAATCTCCATCTCACGCAAAATCTGCAATACTTAACCATATCATCACCTAATCCTCCCCCCTAACTCCATCCCCATCCTCTCACTCCCGACTCGCCACATTCATATAATCGATCCATATACAACAGCAGAAAAGTACTTTAACCCTAGACCCCCCTCATCCACCCCATCCCACGCATCCCTTCAAATACCACCGATCCATCAATCCATCAATCCATCTATTCCTACACTACCCCACCTAACGTCCCGTCCCGTCCCGCGTCCGATCCCTCCACACACGCTCAGGATTACTGGATTTGGGTTAGGATACCGAGGTGATGCCGTCTTCCCATTCCTGTTCCCATTCCCATTTCCAGTCCATGGGATGATAGGGATATCGCAATTGAATTAATTTGGGGGAGGGGGGGGTGGTAATGTACGTGTTACTTTGCTTTGATTTGATTTGATTTGATTGGCAGGGCTGTGAGGGAGGTGGATGAGAGGGATGGGTGGGATGAGAGGGAAGGGAAGGGAAGGGTATGTGTTCATCGAGCCTCGCGACTCGGGCCTGGTATTTAGGGCTCTTGTAGAAGGGAGGCGGAGTGGATGGCTTTGGTTGGGGGCGCTTTTGGACTGTGGGGTTTGGGATGGGATGGGATGGTTGTGGTGTAAGTGTCTGTGGGATAGATGGAGGGAGGGAAGCGGGGGAGGAATGGGTAACTATTAGCTCACTCTAGAAATTTCGTGAAGTGAGGTCGTGTAATTAGATACTGTAGTGATATGAAGCGAGAAAAAAGTACAAATACGGAATTCTAAAGTAAGTAATCTTCTTAAGATAGTTGTCTCCCCTATCTTTGCGCCTTCTTTAACTATGAAGTGATGTTTCTCTAGGAACGAAGAGATTCCGTAACCTTTCCTGAGAGGGAAGGACTTAAACGTTTAGGACTTGGGATTTAAGGCTTAGGGTGATTGGTGATGCTTGATAGGTAAGTAGTTGTGCTACTTATCGAGGATTAGGACGTAGATAATATACGCTCGCTCGCTCGTCTGGAGTTGTTGGTTATTATATTAGAGCTGGGGGAAGGGAAGGGGAGGGGAGTCTTACATACATACATATGTATGTAGTGTGGCGGGGTTTGTTTGGAAGGTATGAGATGGGTATATTCATATATATGTGTATGAATCCAGCCTTATGCCTTATACTAATAAAGATTTCATTTGAGCTAGAAATTTATTGCTATCATACTGCGTAGATATTATATATAGTGAAGCAAAGGAAGTCTATAAATAAATACAGTATGATAAAAATTAGTACTATAAAAGCGTAATCTTACGAGTAAATCTTCTTTTTTCTTTAAGAAAAATCAAAGAATTAATGAAAACCTTACCGTTGGGTTTCCTATAATCGTTTCTAGGAGGCCCCCATCTCTTCCCCGTTAGGAGAAACTCGCTGTTATGAATGGGTTTTGGAGGGGTATTTCGTATTCATGGGGTAGGGGCACAGGGGAGGGAACTGGTTTTATATAAGTGGATGGGGTTACGGGGTGGCGCTTAGGTAAGGTGTTATATACATACTAATTAACTAATTGACTAATTGACTAACTAATTGAACCGTGAAGAGAGGGGTTTACTCTCAGTTTCTATGAGGGTTATTTTTTCATTTCTTTATTTCGTGATATGGCGCGTATGAAGACCTAGGTAGGTAGTGTTTCCAGACTCTTAATTTGCGGGGGGGGGCTAAGGCTTACGCGAGGATCTCTTATTGGTGATTAGGGGAGATGTTCGGGACTTTTATTTAGGTTGGGATGAGGGATGGATGTTTGATGGAGGAGTGGTTTCTGAAATGGGAATTGGACTTGGGATTGGGAAGGTAGATTATGGGTTGGTGGGTTTGTTTTTATATATGTACTCGAGTAGGTATGGAGTTTTTGTAGGATGTGGATGTGTGGGTACACACCGTATGTACTTACAGGTATACAAGATTAGAGGACATGAAGCAATGATGCCAAGCATCCATCACTGTACATCTCAAACGCTCCAGTACGGTAAAAATAAAAATCACCACATGCCACATACCACCTCTCCCTTCTCCTCTACCTCCTACAACAACCCAAATACACATCCACGTCCAACAACCAAAACCTCACCAAACCAAATCAAACAAGGCAGCGAATCCGTCTCTGAGCAAGTATCCAGCATAGCGAGCTTGGCAACTCAAAAGGAAACACAAACAATCACCGACGGATGTATGAGTCAGAAGTGACCAATCCGCATCCGCATCCCGTAAGAGCGGACGCTGCGAGGTCAGGGAAAGGTCTATTTACAGTTCTACGCGGAGATGGATACCTAAGGAATCAGGATATAGTGGTGGTGCTTTGGAGATGGTCGGATGGTTTTTGGTTGTGCGCTTTCCCTCTGGGAAATCGAGGCTAGATATGTACGAAAATATCTAACACCCGCCACGGGCTATCGCGGGGTACAAAACTATCCCTAGCGCGTATACTTTCGTATACTAATAGTAAGCGTAAAACCTTAAATATTATACTAAAGACGTAGTTCTAATAGAGATATATACTTACGAATATTATAATATAAAATCTACTTAATTGTCACGAATCATGTGTTCACGTGATACTTGCCATAATAAGAGGCGCAACCCTCGACAGGCACATTCAGATTTCTTATAGCAAATGGGGATCGCTTAGGGTAGCTAGGCGATCCAAGGATTTCTTCCTTACAGAAGATCATGTGACTAGGGAGTATGAGGAAGTATAAGGGAGGCTTATACTACTCTTACTACCGGAGCATAAGGAAGTATAAGGAAGGCTTATACTACTCTATACTCGGACCATACGTGGGGTATGAAGGTTCTATATAAGACTGGCACGTCTGCCATTAGATAGGAGCTTCGTGCTCAACTTAGTTATCAATCTTATCATATTAGTTTGACATCTTTGATACAAGTAACGAGTTCACTTCCAAGTGAACAACCCGATAGTCTTCTTCTTATCATAGCATACTAACCAGCGAACACCCAGCCAAGTTTAGTTAGCCAGTTTGAGTATTCGTTACATTAATTCTCCTACTAATCTCTTATAATATATGTAACTATCTAGCTATATAATAAGCGAGACCTAAATAGATTATCCTATCTAACTCTGACTTAATTATATAAATAATAAACAACGTCCTTTAAGATATTTCTTTAAATAAAGAAAATATCCCTCTAAATAAAAAAATCCTACTATACTCTAATTTTTTTAATACTAAGAAGTCTTTCTAATAACTTTTATAAGTACTTTTCGAAGTTCTCCCCTTATCTATATTTACTACAAAGAATCCTTGTCGAACAATAAACTCCCTTTACTTTTATATATAATATAAAGAATATATATATAAAGAACTCTTACTACTTCTATACTTTCTTTAATAAATCTATATATAAAGAACTACCTCTACTTCTATATATCCTTTAATAAATACTCCTTCTATCCTTTATAATATATTAAGAGCTACTAGAATAAGTAGTAGTTATTATATTATAAATACTATTAAGGGCTACTAGGATAAGGAGTAGTAGTTATAAAAACCTAGTAAGTTTCTAAAAGAGTAAAGTATAGTATTAAGGTTAAGTAGTAAAAATTTAAATATATATATAAAGTTACTTAATTTAGTAGTAAAAAGTGTAACGAATACTCAAACTGGCTAACTAAACTTGGCTGGGTGTTCGCTGGTTGGTATGCTATGATAAGAAGAAGACTATCGGGTTGTTCACTTGGAAGTGAACTCGTTACTTGTGTAACCGTGTGGAGTGAACCACTGCTTGCTGTGATGAATACGGAGTCAAACGGAAACTGCTGTATTGAGCGAACAACAAAGTGAGGAAGGAAGAGAGTTCCAGAGGAACGAGAGCTTAAATACAGGATGCCAGCAGCGCGCACGTGACACATACTACATGCTGCGCTACACGTGATCAACCCCTAGTTCCTCCAACTCCGTAACAGTACCCCCCCTCTTAAAGAAGGTCGTCCTCGACCGAGTATCCATAATTAAGTTACCATCTAAATCATCATAATTGTCCCTTCCACCTTCCCAAGCACTTAACCAGTCATATAAGCGAGCTGGCGGGCCAGGTCGAGTTGGGTTAGTTAGGTGGAAGTCTCTTACTTTGTGAGGGGCGTATTTACAGTCAGATGCCGGATACCACTGTAGGTCTTCGTCTTGGTTTAGCCATTTAACACGGTAGTAGAGGTATTGCCGTCCTTTACTTGCAAGGATCTCTTGAATTTCCCNGACCGAGTATCCATAATTAAGTTACCATCTAAATCATCATAATCGTCCCTTCCACCTTCCCAAGCACTTAACCAGTCATATAAGCGAGCTGGCGGGCCAGGTCGAGTTGGGTTAGTTAGGTGGAAGTCTCTTACTTTGTGAGGGGCGTATTTACAGTCAGATGCCGGGTACCACTGTAGGTCTTCGTCTTGGTTTAGCCATTTAACACGGTAGTAGAGGTATTGCCGTCCTTTACTTGTAAGGATCTCTTGAATTTCCCACTCATCGTCGCCTGTAATGTTGACAGGCGGTGGCTCTGGATTACTTTGGCCTGGTAAAGGATTCTGGGAAGCCTTACGCAATCTATCAGGGGAGAAGACTGGATGGATTTTCATTGAATCAGGTAGTTGGAGCTTGAAAGCGTTGCCTACTTGCTGGATAA